TATATATATATATATATATATATAGAGAGAGAGAGAGAGAGAGAGAGAGAAACTTGCCGGCTTCCTTCTCCCTCCATGCGTTACGCGTCTCCGACCGTTCTTCGTCTTCCGCTGCACGGCGCAGAGGAGGGCATTCGAAAAGATAAAATGAAATAAAAACACGAAGTAAACAACAAACACACGAGCGCTGCATAAAAACCCTCCTGCACAACGCGGAGTTCTCTCCCTTCCTTGTGATGCCGCCGGTGCGCATACCGACACACTCGCTGGGCTGTCCTTCTTCCTCCGAAAGGGAAACGAAAAACGGGTGTTTCGACGCTGCGTCTGGGCACAAGGAGCTCATGGGTGTATGCGCATTTCACAGAGGCTTTTGGTTTAACGGAGAAAAGCACAAAGGAGGATTTTCTACTGTCACGGCTAGATTTTTATGATCAGGCAAGTGTGTAGTTTTCCGGCCGCCACGCCGGTCTTCAACTTTTCTGTAGAAGCCGTCTACGCCCCTCTGCACCCCCGGCTTCTAATTTAACTATAACAAAGAAAAACAGGGACAAATTGATGTCAGGTGTGAGAAGAGCAGAACAAAAAAAGCCACGCTCACGACTTCGCACGATTGGTGTCGCACATCGAAATACAAATGCGTGTATATAAATAGCTTGCTCGTCTACACCATAATAGATAAAAATAGCAATAAAAACATTTGCTCCGACTAATAACAATAATAAAGAAACGCACAACTGAATTTTAGTGTGATATATATATGTATATATATATATATATATATATATGCTAAACAAACAAACAAAGGAAGAAGGAAAGCAGTTGTCGAAGAGCACTGAGATCGTTGGACATGGTGGTGTCCTCCTTGCTCTGTGCTGCATCGGTGGAATAGAAGGACGGCGCACGCTGCTCCTTTCGACGTAGGTGGTGGTAACAACAGTGGCAAATAACACAGTTATGATGCACCGAAGCGCAGTTAATTTTAAAGAGAAAAAAAGGGTGCACTTGAAGGTAAAGAGAAACTTTTTTCTGTTCGTATTTGAGGTTTTTGTTTTTGGTAGTGCGCCTTGGCAGTTTCTCTGCGATGGAAAGGAAAACAAAGCAGAGTGGCAATAATGATTAAAGACTTTTTTGGTAGGGGCTGTATTCGAGGAAGGGGAAAACCAACAAGTGTGTCGTCGCTCGGCATTCACTCGTGTGAAGTCCTCGCGCCGTTTCGTTGCGACCTGTTGAGCCTTCCCTCTTTTGGGAGGTTGTTTGTCTGCTTGTTTGTTTGTTCAGGTTCTTCTTGTTTAATGAAGATACTATAAAGAAATAAAAGAACGTCGGTTTCCGTTTTTCGTGAATTTCTCGACGGCCCAGTTTGGCAGGCAAGAGAGTTGTCCCTCGCACGCAGCACGAGAGCGTCTGCGACGGCCACGGCAAATGACATGCACACGCACTAGTAATGCCGTTACGTGAGTACACACACACGGTGCTCAACAGAGAAGAAATACTTTTTCCAAAAGAAAAAAAAGGATTCTACCTGTGCGACACATCCTTTTCAAGTGCTCTCCCTCTCCTTTCTTGACTGTCAAGTGCAGTGGATATGCATCTGTTGCTTGCGGATATAGTGCGAAACAGGGAGGCAGGGGGCTGGAGAGATAAGAGCGGCGAAGGAAGGACGTTGTTGAGCGCCAACGCGCCGATGCTGTCCGAGCAAACGACTTGGGCCGAAAAAGAAAACCGCACGCATCGCGAGAAGCGAGTCGGCGCCGTCCCCACCTCAGCCCCGCCTCTCTACACCGCACGAATACGCACCGGCACCGCGTCGTGTGCGGCAGGAGAAGGAGAGGGGGATCGACGAAGGGGCCGCAGACGGCTCGCCACAACGGTGAAAGCGCAAAGAAGAGAACGAAGAACAATAAGAGGCAACAGTCGGAACTACAACAGTCGGTGAAAGGAAATTGAAAAAAGGAAAAATAGAAGTGCGGTGTGAATAGGGACAGGATGGGCGGGGCGGGGCGCGCACGTACGGAAATGGCACAGTTCTGATCGTGCATTCTTGAAAATGGAGAAATAAAATAAAAACCCGAGCTCAATAACAGCAGAACGCCGAAACATGAGAAGTGGATGCGACTCGTAATGCAGCGCAGGTGTGACGACGAGCCTCGGCGTCAGAGGAAGAGATGGAAAAGACTTTGCACACCAAACAACTCGTGGTGCTTTGCGTGCTTGATGACTCGCCGAGCCGGAACCTGCGTGACATGTCCGTCACGCGAAGAGCTCTCTCATGCACCGCCGATACTCCGCTTCGTGCCTGCACGGCCATATTGATACCAAAGTGAAATCCATGCAAGCACGGAACGCGTCTCAGCACGTCCAGGCGTGCATGAGAAGCGAAGAAAACGGCGTCTGCAGGGCGGCCAGCACAGATCCGGTCACCCTTGTCTTCCCATTTCTTTCCTCCTTTGCGCGCAGGTCGCACCTCGCTCCGCAGAGCCGCTCCACCACTCGCATCCTCATTCGCAGTAGTCGGGAGCCACGTCAATAAGAGAGAAGCCCAGGCCACGACTGTGTTCATTTTCGTGAATGCGTATGTGTGGATGTCTGGAAGCATCTGCCCACCCGCCTGTGTGTTCCGCCGCGCCGTCGATGAGGCCTCATTCACGGGACACACACGCCGCCTTCGCCCTGCTGAAAGGGGCAGCGATAAGCCAACACTGGCTTCAACCGTTGCCGCTGACAGCAGGAGAAACAACCGAAGGCAATGAAAGCACTGAAAGCAGCAAGAAGAGAGAAAAAAATGCTCTGTGCGTAGTGAATTATAAAAAAGAAAGAAAGGAGTTTACTTACATCAGCGCTCTCCTCGTCCCAGCGAGGAGACGAGTGCAAACGAACATAACGCACGTGACGGTGTCGCTTCGCGTCCTCTCCGATCCGTTCCGCAAGAGTTCCAAGAGTCGCCACGTGAAAGGCCGCACACACGCACACCGTCACGCTGATAAAGTAAAAACAAAACCTCAGGAGAGTGCCACGAGTGAGTAGAAGACAAAACGAAAAGAATCTCCCTTCAACGCGGTCGGCTGCCAGCCTTGCTGCTTAACACGCTCGCCGCTGATACAAGCCCAACGACGCGCGCCAGCAATCTGGCCAAGCTGGAAGGCGAAGAAGAGAGGGGTCTCAATGGACTCCGCCCGTGAAGCTCATCGCGCATACACATGCAAGCAATCCTTTTCACGGTACAGCAGTTCAGCCCTTCCATTTCGATGCGTGGTCGTGCGTGCGCGCAAAACGGACTACATCCATAACCGTCGTCCGTCGAGTGCGCACTTGGAGAAGGCAATCGAAGCGCTGAAACGCCCAATAGTTTTACTTCGCACTTCCTCACAACTCTCCCCTCTTCCCGCACGTGTCTGGCGGCAAGGGGGCGCCCACGCGACGCACAAACCGTGGTTAGGGGGGAAGGCAAGAGACACAAGACAATAGTTAAGAGAAAGAAAAAGAAAAAGAGAAGAGGAAAAGAACGACCACACGGAGCTCTCGAACTCGGCAAGGCTTTTGATTTTGTTCTTTGTCACCTCGGGACGTCAAAACTGTAGAGATGGCAGTGTCATGAGCTGTTCGACTGCACCGAAGGGTCTACGCGCACTGCGGGATGCGGCCCGTCATTCCGTAGGGGTTGTGGCGGTACTTGGAAGGCTGGCCCTGGCTGCAGGTCGCAGAGAAGCGGCAGGCGCAGTACGGAGTGTCGTGCACGGGGCTTCCGCTCAACCCACTCACGTGCGCCGCCTCCGCACGGTACGTGTGCGTGAGTTGCTGCGTCGGGTAGCCAAACTCCGCACGGCTGGCATCGCTGTAGCACGGATCGTACTGGCGGGCGCTGTAGGGTGATTGATACGTCTCGTTGCGCGTGTTGTGCTTCGGCAGCGAGACCATCACGGTGCGGCGACGCTGGCGCACGACGGGCGACGTCGGGGAGGTCGGCTCCGACACCGCCGCCGGCTCCGTCGAGACGCTGCCGGTGAAGGAGTTGGTGGAGACGGTGGTGGGTGTCGTGATCGTCGCCTCCTTCACCTCCACCGGCGGTGCGCCGTCCAGCCGCTGCAGACCGGTCGCCTTGAGCACCTCGACGTTCTTCGATTCCGTCTGCAGCTCCTCTTCGCCGTGTGCGAAGGCGCAGCGGTCTGCGTAGGGGCACGCCTCGCCCTTCAGAAAGAACTGGCACAGGCTTGTCTTGTACTTCGACGGCTTCACTTCAGCGTGCTTGTTGGCCTTCGGCATCTCCGCAGTTTCTTAACAGACAGGCAGAAGTAAACAAAAGAGAAACAAAAACAAAAGGTACTTGCGTACAAGTACGAGAATTTTAAAAGAAAAAAAACGGTTTAAATGAAGGCTTAAATAAATTGACTTGAAAGAGCGCAAGAGACCTGGGAAGAGAAAAACAATGTTTTACGCGAGAACGCGGTGAGAGTTGGAGGGACGAGGTGGGCAGGGACGATGAAGGTGTTGATGCATGTGTGTTATCACGGCCCTGCAGCACTTGTGCCATGGCAGAGGCAAAGGAAAGGAAGGACAATTGAGCCGACGGTAGAAGTCTACCGCGCAGTCAAAGATTGCTTCCCGTTGTGGGCGTGGCATCGACGATGATGCGAAAGTACCACCCATCACACACACACACACACACACACACACACAGAGAGAGAGAGAGAGAAGAAGCCGTGGCGGCTCGTACAGTCCTCATCGCTGATGCAGTCTTCTTTTGTATCTCAGTTCTTCGGCGCAGCTTTCTTTTGAGCTTTGCCACATGAAGCACTCAGCCGTGCTTACAAAAAGGAAACAAGAAAAGAGAGAAGGAGAGAAGCAATCACACACGCCACTTACGTGGGTGTGCACCACGCATGGTTTGTGCACGAGTGGGAGACGAAAGTACAGACAAACAAAACTAAATAAAGAAAAACTGAAAAGGAGGAAGAGATGAACGAGAAAAGTCGGTCAAGAGGAAGAAGGAAAAACAAAACCTCACGCCTCGTCTTACAACGGCGTTGGGCCTCATCTGCTGTACAAAAGCCGCGCTTACGCACTTCTTTGGTTCGCTGCACAGACAGGTGATTTTGTTCCTCTTCCGGTTTTTTTTTTAAGTTACGACCATCTCGGTGCATTCTCGTAAAAAATGTTCTCTTCATTGTCTCCTTTCTCTTCCACCACTGGCGAATCAGCTCGGGCACAGGCAGGCAGAAGTTTCCGTTCACGTTCCTGTTGAATGACGCAGGCCCCGTCGGGGAACCGAATAAGACAAAAAGAAAGAGGAGGCCTTCAAGGATGTGTGCGAGTGTGCGTGAACGTGTATAGCTTCGGCTGACGCTCTCTAACGCGAGCTCTCTTCGAACGCCGCACCAGAGAGGTGTTTCGCGTTCCGTCGTGCGATGTGCTTGCGGCGCATCGGCGCACAACGGTGTTCGCCGGCCGAGGCCGGAACGGAGAAAGGCAGACATCAGCACCGGGCAAAAAGAAGAGCCAGTGGACAGCGAAGACGACCGTAGACATTGCTTATATATTTAAAATAGAAAAATAGAAGACAGGTGTCACACAATCGAACATATTACGAGTTTTTGCTGAGGGAGAATCTGGCTTTCAGTGAAAAGAGTAAAAGGACGGGAAACAAAAACTTGAAAGCAGAAGAGGAAACCAAGAACAGAAATAGAATGAGGAGTGGCAGAGGCGAAGCTTACGCGACAGCAACTGCCAAAGCCCCTCGAACTTCCCACGAGTCCTCACCAGTAAAAACGGGTTAAATAATAAAAATAAAAATAAAAGAGAGACATAAAAAGAAAGTGAAAAGGAGCCTTTAAAAAGGGGAAAAAAACTTCGAGACACAATCGTGTGGGGTGAAGTCATCTGCGAGCACAGAAAAACCCAAGGACAGAATGCGGTGCAGCAAATGAGCGTCCTCCAGCGATGTACGAAACAAAAGAGATTTTTCCTTTTATAGAAGCCGTAATCAAAGGCCAACACTATTGTTTGTTTCGCCGCTTCTTCTTTTCTTCAGCTTGATGTACGAGGAAACACTTCCTTTCGTTGTTCTTTTTACTGTTAGTACTTTCTTCATTTTAGGGGGCGGAACGGCGGTATTCGCGTGACGTGCGACAACATCGTGGGGTAATGCCGCTAAATGCGTGTTGACCGTGCCCGCCGCACTCATCAACGTTTTGCCCATTTACCGCCCTTTTCAGAGGGGCACTTTATTTCTCTCTTTTTCAGTTCCTTTCATGGCCGTTATCTGCCACGTGTGCGTCGAACCATCACCGTGGTCGTTGGTGGAGGGGCACGTCGCCGTTGCAGATTTTCCTTCCGCTCGTTTCACTTCAGGAAATCAATATGAAGTTCAGAAATATAAACATTTTAGTATCATCGCGGAGAGGAGAAACTCTGAGAAGCATCACAGAAGAAGGGAGGAGGAACATCAGCAATAAGAGTAGTGAACAAGAAATGTGCCTTAGGCCGCAGCCCCTTGAGCCGCCTCGCGCCCCCAACTCGCTCACCGACAAACATGGACGTTCCCCGCACGACACAGCACAGACTTCCTGCCAGCGTTGCACAACACCACGAGTGCTCTCTGTGCGGCGTCAGCAGCACACACCAGAAAGCACGTCCACAAACCCGCGCGCAGGTGAAGGTGTCTTCGTACGTGCGCTGCGGAAACGTGAGAGAAAAAGCGCTCGAAAAAAAGAAAGCAAAAGGCGAGAGAGCACAACAACGGAAAGAGACCGAAGAGAAGAAGAAACGCTGTCTGCCGGTGACGCGTTGGATGCCGACAGGAGTAACGAGGCACGCTTCCTCCTGCCAGCCGGTGAGAGACGGCAAAGGCGGTGATCGCGGCGGCACGCTCAACATCGACAACACGTCGTCGTCATCGTCGTCGTCGTCGTGCTTGTGCTCGAGGAGGCGGTCGTCAGCGTTCGCGGCCCGCCCTGCAGCTTCGCGAGGTGCAGACCAGCGAGGTGCAAGGGCACAAAATGCATACCCTCGGCCGCGGTGGTGCTGGTGGAAAGCCCCATTCTGGTCGGCGCCGCTGCCTTCTCGGCGGGGGGGCTGCTGGACAAGACTCGGTACTCCACTGCGGCAGGAGTGGAAGGCCGGAGAGGCAGCAGGGGAGGCAGCGAAAACAAGTTGCACATGCAGTTCGCCTTATCGAGGCAGTAGCATGGGTGGGGCTGGGTGGTGGCGGCGATGAAAGGCGTAAGGCGCAGCGAGTTAAAGAACTCCGCGCTCGGCACGTCCTCCTCGCTCTCTGAGTCGTTCGAGGAGATCTGTTGATGCTCGGTGGTGCTGTCCATCGAGACGGCCTTCACATCATCCAGGAACTCGAGCACGGAATGCAGCTTCAGCGGGACATCGTCCGTGAAGTCCTCGTACTCCTCCTCGACCATGAAAGCACGCGCTGACATGGGTCTCCTCCTTTCACTGTACCTTCACACTGAAATGCCCCTTTCGTGGTAGCAGAAATATAGAAGAGGAATCCAAAAAAAAAACACAGAAGAGAACGCGAGCGTCAACAAGAGCTGGTTCGAAAACTCTAATGAGATCTAACGGTTGAGACGCGCGTCTGGCTGGGTAAACTTCATGCACGTGTTGGCAATAGAAAAAGGAAAGAGAAAAAGTGGAGAGGAGGAGAGGAGGAGAGGAGAAGATTACGCAAGGGTGTCACGGACAGGCATGTGTCCCACGTAGCGAGGCTCTCTTCGTGTGAGGTCCATAAAGGGGCGATACTTACTGCAAAAGTGGAGAACATATCGATCACCTTGAAGGTAGCGCAGCCGAGCATCTGCTCTTGCAGGAGTGTGGCTTCAGCGCCGTGAATCCGCAATGCACCGTGCAAGGCGGTGTGGTTTCCTCGCGTGTCGGCGAGGTTACACAGCGCACTTCTTTAACTGTTGCTGCTAATCCTTTTCCTTTATCCATCCCCAGCCGTGATCACGAAAAGACGGTGTAGTTAAACCAAAACACAGCGCAAAAGGAAACCTCCGCCAGAAGACGGGGGGAATACAGGGCCCGCAGCACACGCAGCAGCGATCCACGCAGCACGAAGACGGAAGCCGAGGGCAGAACGACACCGCAGAAGGAAGAAAAAAACAAAGAAAATGGTTCGGAAGAAATGAAGAGAAAGAGGAAGAAAATATGAAAGAGAGGGAGTTAATTCGCCAAACAGTGAACTTAGTAGGAAAGAGGACAAGCCGCACACACACAACGGATACAGAACAACGGGTGAGGATATTTTTTAAATACAGAAAAACAGAAGAGATAGCGGCCTCAATGAATCGCTTCCCGTCTCTGCGCAACAACCAGAGCCTCCAAGGCGCCCTTAACAAACAGACAAACACCCAGAACAGAAACGGCACGGCACAACAGCTTTTCAGAGTGCAGCAACGGAAGAAGAGAAAGTAGAAAACAAAACAAGGAAAGAGAATTCCATGACCAGCAAGAAAAAAGAATACCGCAGGAAAGGTACAAATCAGCACGCGTGCCGACTGATAGAGAGCGTGTGTAGATGGCGGATACACACAAACGAATGCGCCTCGGACAGTGGATTTCAGCTCCACTCTCCCCCTTCCGTTTTTGGGAGGAAGGCTACAAGTAGTAGCAGCTGCCCTCGTGTTTCAGAGGTTTTGTTGCTGCCACACGTTCAACCACCGCAACGCCTCCGCACGACTCAACGCAACGCCACCGCACGTTGGATAAAGCACCCGCTTTATCGCAAATTGCGGGTTAATAGAGAGAGCCTGGAAATGGCCCACGACAGCAGCAGAGCACAGCTCCGTTGGAAGTTCATCAGCAGGGGCAGAGAGAGAGTGTGTGTAAAGAGAAGGGCCATCGTTGCCGGTGCTCCGCTGCGTTATCGCAACCCGCACGCACCGCAGCAGGCAGACGCCTCTTCTCTTTGCCGTAGATGGCACAGGAGAGAAAGACGCGCGCGCGTATCTCATTAAAGAAAAAAAGAAACAAGTTTTCAGCAACAGACGCAGCGCTGAATAAAACTGTTATCTGCTTAGAAAGAAAGAAAAACCTCCCCTTCCGTGTGCTCGTGGCTCAGCTAAGAGGTTCAGAGAAGCTACACCACAGGCACCTCCTTGCTCCAACTGCGTCACTGCGCCGCTACCGGACTGTACGCCCCCACGCACTCGCCTCGGTCATCACCATCCTGGAAATTCTCGTTCATCAAAAACAAAAAAGAAAAAGGGGAACAGGGAGAAGAGCTTTATCAACTTTTATTCACCGTTTCCGTGCAGGCCAGTTCGCTTTACAGCGCCTTCGGCGAAGTCCGCCGACACAACACAAAGAAGATGCACTGCGCACGGGGAGAAACGCCATCACAACGCATCGCAAAGGCAATACAAGAGGAGAGGTGAAGCGGCCAGCAAAGCAGACCGAAGGAAGTGCAGCTCCCATACGAGTAACAGCGACGACGAGGAAACCCCCTCCCTCCTGAGCCAACTGCGGTGATGAGCAGCTACCCCCAAGTGTGGTTCATCACGCGTTTAAATGCAGTACTCTGCATCATCGTCAGAGGCCTCCGGTGTGAGGACGGAGTGCTTCCTGCGGCCTGGATTGAAGCGGACCTCGAGGCCCAGGTCGGGGTCGGTGCCGGTCGTGGTCGGACTCACCGGACTCGCCGCACACGAAGGCGCCTTCTCTACCGCCGCAGCCGGTCCGTCCGACATGCCGTTCGACGGTGTCGACGCCGTCTTACTGCTGTTGGTGCCCGCAGCCATCGTCGCTGTCGCTTTGCCGTTTGCCGACGTGATGTACACCAACGTATTCTTCTCGGCGCAGTAGAGCAGTACCGAGTCCGACTCTGCCTCCGCTGCGCAGCTGCTCTTGAACTGGTTTGTCATGACCGGCGCCCGCCGCTTGGGAGGAGCGGGCCTGCCGCCTGCACGGGAGACTTGGCATATCACCGTCGGCTTGCGTTTGCCTTCAGTGGATGCAGCCGCATTCGGCCGCGTCTCGCCCTCCGTGAGAACGGGCTTGCAATTCAGCGCCGACGTCACCGGCCGGCTGGCTTGCGGGAGGTACGCCGTGCTGGCGGTGGAGGTGGCCGCAGTAGCAGCAGCAGTAGCCGCAGCGGAAGACGAAGTCCGTGCCACTGCTACTGGTGTTGGTGTGCCTGACGTAGTTGACGCCGCCTTGGCTGGGGGTGCGATGAAGGGCGCCCCCCTCTCCTCCGTCGTCACGGCGCTCTCCTCCTTCGCCGCTTGCAGCCACCGCTCCAGTGCCCCCGTCCAGTCAAACTCCACACCGGAGCTGACGTCGTCGTCGTCACGCGCCGTCCCGCGCGGACGCACCAACTCGTCGAGCGGGATGGCGGTGTAGCTCGAGCCGCCGATGCCGAGGTCGGACAGCAGGGCGTTGTAGTCCCCGCCGCCGCGGCCGTCGTCGGCGGTGGGCAGCGTGGAGGCGGCGAGAGAGCTGCGGGTGCCGCCCGCCGGGCCCCAGAGGACGTCGCCGACCGTCTTGCCGCTGCCGGCGCTGGAGAGATCGCCGCCGCGGCTGTTCAGCGGGATGTGCACAATGGTGGGCGGCACCGGCGAGGCCTTGAGCTGCTGGAAGGAGCTCACTGCCGCGGCAACGGCAGCAGCACCACCCGAGCCGCTTGCGGCAGTGGAAGAGGCCCCAGCAGAGTGCGGCTCCGCGCGGGAAGAGGAATTGGAGTGTGGCGTTGCGCTGCCCTCCTTGCTCACCGGCACCGGCGACGCCGGCTCCACCGTAGCCTGTGGATGGTAGTTTTTAATGTTGCTCGGCACCACGAAACCACCAGAGCCAGACTTGTGCGGCACCACTATCAATCGAGGCTGCTGCTGTTGCTGGTGCAGTGGGGTAGAGGGCGAAGTGGGGCCTTCACCGCTTCTGCGTGGATCGGAGGTGGGCGTCGCAGTCGCAGCAGCAGCAGTAGCAGGAGTAGTCGCATTAGTAGTGCTATTCGTCGTCGTCGCCGCAGCCGGCGTCGGCGAGCCATTCAGCCGCACACCCGCCGCCGCCATCAGCCCGTAGACGTACTGCGGAGAGGCCACCTCCGCCGGTGCCGCCGACGTCATGTTCGACGCGTGTCGGCCGTGTGAGTGCGCCATCGTATTGCTGCTCACGACTTGCCGCGTGGGCTGCCTCAACCGCCGCCGTGACTCCTCACCGGCGCCGCCGTTGTTGTTGCCGTTGAGGCGGGGGCTGCTGTGCACCGGCTGGTTCAGCGGCATCGGACTGTTCAAGGTGGAACTCTGCGGAGTCGGTGTCGGCTGCGGAGGCCGCGGCGGGAACGTCGGTGGCAGTGGGACCGTCGCCGGGTACGGCATCGGGCTCTGCATGTGCGGCACGACGTTGATGGCGTGGTGGTTGTTGTTGATGATCGAGAAGGGGTGGTTGCCCACGGTGGGAATGTAGCAGGGCATGCCCGACAGCGCGGGGATGCCGCCGTAGGCCATGCTGAGGTCCCCGTAGAGAGCGTAGGTGGATGGGGGAGGAGGGGCAACGGAGAGGTTGTACGCCGCGGACGGCATCGGGCCGTGGCTCTGCATCGGCAGCGGCGGCGGCGGCAGCGTTTGACGTTCACGCTGCGGTCGACATCGAGCGTGCGCCGCGGCCGACTTCCCGCCAGGGATGTTGTGCGTGTTGCCGCCCATCACGGCTGCACCGCTCGGGGCATCCATTCTATTTTTCCTCGCCTTGCGCTTCGCATTGGCGCCACTCGTGTCCTGAGGACCGTGTTTGTTAATGCCGCCGGGACGGTGGTGGTTGGGGTGATCTGCCGGCCCGCTCCCCTCCGCGTCGTGCTCGGAGGCCGTCGAGCTGGCGGGCGATGACGTTGCCGCCGTCGTCTCCGGTGGAGCCGTCGCCGCGGCCGCCGTGCTTTCTTTTGGCTCCGCCCGCAGCTCCTCGTCGCCGTGGGCGAAGGCGCACTTGTCGCCGAACGGGCAGCCCTCCTCGCTGATGAAGAACGTACACATCGACGTCTTGAACTTGGAGGGCTTGACGATGTCGTGGCGGCGATTTTTCGTCATGTTTGGGGGCTATTTGGGAGGGGGGGGGGGACTTCGTTGGTGGCCGTGCGAAAGATGATGCGTTGAGACGGTCGATCAACAACAGCCGCGACGGCGCGTACGCGAGCGCGGAGCAGAGAAGATATCGCGCAGGCACACGAAGAGCGCGTCTCGCCTGACCGCAGCCACACGCGCACGTTGAATACGGAGAAAAAAGAGAAAAGAAGAATCAAAGACGAAGAGAAAACACAGAAAAGGGTCGCGGCCGCTGCGGTGGTACTGTGGAGGCGGCAACAGATGCGAAGTGCTCTCGTCACCCAAACCGGCGCTTTTCCCTCTTGCTTTTCTTTAAGCTTATGCCCAAAGAGCAACGCAGCGGAACGCAGCAGGTGCCTTGGTTGGGCTCGTCGCCTTGCTTCACGAAAAGGGATAATGGAATATATAAATAAGAAGGAAAAGAGAAAGAGGACTTTTTATATGATGGAGGCGTTTTCCTTACTTTTCTTTCCTCACCGCCAACAACAAATTAAGTTTTCAAATGCGACTTCGTGCACGCCCTGCCTCTTCTTCGCAACGTCACCGCTGCTGAGGTGTGTGCGCCCGTTGCGGAGAAAGTGGGGAGGAGGGAGGTCTTCTCTCCCACGTACTGCTCTCGTCTTTCCACCGATGAATTATGGACTTCGCCTACCGCAGCTTCGAGTGCCCCGCACACGTGCCGGTGAAGCGAAGGAAAGAAGCAAAGAAAAGGGAGGTAAAAGAGCCGGATAAGCTGTGAAGCGCGTTGACGTGCACACACACGCACGCATTCGCCAGGTTAGTCGGAAGGGAACTCAACCGCAAATACCAAAGAAAAGAAAATCAGAGGTGAAACCAACTGATTGGGGGGCAGAAGGGGGTAGTATCTGTCAGCTTTGATCACTGACAAGTAGAAAATAAAGATATATATATATATTTATGTGTAGGCAAGTCACGTTAAAAACGGATGCGCCAACAGCCTTTGCTTTCCCTTCTTTGTAGCAAACTGCGACGTGAAATGAGAAGGTGTTCGGCGCAAGATAGCGAGTGCCGGTACACCAAACGTACGTGAAGAAAAGGAAAATAAAAGGAAAGTGCGACGTTGGACCATACGAGAGGAGAAGAGGGAAAAGACAAAGAGGAGGCGAAGCGGGGTCGAATAGGCGTACGAGTGGTGGTCAACGAGCATGAACTGTCCGTACCCGTTGCCTCGTTGCGTGGCATGAGAGAAAGCGACTCGGGTTCGAGGGTGAACCCGAAACGCAAAACACTCGCAGACGGAGTTGCAAGAAGCCGCGTTCAGGTCCGACAATCCCCGCGAAAACGGAGCCAGAAGTTCCGCGCAACAAGCAGCGCTCCTCACCCGGACGTGACGACGTAAGCAACGGAGGACGCACCACGGAGAGGTCGGCAGGGCCGCGCGTCTCCCACGTCGCGCCGCGAAGACGGTGGATAGCAGAACAGAAAGACGTCGTGAGTAAATTTTGAGCTTCGTTAAAAACAAAAAAAAAGACACTTAAATTAATCTTGCAGAGTGGCTTTTCGTTCTTCTACTTACTTAATCTTCGAATGAGCGATTTCTTCCTGTTAAAAAATGAAAGAACAGTTATACTCGCGTAAAGAGATAAAAAAAAAAGTACAAAAGAAGGAAGCGGACGAGAGAGAACCCTTTGCCCTCCTACGCCGCACACGCGAGACCAGCGTCCGCGTACGGTCCCCCTTTTTCTTTTCGCGGTTATCTTTTGCGCCCCAATCGTAACGTATGCGCGTCCACGCCGCTTTGCTTTTGTTGTCTCCTCCTTTGAAATGGAGAAAAGAAAAGAAAAACCGATGCGATGACCCGCCTTAAGCAAATGTGCGCTGCCGCCACGTCCGCCGCAGTTTCTTCGTTTCCTCTCAAATAGAACAACCGTTACCGCATGATTTCCATTAAATTTGAATCCCTCCCCTTCCTCTCTCCCCTCTCTCTCTCGCACCATCTTCTCCGTCCGCTACTTGAAGTCCACGATCATGAGGGTCATGTTATCGGTGCCTTCCGCCGTCGCCGGCCCACCCTCCGGCGCCGCACCGGCGAGGCACCGGTCACACACCGCCTTGCAGATGTCCACGTTCTCCATCCCGTCCGCCTTCTTGCCATTGATGAAGCTGATAAGTTCGTCGTTGCTCAGCACATCGAAGATGCCGTCACAGGCGATCACCACGTACGAGTCCCCGCCGCCGCGCTTCGTCGTGATGACGCCCGGCACTGCCACTACGAGCTGCTGCTTTACGTCCCGCGTCGCGTCCTTCTTATACACAAAGTCGCCCATGGCACGGCTCATGGCGAGCTGGCCGTTGACGCGGTTGTCTCGCACGAAGCCGCCAGCGTCCTCGACGCGGGTCTTCTCCACCTCCACGTCCGGCTTGTGGTCGTACGAGAGGTCGAAGGAGGCGATGTCGCGGCACAGCACAGCGCGGGAGTCACCGACCCAGGCGCAGGTGATTTCCTGCGGAGAGACGTACACCAACACGGCGGTGCAGCCGGAGCCGCCCTCGCCCAGCGCCGTCCGCAGCTGCTCGTCTACTTCGAGAAAGGCGGCCTCGTAGTTGATGTTGTGGTGGTCGTCGCCGTCCGCGCTGGCGTGCTTCGCGAGCGCCGTGGTGAAGAAGTCGCCCGCCAGCTTCGCGCACTGGGCACCGGAGTGGCCGTCGAAGACACCGAAGAGACCCTCCCTACCCTGTTCATCGCCCCCAGGGAACGCCACGTTGATTAAGTGGGCGTCTTCCATCTGCGCACGCCAGCCCTGCATCTCGCCGACGGCGACGTCGAAATGCGGATTGCTGGTGATTGTCTCGCTATGGAAGTCCGTCACGGGCGTGGTGTTGAAGGGGCGCTGCGCCGCGAGGAGCTCGGAGAGCAGCCGCTGCAGCTGCATATTCTTCTGCCGGTTCAGCAGCGCTTTCTCCACATCATTACTCTTGCGCTGATCCGTGAGGTCGGCGTGCTTCTTGCGGTGCTCATCACGGAGCTTCGCCTCACGCGCCTCCTTCTCCGTCCGCTCCTTACCCACATGTTCGGTACTCTTCGCCAGCGTGGAGAGGAACTTCTCGAAGTCATCCTCCTCCACCTGCTTCTTCGATTTGCCTTTAGTCTTGTTGTTCACATGGCCATTGTGCTTACTCGCGTTCTTGGCTTTTGGTGGCATCGTGCAGCGTTTGGCGTTGTTTTGCGAGTAGGATGGGGTTGGAAGTAGCAAGTAATTGAAAAGGCAGTCAGGTGAACTCGGTATGGAAAGAAGAAAACAAAAATGCGAAAAACAATCGGGCTCTAGCGCCGCAGCAGTGGCTGTTGGATGCAAAGGATGGGGTGCGTATGTGCGACTCCCAGGTGAGTGAAAGGAACGGCGTGTGAGTGTATAACCGCGCGAGCAGAAAAATACGAAAGGAGGAGTAAGACAACAAACGACCAAGCCGACGTATGGAGGAGAAGTGAAACTACTAGGTGTTCTGTTCGAGGAGCTGAGTGCGGCAGACAAAGAAGAAAAAAGGAAAAACATATATCGAGGGAGGGTCAGTGAAAGGGAAAACACCATACCTACGGAGGGAGATGGACGACGGGGAGAGACGGGGTCGTGAGCAGCCACGATGCACCTCTCTTCTTCCTCCTTGAGGAGCGCGAGCACTTCAGGCGGAGATGCCTCGAGTGAATGGCAAGACGACGAGGCACACCGAGGCGAGCGGGGGATGTAAGAAGATCTCCAAAAGCTGCTCCTGCTCCTGTCAGAGCAAGGAGGAAAAGGAACGTTAATGAAGTACTACGGGCGTGCCCGTGCCCCAGCGGCTTCGTGGCGTCACCCCATTGACTTGAGAGAGCACGCCAAGACAGCGGATCGATCAGCCGAACGAAGCGTTGACGCCCAGTGACACCATGTGCCTGCTCGGACGGACCCGTTCTTGCTTGTGGTGGTGGTTGGTTGCTAAGGTGGATCGATGGCACATAACGATTCGCATGATCGAGAGATAAAACGAGGGGGAAATGGCACGAGCGCAAGCGAGATCCAAATCAAATCAATAATAAAGGAAAAGTTCAACCAACACAGGGAAGCCAACAACGCGCAGCAATAGGGGAGGGAAAAAAGAAAGCACACTTGCTGAATCAGCACTACGGTGACACGGCTGTCACGGGAACAAGAGGGGAAATGTGGAGCTCCAGTCTGCTTGAAGGTAACGTGAAGGTTAAGCGGCACGACGCGGAAACCAAAAACATGCAGAACGGATGGAGCACCGAGCACACCGGTGCAAAAGCAGGAGGGAGGGAGCAGAAAGGAATCCGCATCACGGGCGGATTGGGCTCACACACCTTGCAGACGCTGCACAGCCGTCACCACGCATCACCACAGACAACGCCGCACGCAAGCAAGGAAATAAGAAAAGCGCACGATCCACTTAAGGACGGGCCACGCGTGCTGGGGAGGCAACGCCGCCACCTGCGGCAGCGCACTACTCCTCTGCCGTTAGAGGCGACCCGTCAGAGCCGTTCTTCTTGGCGGCAGACCGCGAAGGGGACGGCTGTGGTTGTGGCTGTGGGTGACTTGGTTGCTGTGGGGGTTGCTGGGGAAGGGTACTCTGCTGCTGGCGATGCTGGGCCTCGCGCTCCTGTTGCTGCATTAAGTCCGACATGTACAGCGGCATTAGGAAAGGGTGCTGCAGCGCGTCTCGGCAGCTCATCCGCTCCTCCGGCTGGTAGCGCAGTAAGCGAGCAACGAAGTCGAGGAACTCGCGGTAGGACTTCTCGTCGTGGCCCGGTGTGTCGAGGCGGCGGCCGCGGGGGCCACCGGTGGCGACGCCGAGGACGCTCTCGAGGCCGCGCCGCTCGGGCACCGGCTCCTTCAACTGAAACCCTGCCGCGAGGCTGCCGAAGTAGAAGCGGCTGGCCTTGGGCGACGCTGCGATCATCTCCGCCGGAACGGGGCCCAACGTGCACTCGAACTTGGACAGCTGCGCGGCTTCGGTGCGGCCGTCGAAGAGGGGGACGCCAGTGTGCAGCTCCACCAACACACACGCCAACGACCACCGGTCAATGGCCGTGCCGTACTCTAAAAACAAAATTACCTCGGGACTGCGGTAGAAGCGGCTTTGAATGTAGCGGTGGAAGCGCTTGACGGTGTAGCAGGCGGAGCCGAAGTCGATGAGGCGAATGCCGCTGCGGTTTTGGTTGCGCAGCAAAATATTCTCCGGCTTCAGGTCGCAATGAATAATAGGGTGCGGCTTCTGCGACTCCAGCTGCAGCAATGTGTGAGTGAGCTGGTAGGCAAACTTCCGCACGAGGTCCAGGCTGACACCGTTAAAGCGCGTGCACTTGATCAGCTGGTACAAATTAAAGCTCAGCAGCTCAAACACCAGCACGAGGTGCCCCTGCCACTCAAACACCTTCAGCAGGCGCACCACGAGGTGGTTCAACGCCTGATTCTCGTTGACGCGCAGCAGGATGTCCAACTCCAGCTTTGCTTGGCTGCGGAAGCTCGAGCCACGTCGCGTGATCTTCATCGCCACCGCCTCCGACCGCTTCTGGTCAAAGCCTCTAATCACCGTGCCAAAGCTGCCCTTGCCCAGCACCTCCTGCGCGATGTACCGCTGGAAGATGACCTCGCCAGGGAGGAACACGTAATGGCCGTCCTTGTCATCGTAGCCGTTGTTGTACTTGGGACCGGGCGACTCCAGTCGTCGCTGGGCGCAGTACTGCGCGTTGACTAGCTTGTACAGCTCTAGCAAATCGGCGCTGAGGGCAACGGCCGGACGTGCGTAGGAGGCCGCGGCCACCGTCTCGTCCGTCTCCGCCTCCGCCCCGCTGGAGGCGCCACCGTTGTGGTGGTGGTTGTTACTGCTTCCTGCTTTGGCGGTAGTGGAAAGATGCGGCGGGGGCGGCGGGGGCATCGGCGGGAGCGACGGGCCCGCACCCGAAACAGAAGTCGAAGCGGCAGTGGAGGAGGAAGCGGCGGCGGACTGCAGGGGCGGCGGCATGGCGCCGTTGCTGAAGTTTAGCCACGTATGGCCAGCCGGCTGCCCGGCAACCACAGCAGCAGCAGCAGAAGTAGTAGTAGTAGTAGTAGTAGTAGTATTAGCAATATTAGCAGTAGTAGCGGTAGTAGTAGATGACGAAGTCACCTGCGTCGAATCCCTCGTGGCTGCAGCAGCGCCGTTGCTAGGCGGCGAAAACGCGGAGGGTAGGGTCTTCGACAAAGAAGGGACCGTCGTGGCGGCAGCGTACACGCCGCTGCTGCTGCTCAACGTATTGAAATTGCTGTTGGATGTCGCGGTCGTCGTAGTTGCGGCAGTCGGCGGTGGAGCTCCACTCGTCACTAGTGGCGACATCGTCGCGGGAGGTGTGGTCTCGCTGGTCGGCAGCGCGTTAACGCTGGCGCTGGACGACGACGCAGCCGTCTTGGAAGTTGCTGACCGCGCCGAGTCCGGGCGTGTGGCGGCGTTGATGGAAGGGGGGATGGCGAGGCCGCTCCCAGCAGAGGGGTCGACGTAGCGGCCAGGGCCCCCGGCGCTGCCTCCTGTCGGTCCCCCTGCCGGCGCACGCGCGCTGGACAGGGGGGAGGGGCGGGAACGCATCGCAGCCGCGGAGGAGGGAGAAGAGGAAGAGGAAGGGATAGCGGTGGCCGCTGAGGCAGCAGCACTGCTCTGTCCTCCACTGCTGCCAGACACGCGCAGCGAGGGCGCTAAACCCGCTTCGTACACGCGGTGGTCACGTGCGACCATGACCGGCTCTCCTGCCGCGGTCGGCTCGTGAAGAAGCTTCGCCGGCGTCGTCTCTGGCAGGCGCCGCTCAGCGGATGCGGATGACGAGGGCAGAGCGCGTGGAGGGGGAGCGGCGTGCGTGCTCTCCGCCTCCCCCTCATTCTCGTACGGCGCGTTTGCGTCGACGCCCGTCTTCTGGTGCCCAAAGACGGCGGGCTTGGCTGAATGCCCCGATGCCACTCTCGCAACGTCGGACATTTTTCCTCTGCGCAGTGCCGCGGACGGGGGGGGGGGGGTCACAAGAAAGGAGGAGGAAAGCAAAGCCCCACGATCCGGTGCTCCCAGCACAGCTGCAGGGTCGACAGAGGAAACACAAGCGTTCCCCAAAGAAAAACGCAGGCGCGGTGTGTACAGAGAATGATAATAATAAAGGGCGGAAATGGCGTCGCAGCACAGCGCAGCAGCGGCGGGGTAGGTGACGACGGTGCCGAGAGCAACACAAGAGCCTGTGTCAACGCACAAAGGAAAATGATAGACAATGAATGGAGGGAAAACGAAACGAAACACAAGAAAAGGAAAGCAAGACAGAGCGAGCGAGCGGAGTGCGTGCGTGTCTTTCACAGCCGCTGCGAGTGTACCGAGTTGCGAACTGCCAACGCAGCAGCGAGGGAAATGGAGGAAGAAGAAAAAGAGTCGTACAGCGGCCCGGCAGCCAAGAGCCTTTTCCGTAGCGTACAAGCCTGTCGCACGGTGTAGACGTATTCGAGAAGCAAGAGAAGAAGAAAAAAAACACGCAGTGGCTAAAGCGATGAGATGGAAAGAAGAGTAACAAAATCCGCGCCTTCTTTACTTCGATGCAACTGCCCGTTACGAACGGGCACGGGCGCGGTTGGGTGCGATGGACGAAAGGAAAGACAAGAGAAAAGGGCAAAAGAGCCACAAAGAAAAAAAACACCGTGATCGCTGCGGTTTCGCACGAGAGAAGGGAGAAAGGAGAGGTGGTGCAAACACTCGTTTTTCCTTTATTTATTAGCCTTTCACTGTTCGGGTCAAAGGAGTGTGTATAACCTCACAAAAACGTACGACACACGGCCGGCGACGACAAACTATATATATATATATATATATATATCACGCACCTGCCTCCTTCTTCTGCTCTGGCGTGTGAATGAGGAAAAAAAGAGAAGAGAGTTGAATACAACCAAAACGCGACAGGTTGCGCAGCCGCTGGGGACGCGTTGTATTACCCACGAATTAAGAGAAGAAGAAGAAAAAAAACGAAAACAAGTGAGTGCGCTCAACGTATTTTCACTCACTAGCAAATACAGAAAAAAGAAAGCTTAAAAATACAAATATATATTTGTTTCTAATGCAGCAAGTAGTTGCTCGTTGTGTACGTGCTCTCTCCCTCTCTCCCCCTCCCTCTTGAGCCACTGCTCAACTTCTTAGCTGTATTTTTTTTTCTCTTACTCCAGCGTGTGCTGTCACGGGTCCGCTTCCCATGCAAATACACACCCGAGAGAGGTATGCGTGAGCTGAGCTGATAAGGGCAGGTGAGGCACAGTACTGCACGCCAATGAAAAGGATTTGAATGGCCTCACGTCGTCCTTATTCTGGGTTAAAAAAAAAAGGATGTAGTCGAAGCCCGCACACGTGCACACCTCAATTCCGAAAAGAAGAAACGAAGAGAAACAAGTAAAGGTATATAATATTTTAGTAGAGATGTTAGACCGCGGTGGTGAGAGAAGGAGACGAAATAAGGATGAAAACCGAGAGTAGAACAAGAAAGGAAACAGACAACAGGAGAGGTCTGAAGCCCTTCGACTGCGTATATATTCACGTCGTTAAATCCCTGCGTAAAGCATCGGAGTTTGGCGTACGTTTTAAAGGTGTAATGGCGATGAAAGCGAAAGCACCGTAAACGCCGATGTGCGGGTGAACGTTGGTGCGAGCGTTGTGAAGAAATAATAAGAAGAGGCAGCGCAAAGGCAACGAGAAGAGCAGGAAAAGTTTGTTGTGACTCCTTCACACATCTTAGTCGTCTACGCCGCGAGCCTTCAAGATTTAGAACAAGACGGTCACCAGCACCTTAGCAAAGGATAACAGCTGCATTCGGGCTGACTTAGTCCACTCGCTTCCACGTTTGAGGAAGCGCTGCGAGGAAACGCAGCGGCAAAGCAGCCAAGACATTCTTGGAGATGCCCCTACAAGCGACTCGCAGCGAAAAAAAAGCCAGCTTCGCTACCGGTACACACTTCGATTGACTCTTTCCTTACTACATTTATTAATGGATAATCATGCAAGCGATCACCGGGGGATAGGAAGGAGGGGGAAAAGACGGACATCACAAACAAGGGAGTAAAGTGAGGAAAGCGCGACGTCGATTTGCAACGCGCTCGGCGAGAACATAATTCATATATATATTTTAAAAAAAGAAGAAACAGCGGCTGAACAGCAAACCATTTCAGCATCGCAGTTCGAAGTGATTTCCTGAAAAAAAAAAAAGGAAATGGAGGAAGAGAGAGAGAAAAGCGCGTGCTACATTCGGAGCTCCGATAGGTGGAGGAAACAGAGATGTACACGGCGCGCCATCTCATCGTTTATAAACTGTAGCAATAATAATAAACTACAGTATAGTGTATACAGAAGGCACAACAAATGTAGCAGAGAAAAAAGAGAAAGAAGACATCAAGCATGCAGGGGTGAATCGAATCCTAGTAGTACGCCCGCAGAACGCGACAAGATTTGTCAACTACCGACAGAAGTGCAGGAGACTCGGAAAGCAGCAGAATGAAGTTGTATAGGAAAGAAGACCTCACACGTACAGTCGGTCACGTCGTCGGTGCAGGACGATACCCAGCGACTCCGCCGTTCGTTCAGCATCTCGGGTAGCGGAGGAGCTCTGTGTGTGGTGGCCCTGTGGTGAAGAAAGAGGAGGTGCGGAGGAGGTCGGCGGCGCCGCCTCGTCAGCGCTGGCGGATGCGAGGATGCGTGCGCACTGCCGCAGCATGTACTTGAGCACGTTTACATTAAACAGCGGCGTCGGCGGCGCGGTGGGGCGGTCGGCGTCGTCGAGGGCGGACCGCACGCAGCCGATCATCGCACAAAGGCGGTCGTCGACGTCGCGTCTGTCGCACGCTTCACGCGCGCAGCGCACACGCAGGCGCCGGTGTGCGTCGGACAGCGTCTGCACCGTGCGTGCGAGGCGTGCAAGCTCATCGTTGGTGCTCTCAGCACACGTGGATTTCGGTGTGGGGTTACGGAGGCGATCGTCTGAGCTGTCATCGCTACCCTCGACTGTCTCGTCGTCGATCATTGCATGCACGCTCACATACACACCCTCGCCGCAGAAACTGACATCGTCGTCACGCGTTGCAGCTGCGTCAAGGAGGCCGTCGGTGCGCGGCACGGAGTTGGCGGGTGAAGTCGTCGTGTTCGTCGGCGAGCTCCTCAAAGGAGTTGCCCTTTGCACTGACTGCTCGTGGCACGCATCCACGCCTCCGTCGCCGCCGCTGTTCGCCGCCTCTGCAGCAACGTCCACCGCCGAAGCTACCGCAGAGCGTTCAGGTGGTGTTCCCTGGACGCCCACCGTGGCACCACCGGCATTGAGGCGCAGGTCATGGGGAACTGCAGTAGGCCCAGGAAGTGTGTCCACCACATCAGTGCTCATTAGTGCAGTGCTGCTGCTTGCAGGGATGAGGTCACCGTCGACTTCGCCGTCAAAGGAAAAGCTTCTGCGGGTCGCCGCGGACGCCTCCGTCAGCGACACGTCCGCGGAAATCCCTCCCTTGATGAGTGACACGAAAGGCGATGACAACGGCAGAAAGGGTGCTGCGCCCTCTGGAAGGGGCGGACTGTCACACGCACTTTCGGAGGCGGCGTCGAAGGAGAAGGGGTGCGATGTGCGCCGCATCAGCTGCGTCGCGTGCAACAGCGACGACTGTAGCGCCGCAATGCGCTCCTGCTGCTGCTGAATCACGTCCAACAAATACCGCTGCGAAGGCGACAGCAGACCGGCAGGGAGGGAAAAGGCAGTCGACAGCTGCAGATCGTCGTCGCTGCGTGTGGTGTGGCGGTTTGGTGGGGTCAGGGGAGAGAGGGAGGTCAACGTCACCGAGGACTTTTCAGCGGGGACGCCGCCACGGTAGTACGTCGCGGGTAAGTCGGCTACGACGGTGTGTGGCGTAGTGACATCGGTAGAGGAGGAGAGGACGGGTGAAACCAAGGCGCTGCGAGCAGCCGCGACTTGAACACCGCCGCTGTTCATGCCTTTCAGATATCAACAAAGTAAAAGGACGAAAGAATGTGGAGCGCAAAGAAAAGCGCTGAGTTCATTTGGCAAGTTAAGAAAGAAGAAGGAAGAGAAAACCCACGCAGCACCACAGAGTTATCCGCAGGCTTTTCTTGAAGAACCGAGCACGTATGACAAAACACCAACAGACATGAGCGCGGAAAGAAGAAAGGAAGGAAGGCGATTCTCAAGCAGAGAAGGAGCCACGCACTGGTGAAAGCACTTACTACACTAAAATGGCGCGCTTAGCGATGGAAAAGGATCGCGAACGGCGCGTGCAGTTATTCCACGTGCTGCGTGAGATTGCGTGGAAGCGGCCCTGCCCACTTGTGACCCAGTGAGAGCCTTGGTTTTCACAATCCCGGCACCGAAGTGAGGTGCGGCTGTTCCCGCAACCCCAAGTCCCCTTGGTGGGCTGGATCGTCCCCGCGACAGCAAGACGGGGAGCGAGCGAGCGCGAGAAAGTAGAAGGGAAAGACTCCCAACGGCGCCAAGGCACTTCTTTTATTTCCATCCTTTTCTGCTGGCGTTGATGGCGTTACTGCTGCGGTTTAAAGTGTTGAGGCCCGCAACGTAATAGCTCACTTCCCCTCCGCAAAGAGAAGAGTTGATAGAGAAGAGACAATAAAGGCAAACAAAGAAAGAACGCAGCCAATGCGGCCATAAACGATTACGGCTGCATCGAGGCGGCACGCTTCACAAAGTCGCCGTTCGGGTCCGTAATCCAGCCCACCGCCGGGTACTTGCTGCGCAGCCGCTCCTCCCACTCGTGCAGCGTCTGCAGATGGCTCGGCGCCAGCGTTGTCCAGTCGGCGTTGATTTCATCGCGGCTGACCACCACCTTGCCCAGCTGACGCGAGCTGTCGCAGCCCGCAAAAGCGTTGTAGGGCCCCTCCGGACCGTACCAGTCCAGCGACGCGTTGTAGATGACGCCTTTGACGCCGACAAAGGCCTCCGGTTTCGTCTTGCCGTCGTACTCGGCGAGTTCCTCCACCGTGTATGCGCGTGGGACGAAGAGGTTGGCGCGCGGCTTCTCCGTCAGTCGCTCACGGCTGCGGAGCTGCAGCCGCAGCAGCAAGGTGGCGATGAGGCCGACCACAACGCCGACGACGATGGCCATCGTATTCACCTCGCCTCCCTCCGTCACAAGAAGGCTTGCCATGGCGTTATATTTAGACGGGGGTTTAAAGAGGGGGTATAGAAGGTGTAGAAAGTATATTTTCTGTTTGCTTGGCTTCACTTTTCCTCTTCTTTTTGTATTTATCCAGGAGCACTGGAGATTCGAGACGCGTCCACGACAACAGTGTCGCTGTGCGGAGTCGTCCTGGCAAGCTGCAAGCAACGGGAGAAGGCGGCAACCACAAATCGTGAGGGGCGGCGTCGCTACAGACCTCAGAGAGACACAGCGCGGTAACGCAAGGTGCGTAGAAAAAAGACAAGGCACGGAGGGAGAAAAACAGAAAAAAAAACAGGGTAATGGTGGAAATAATGATGACACGATTGCGGCGCAAATCTTTCGCGGGAAGGGAGGAAAAGAGAAGAGGAAGAGAAGTCGTAGAACGAGGTGAAGGGTGAGCTTTTCGGAAAAGGTGGAGTCGCGTGAAGCCAGCTACCTGGCTTGTTCGCTTGATTGCCGCGATGCGGTGCGGTGCGACAGCAAGGGGGAGCAAAGGAAAAGTAGACTTGTCCGTTCGTTCCGCAGGTGGAGAAAAAAAGAAGAGATACGCGTGTCGTGTCCATCGCTGTGTCGTCATTGGCCGAACCCTCCCCTCTCGACCCACGGTACACGCAGCGGCAGGCCACACCGTTCGATACGAGTTCGTTGCTCTTTCGGTACAGCAACACGGAAGAGAAGAAACACCAGCCGCGACGAAAGCCCGGACGTTGTGGTGATCAATGGAAAGAAGTCAGCAACACGGCAGCACACAGGATATGAATAAAACAGAGAACCACAAGACTCACTTGACACGCCAAATATATACATATATATCCATGTCGAGCACGAACAGCAACGTGCGGCAAAGCAAAGGAGAGACAACACGGATGTGGACCGCGGCTCACTCGCTGAATGCGGCGGGCTCGTGAAGGAAATCAGCGCAGCCGACAAAGTGCTCACGATAGGTGGAAACATCAACCAGGTTTTTTTTCCACAAAAGCACAAACAAAAACGGCGACAAAGCTCGCAGTTTCGCAGAACTAATGAACAATGCCGTCCACCTGCAGCTCCGTCTCAAGACGCTCGATCGAGTAGGTCGGGAACACACTCAGAATAAACGACTCCACACATTTGGCAGCCATGTAGCCAACTTTGCGCGGTGTCGATACGGGGTCCGTCTGCCCTTCTGGCTTGAAAAGGCGTCCCAGAAAGGATGGGGCAGACACCGTGCCTGTCTCGTGGCCAATCCTAAAGTTGTGCACAACGGCACGCAAAACCGAAAAGACGGCGAAGATGCCGAGGAGAACGAGCAGGATGCGCCCATCTCCATCCGACTGTGAGTACACCAGATACCCCAGCAGCGAGAATTGAAGCAAGCGGATGATGTTCTCGCTTATCTGCTGCAGGGCCCAGCTTGCCGCCGTACCCACGGCGGCACCGATACGACCCATCACATCCGGCTGCGTTGGTGGGGAAGGGGTCCGGCCCACGCCTACTGGGCTGCCGTCTGCTGCTGCTGTTGCTGCCGCATGGCCGTTCACATCACCCACGTCGTGAAGGCGTCTGCGCAGCCCGCCGTGACGCTCCTGCGCCAGCGCCGTCAAATCCTCGCAGAGCTCCGCGGCGAGTCGGCGACGACGCTCTCGCTCCGCCTCGCCGTGCAGCTGCTCGAGTTCGTGCGGGTGGTAAACGGGATCGCCGCTGCGGCTCTGCTGTGCCAAGTCGGACCTCCGCGAGGCCACGTAAAACTGGCGGAACTCCTCGTACGTCAGCGCCCGCTGCGACGGCGGCGGCGGCGGTGCTGCGTCCGTCGCCGCCGCCTCGTTGGTAGAGGAGGAGGAGGAGGAGGAGGAGGAAGAAGAAGAGAGAGAAGACGGTGCAGCAACGCGGGAGTCTGCAGCGAGGGCGGGGGCAGACACAGACTCCTCTTCGTGCTTTCCTTCCTCGCGGGCCGGAGTCCGCGCAGCCTCGTCTGACGAGACAGCGGCAGAGGGCGGTGGGGAGGGCATGAACAGAACAGGAAGGAAGCGAGTTTACGTAACGTTGCGGTGGCCGCGCCTCCTAATGAGAGAAGGTGTGTTTCCTTTGTTGCTTTCTTCGTTTGTGGACTACTTGGGGAACGCCTGGTGACTGCTGGGAGTGAAGGCCACGAATCGTTGAAGGGCGTTGAACGAAGAGATGAGAAGACGAGAGACAGAGAACAGGCACTCGAGGAGCGGAAGTTCTTAAAATGGGTGAAGATCATCTTTCAGATTTGTGAAGCTGGCGGGGAAGAACAGCGGATTTCCAGCATTTAGGAAAGAAAAGACTCAGGAGAAGACACACGCGCGTCGCATGAAATGCTGAGAAGACTGGATGACACACACACACACACCCTAGGCTGGGGGTGTGCTCCGCTCCTCTTTGAGGCGTCTGATTAACATTGACAGAGAAAGGGAATGAGCGCAGCTGCGGTATTTCCGTAGTGTTTTCCTCTCCTCTTTTTCTTTTATCATGTATTGTGATCCTTTACAAAATCAGTGAAATGAAAGAAACCATCATTGGGGAAAAGGTGTTACAACGCCCACTTCACGCGTAGCCGAACTTCTTCAGGACCTCCACGTTGTGCTTCGGCATCTTCGTGAGAGCCGCCTTGCGAGCATCCTTCCACGCGTCGCGCAGCTTCGCCTGCTTGTTGTGGTAGCGCGTGGACTTCTCCACGCGCGCCTTCTCCAGCTTGGCGACGACATCGCTGTACTTCCAGCCGACATGCTTGCACATGTTGCCGAGGACGGTGTAGGGACGCTCAGCGCGGTAGCACGCATGGCGCTGCGCACGCGGGATGATGACGCGGCCGCCGGTGCGGACCACGTTGGCCGGCACGCCCTCGTACGCCACCAGCGAGTTGAGGGCCTTCATGCCGCGCTTCGTGTAGCGGGGCAGCATGCTGCGCACGGTACGCACGAAGACGTCAGAAGGGGCGCGGTGGTGGAAGGGACCCTTGGTGGGGTTCGTCAGCTTGCGCTTGCGCAGGTACTGCAGGTACTTGATCTTGTTGCGGATCTCCGTACCGGCAATGTTGAGCTGCTCACACCGCACCACGGTGATCTTGCGGCCCAGCAGCAGTTGCTTGGCGACCACGGCGGCGGCGCGACCGAGCACGTGATCTTTCAGGTCGATCACGACAATCTCGGGACGGTGCTTCTTGATGCCCTTGCGCTGAGCGCGGGAGGCATTCTTGCGGCTAGGGACGGCCATTTTTGTTTTTTCTTCTTCAGTCGTAAAACAGCGAAAACACCTACGCACGTGTATTTTAAAAAGCAGAGAGCAGTTTTGAAGATGGAGAGGGCATCAAGGGACATTTGAAATGAGGAATTGTGCATGGAAAGAAAGACTTGCGTACTTCTCCTTTACAGCTGCCGCGGGATGCGCACCACGCATTCGCTGTGCTTAGCGGACCGTTGTTTCTTGACTGCCGGTACTTGCTATCTCAACTCCGAACGGAAACGTCGCCCTTCAAGCTGTTAAAAGTAACAAAAATAATAGTGTCCTTACGATCACGCAGACAATTTCGTTCTACAACCCGATGCAAAACAGCAATGTAGGGAGAAATGGACGAAGTGCAGCATGCTCTTCTTTTGATAATGCACCTTTGGTGCCCTTGGAGAGTCGGAAAAGCAATGTGTCTCAAGATGAACCGATAGCATTCACGCAGAGACAGGTTGCTGTGAAGGTTCGATGAAACTCGCCGTAAATAATAAACATCGACACAAATCTGCATCAAACAAAAAAGGAGGAAAAACCCGATATCCAAATTGCCAACCTGTTGTGCGTCGGAGCGCTCAAACGTTGTTGTTTCGCTTCTCTTATGGGTTACTCGTCGTCGGAGTTCAGCGTAAGGGCACCCTGTAAGTTGAGATTGGCGTCTTCATCTTCTTCGTACTCCCCGTTAGCCTTGAGAACACCGAGGTAGCCGAATCCGAAGCCGCACAGGGGAGTTTCAGAGAAGGACGGCGGCGTTGACGCCAGCAGTTCCTCTGGCAACTCAACTTGATGAAAAAGTGGGATATCAGAGGCCGCCAAGGTCTTTGCCGCAGCGGCTCGATTCGCTTTCTGCTCGTTGGCTCGCAGCACTCGCATTCGCCGCCGAAGTCGCTGCTGCCGCCGGGACCCCGTACTACGCGCGCGAGGCCCGCTGGCTCCTGTGTTGTTCTGTCGCGGAGATACCTGTCGCTTGCGAGAAGCGATAATCCGTTGCATGCGCTCTTTGTCGGCCGGCGCGCTGCTTGGCGGCGCGCTTATCGATTTTCGCTGAGGCCGCCTTGGCGGCTCAGCTTTCCCAAGTCGCCCTGGTGATGTGGCAGCAACCTCTGGCTTCCGATCATCAACGGGTTGCTCCCAACCACTCAGCCCGCCACCTAAGCTATCCGCTGCGCTCCGCGCGCCATTGCCTAGCAATCGTCTATTGCCACTCTCATGGCCTCCGGATTGAGGACACATCTCACCAGAAAATGCACGGCCCGAATAGCCTTCCTCGGCAGCAGAGCCGACATCGTCTTCTACAAGGCGAATGTAATCGCACTTCAGACTTGATCGGTCAGACTCTCTTCTCACCGAAACTGTGTTGAGTGGTGGCGCAGAATCAGGGAGTGGAGATGAAGCTAAAGGTTGAAGACGAGATGGATGCCCGGAAGGTCTTCCGCGTGCAGGCGACGGCGATGGCGAGAGAGGCGCGGAGCGCGTAGAAGACTGCGCAATAACGAATGAGTCTGCTGCCGGTGCACTGTTTGCCGCTTCGAGAGCCGGAAGGGAAGTCGGACTCTCAGCAAGCGGGCCGGCTGACTTCCAGATCGGCGGTGCATATGCCGGTACGGCAAACAGGGCCATGTTTTCCGGTGTCACGTCAATGCACACCTGCTCATCACTGCTTGTATACATACAACACACTTTTCCCGTTCCCGCAACCGTGATCGCGTCAATACACTTGCAGGACGGAAGGGAGAAAACAGAATGCACGATTCCGGCTACGTGGAAAACCACCTGCACCCACTTGCTGCGCGGAATGATGAGGGGGAGATATGCCGTGGTGAATTCGTCTGCGATATCGTCGCACTTTGCCGTTTTTAGATGTGTTCCTATTACCAATTTTGTCCTACGAGGGCTGCTATGCGATACTACAATCTCGAGTGCAAAGTGGCTCAAAACATCTAAGCATATTTGTGCAACCAGCAAGGAGTCGTGCAGCTGTAAAGACGACAGGGGACGGTCCTCGCGTGGAAGGCGAACGCTTGTCTCGGTGATTGCCCCTTTAAGGATAAGCACAGGTTTTTGAAGATGTCTATCCACATTGAATGAGCAGCCCCGTGGGTTGGACACTTTTGCGGTTGTGAGAAGCTTACTGCTAGCTTCCATCACCAGCTGAAGACTTGAAGTCATTGACAGCGGAAGATATATATTTTTTTATTGTGTGACTAGTGACTCTACTCCACCTGCACCTGTTTTACTTATCCCACAACCATAAGAATTGAAGTGATTCAATCCAGGCTCTGCCTGTGCATTGACCTTCGAAAAAAAGAAAAAGAAGAAGCCAATTATTTTCTTTCAAATAAACGGCTCAACGTAAGGCGAGCGACGGGGAAAAAAAAAGGGGAGAGAGAGAGGAGGAAACAAGGAATACAAGAGGGCTTACTGTTGTTGCTGTTTTCTTTCGTTATTATTTATCATCCAATTGACGCACAAAACGAAACTTTTTTCGCCTCACGATCAGAGCGATCGAACAAAGAAAAAAGTCATGACCAATTACAAAGGTAATGAAGGATCTGAATGCGCAAAACACGCCCTATTGCCAGCAAAACATTTTAAGAGATTATAATTAGTAGCAACCGCGCGTTGACACACTCTCAACGTTATCTCGCTTGCCATATCCAAGTTAGCGCTAATACACGCAAGCAGTTTTAAACATTTTATTCTATGATTGGTGCGCACCTCATGCACTCTGGTCTATCGAATTTCTATTCAATTATTAATCATGGTGCAGTGGGTTAGGAACAGGATCTCGAAAGAGCAGTATGTCGCGCTGCTGCACGAAATCTGGTGGCTCCAGCGTGATGATGCTACAGATACCATTTTCATCTACACACAAAACACCACCACGATTGCCAAACTCGTTGCAGTAGTTTGTGGCAGAAAAAACCGTGAGCAGATGGCGTTTCTTGTGGTCAGGGAAAAACTGAAAACCTTCCTCTACCACTTGGTGAGCACGACACACTAAATCAATGTCATTCTCTAGCAAAAATTGCTCCAGCGCTCTCTCAGAGAAAACAGCGGAAATGCGCCGCGAGCTTGGTGCCCAGTCGACACCATTAGGAAGGTCTGCCTCAGGATCCGCCCATAACAAATCACAAATGATGCCTGAATGAGGGACGTTACACGGTCGCGTGTCGGGAATGTCCTTTACAAAGCGCAATTCAGCGGAGAGGCCGCCGTGCATGCAAAAGATAGATCCGTTAACAAGTGCTGCGACGGGAAGTATCCGAAAAAGGTCCGTGAACATTTTGAAGAGCTTGACACCGTAGCGTCGCTTGCACTCGTCGTAAAAGCCGTACAGTAACATAATCTGCTCGTCCTCATGGTTTCCCCGGAGCATCCACAAGTGTTCAGGAGAAATGATTTTGAGTGCTAAGAGTGTCACAACAACCTCAACTGAGCGCGCCCCGCGATCAACGTAGTCGCCCAAAAACAAGAAGTTGTACATTTTTTCGTTTGGTGAAATTTCCTGGTCAGTGCGCTGCCTTTTGCTATCGGAACCGAAGACTTTTCCTCCGAGAGGTGGACAGCGTTTGAATATATTGATCAGGTCGTAATACTGCCCATGCAAGTCGCCGCACACGTATACGGGGGAGTCAATTTCGACAAAAATGGGTTCGCTGGCAATGAGGGCGCGAGCCTTGACTAAAATTTGAACAATTAAGGCCTCAGGAATACGCTGTTCCGCAGAAGAATTGCTCGTGTAGTGCTCCGGTAACAGTTCCAAAAGTCGGTATAAGACGTCGTTTTCGCTTTCAACAGATAGTGTATCCGTGGGCAACGTACTCAATGTGCACGTGGAGAGTTCCACAGTAATTCTCGCCCGTTTGTGCGGCATCTTGCTGTGAAATTGTGTGAAGCAACCCACGAGGTTGCCTTGTTTAGCTTATGATTTCCTTAGATCTGCTGGTTGACGACAAAGAGAAAGCATGTAAACACATAGGTAATAGGAGACATGAAGAGGGCAGAATTGTTCTTCTCCAATGCAACTAAATCAAGACTAGCTGCCGACGTAATCGAAAAGAGGAAATAAGGACCAGTTATTCGCGAAACATTTTCCTATGTTTCTCCCTTCTTTTCTCTTTTAAGAATGAGCATAAGGATGCCTTTACAAAAAAAAAAAAACAGTGACGCTATCGAAACGTCAGTGGTAGTATAAATTTTTCTTTTCTAGAGCCATTACCGCATCGCAAACAGCAGCTCATTTGGCGTTCTTATCTTTTTTAACTGGTTTGCATCCAAAATACGCAAAAAAGTGTTACAAAGGTTACGTTGTCGGATACATGTTAAACCATTTGCAGATTTGATCGCTTCGCACTTTAGCTCTCGTCATCCCCTCCAATTACAGGTGCATAGATAAGCGTCGGGACTTCGTCCTCACCTTCGTCATCCTTCGGGTGCTGCTTTTCGGAAGAATGCGATCGCTTTCTCGTCTGGACAGGTCGTTCACCTTCCATTAATTTAAACGAACCAGGAGTCCACGACGTCAAAGCAGCTGGTGGTGCAACCGACATTACGAAGCTCTCTGGGCTTTGCAAAAGAAACCCATTAAAAACAATCTCACGTACTCCAGCGCCGGTTCCTCTTTGGACAAGGATCAGACGAACGTGATCGTTTGTCTTCAGTTTGAATCGAGCTGCCACTGCGCATTGGGTTGCGTCTGTGATGGTGATTGGAACCGGTGGTCCTTCGGGCTCATCGTTGAAGTCTAAGCGTTGCAGCATTAAGTAAATTTTGCGTGACGCTGCTCCTGAGGCAGTTTTAAACATTACGCTGTTCACCTCTAGTGATGAGACAGTGGCCAATAGTGGGATCCGCAGCTGCGCAAAATGCGTCGCTGCGGTTGATTCAACGATGGACTCGACATCCAGGGAAAAAAGAAAAGGAATGTCGTCCAAAGCGTTCCCATCGTCCAGCGTCGAGAACAGAGATTTATGAAGCGGCAGCTCCGCCTTTTCGAGCATTTTGAAACTATCAAACGTTGCAGCTGTTAAGTTTGCGCCAGGACTCGTAGTACACGCAGTTTCCACTTTATTTATTAGAGGGGTAACACAAAAGAGAGAAGAAGGAAGTTCAGGTTAAGAATTTCAACTGGGAAAGAGGACGAGGCACAACTTACGAAGCAAAACGCATCTTGATTTGAATAGCCTGGTGATCAAAGCACAACCTTCACGTTTGGAAGCTGGGACAGCACGGACACCTGCCCAATTTATCGCTAGGGAGCGAGGAAAAAGAAGACACACAAAAACAGAGAACGCAACTTATTATTGTGGCGCAACTCAGCGTTGCCGTTCGCAAACGTATACTAAATTCAATTTCGTTTCCGTTGCTTCCAATACATGGCAATTCGCACAACATGCAACAAATAATACTAATAATCAACGGCTTCAAATGCAAAGCTCGTCAAGTTGAAAGTATCTCCGAGAAACAGACGGACGAGAGAGATTGGTTTCTGTTTTTCTCCTCCATGAAGATCGGAAACTTACAGATATCAAAAGCAACAACACTCTGGTGTTTTTGCAAATAGGTAACTTTGCGAAGTGCCACCGAAACCGGTGATTCTAGTTGCAATAGCCGCTTCATCCATTTCTCACCACTTGTCCTTCTCTCATTGAGACAAGGAACTTTCACAAAGTACATGGGGTACAACGAAAGGTGCACAGAAAACCGTTCCATTTTGGTGTCACGTTCCTTTCTTCTGTGACCGCTTTGTCTTTCTTTCTCTCCCCCCCCCCCTTTCCTGAAACGTGCATTTCCGTTCTGCAAATTTCAACACCGCCGTTCTTTTTTTAGACTTCTTTTGCCCTCTTGCTACCGGCCAGAACCTACGTACTTTGGTACTCCGTTAGTTTAACAGGTCCAACGTTCAATGCTTTCTTTACTGAAAGCTCGTTTCAGGAGTGCTTCCCATGTCATTACGGAACCAGAAACAAAGAAAACGAAATCCTCTAATCCTACAACTTCGACACAAATGTCTTGCTTCGATCTGTTGTCAAAGAGAAAAGATTTTCTTGCCGTTTGGAACGAATGTTGTCTCCTTCGAAACGGCGGGTGAAAAGGCTTCAAGGCTTTGCGGCGCAGCCAACGAAGAAAGAACGAGCCCTCGGCAGAAGTTCAGCTTTATGTTCGTTACACTGCCGTCCTTCAAAGCAGCTGCCTTTCTTTTTTCTTCTCCTGCATTTGCATCCAGATTGAGCTTTGCTCTCAACAACCGTTTCCGTTTCGTTTTCGACCTCGGTTTCTCTTTTCCTTCACAATTTTACTCACTTTATGAGCTTCTTGTTTTGAATTGTAACGGCTGACCAAAGCTCTTTCTCTTTCTCTCTCTCTCACTCCCTGTGCTTACTTAAAAAAAGGCACCTACATTTGTCTCAATGATGAGCTCTGCGTCCGCATACGGGCTGGACTTGCAAGCCAGGTCGTTATGTCCACTGTACCATTCTTCCCTAAATTCACAGGAATGCCACCGCTTTCTCATTGGTACTGCAAGCGCATCTACTGAAAACAAAATACACCTTCTCGAGTATCAAGACGACACTAAATCGCTCGAGTGCGCCACGGTGTGGTCGCATAATGAGCCCATTTCAGGTTTATGGTGCTCTCCGTCGCTGGCGTCCGAAGGTCTCCTGGCGGTTTCAGGGGTCCAAAAGTTGGAAATTCTCCGTCTTTCTGAGGACCTGGTGAATGAACCCAAATGTGTTCTGGCATTGAAAAAAACTTACAACCGTGTCTTGTGGGACCTTGATGGACTACAAAATGAGTTCAAAGCAGTCCAGCAAAGCGTGATTAGTACAATCTCTCTCGACTCATCGAAGCTAGGAAACGAGGTCGTTAACTTTACAGCAAAAAACGGACACATACGCTGCGCTGCCTTGGCTCCTTATGACCCTACGCTGTGCCTTCTCTCGTGCGACAAAGACGGCTTGCAGCTGGTTGACTTCCGAACGAAGAAGTCGTCGTCGTTTTCGAACATTAAAAATTGTCACGGTTTTGGCTACACAACTGCTCTGGATTTCGACCGCGCCAAACCTGGTCAATTCATGTCTGCTGGCACAGACGGCTATGTCTATGTGCACGATATCCGTTATAACACCTCGTGCTCAGTTGCTACCATCCGTGCTCTGAAGGCACACGAACATACAATTCACGGGTGCTTGTTTAACCCTTTCCACGATGAGTTGGTGCTGTCGTGCAGTTCTGATGAAACTCTCAAGCTTTGGGATATGGAGCAAGACGGCGAAGCCAAATGCCTCCGCCACCTGGCAGACTATGGTGACAGTGTGGTAGCCCTTTGCTGGAGCAGCACTAGTCCCTGGGTTTTTGCAGGTTTATCCTACAACGGAAAACTACTGGTCGACACTGTACCAAATGAAAAGAAGATGAGCATTCTTCTTGACGAGAGAAAATAAACCGACAGTTCTGGCTCTTTTATGTTGTGCTCATTTTTCATGGTTGCCTTGTGCTGCTCTCTTTCGTCGGAGAGGTGACGAGTATTTAACAGAAGGACTAAGTTACGCTGGAGTAAAAACGGTTCTTCCACGCTCCTGCTTTTTATCGTCTTTTTTTCTCTCGAGAGCGATAGCACACCTTTCTGACCTACCTTAAATCTTGGGGTCTATCGATATACGAACTTGGCAACAAAAGACTATTTCCTCAGAAATATATCATCAAAATATGTGCCTAGCGAAAACTCGCTTTATAGGCAGTCCGCAAAAGCATTTCGCCTTTCGAAGATTCTTGCTTTTAAAAGACATTTATGCACTCACTCCTAAACGTGAAACGCATACTGTATTACGAACATAGTTTCAGTAAATTTGAATATCCGCTGCTTTTTTTAGAGTAAAAGTTCGGGTTTATATCTAGTATCTCTTTTCATTTCGTTGTTGTTGAAGTCGTGCTTTAATGTTGCCATAAGCCCCTCAAACCATGAGAAAAGGAAACGATTTGGGTTTTATTCCATGAGAACTTTCTTGCCTTGTCTCCAGTGTCTTTTAACTTCCTACTTAAAAAAAAAAAACGGTTTCACAAGCAATTGTATTTGCACCACACTCTAGTATTCAACGTTAGTTTTAAAGAAAATAATAAACCTCACCGGTACCCATGTCCTCCACTGAAGATCTCCGCAAGGAAATCGAGGCTATGGCTTCGCAGATCGCGGAAACCAAAAAGACGCAAGGCGCTGACAGCGATGCATACAAGAATTTGGTGAAGAGGATGGCAGAACTCCGCAGCCAGCTCCCTCAGGACTCAAAGAAGGCGAAGAAGGAAAAGGTAGCTGAACCGACCTACTTTGAGTCTCGTCTCGCGATGGTGACAGAGATGGGTCTGCTTGGTGCCGCGTACCCGCACAAGTTCAACCGCCAGTACAAGCTTCCGGAGTTCCGTGCGAAGTATGAGCCTCTGCTGAAGGAGCCTGGAGAGTGCATCGCCGAGGTTGTAACGATCGCCGGCCGCATCATCAACAAGCGTAGCTCGGGCTCGAAGCTGCACTTCATCACGCTGCAGGGCGACCAAGAAACGGTCCAGGTCATTTCCGCTGTCACTGACTATAAGGATCCTGCGAAGTTTGCCGACATTCACTCGAAGCTCAAGCGCGGTGACATTATCGGTGTCGTCGGCAAGCCTTCTCTCTCCAAAAGCAAGGAGTTCTCCCTGAACGCAAGTGAGATCACACTGCTCTCTACTTGCTTCCACATGCTTCCCGACGACTACTTCGGCCTCTCGTCCTTCGAGCAGCGCTTTCGACAGCGCTACCTCGATTTCATCGTCAATCGCGACAACATTAACACCTTCCTCGCGCGCTCCAAGATCATCAAGTACATCCGCAAGTTTTTCGACGAGCGTGACTTTGTCGAAGTGGAGACGCCGACGCTCAACCAGATCGCCGGCGGCGCTACTGCTCGTCCGTTCGTTACTCACCACAACGACCTCAACCAAACGATGTTCCTGCGTATTGCGCCGGAGCTGTACTTGAAGGAACTGATCGTTGGTGGTATGGACCGCGTCTACGAAATCGGCAAGCAGTTCCGTAACGAGGGCATCGATCTGACGCACAACCCTGAATTCACCACCTGTGAGGCGTACTGGGCCTACATGGATTACAACGACTGGATGAGCGCGACTGAGGACCTCCTCTATGGCATCGCGATGGAGCTCCATGGCTCGCCGATTGTGAAGTACGCGCCGAAGGACTCTGAGGGCAATCCGCTTCCGGAGGTTACGTTCAACTTCAACAAGCCGTTCAAGCGCCTGCGTATTATTCCGGAGCTAGAGAAGCGTTTGAAGGTTTCGCTCGCCAACGTCGATTTTGACTGCGACGCTGGCGTTCAGTTCTTGATGGACTTGTGCAAGAAGCACAAGGCAGAATGCCCTCCACCGTACACTGCGCCGCGACTGCTCGATGCGCTCGTTGCCGAGTTCCTCGAACCGGAGTGCCACGATCCGTGCTTTATCTGCGATCACCCCCGCGTCATGTCGCCTCTCGCTAAGTGGCACCGCGATGATGTCCGCCTGACGGAGCGTTTCGAGCTCTTCGTTAACAAGAAGGAGCTTGTCAACGCGTACACGGAGCTGAACAATCCTATCGTGCAGCGCGCAGAGTTCGTGAAACAGATGGCCAACCGTGACAAAGGCGACGACGAGTCCATGGAGATTGATGAGGGCTTCATTCGTGCGCTGGAGCACGCTCTTCCGCCCACGGGAGGATGGGGACTCGGTATTGACCGTCTGACAATGTTCATGACGAGCCAGGCCAACATCAAGGAGGTACTGCTGTTCCCAGCCATGAAGCCGGAGGGAAAGAGTGCTATTAGCTACCCACCTGGCACGATGCTCAACGGACAGGGTGTTCCTCGCCTGCACTAATAATGGAAAAAGGCTCCGACATGTTTGTCATTATCGAATGCAATAGAAAGCTGAAACGGTGGACAGACTTAAATGAAACCTATTTCTTCTTTCTACCTTTTAAGGTTACAGTGATTTAAATTGAGCAGCACTGGCGCAGAGGAAACAGGAAAGATTTAAAATATGTGTTTCACTAATCCTGTCGGGCATGACAGAAAGCGCTATCTTGTTGTTGGTGGGTTTTTCTTCTTTCTTCTAATTAATTCTATTTCTACTCACTATATAATGCACGAAACTGAAAACGAAGAGCAACTTATCAAAGTGGATACATTCCGCAAATAATGGCAGCTTTGCTGTGTTGAATGTATGTTTTTTGAGTGACTGAATTGAGATTCCGCTCTCATTTCTTTTTTCTTCGTTTTTCTGTCACCATTGAGGTCAGGTGAATTGCCCACATATAGGATAAGTTCATTTTTGATGAAATTTTCTGTTTCCTCATGGTGTTGCTTCTTTGGATCAGCAGAAGTGGAAAAAAGCGCGTCTTCTCGCCTTTCCCCACATCCTTTTGCGTTTCTTTGTCTTCAGCGTCTCCCTCTTTACTATACCATATTGTTTTTTTGCTCTCCACTTTTCTTTTCTTTACATTTGTCCACCGCATTGTCGGCTGGCAACAAAACGAAAATTCTGAAACTGTGTTGTCTTTTTGGTGTGGATAGCTGCCAACGACAAAATTATTAACCTATTATACTCGAATGCTTGGGTGCCAGAGGTATTTTCTTTTTTTCTCACAATTTACACGCCATCTTTGTGCGGTTTGGTAATTGGTTGGCGTGTGCGTCAAGAAATAGAGTTCTTTTTTTTTTCGGTTTATCCTGCAGTTCATATGCAGCGAATTCAACTTGTTGGGGGTGGGTAGGACTGCCATCGGTGCCTTGAATCGTGATAGCACGGATCTTGCACGCGAGGCGCTGCAGCTCGCCTTCAGCGATGCACATATTGCCGCGAAAGACGTAGGCGCACTCATCGCGGCACCGTCCATGTCTTCTGGCCACTTCATGCAGTCACATTACCTCGCCACCACATTCCAGCTTACTGCTGCGAACCCCAAAATGGTGCTCAAAACGGTCGACACCGGCGGTGCCAGTCCGATCAGCGCCATCGGTGCCGCCATGGATCTCTTCCATCGCATGCCGCGGCTGCAGACCGCCGTCGTCGTTGCGAGCGACGCGGTGCACAGCCTCCCCAGCAACGAATTTGCAAGACGGTCCAATGATAGCATTCCCTCGCCTCACCTTGCTGAACCGCACATCCCCAATGGCTACGACTTTTATGCGCAGTGGCAGATGAAGCGCTACGGTTTGAAACGCGAGCAGCTGGCAATGGTCCCTGTCATTATGAGCTCCATGTCAGCGCGACACCCCGATGCCATGTGCAAGAAGCGCTACACCTTGGAGAAGGTTCTACAGGCTCGCCAGATTGCGCCAGTGACCAATTTGCCAGAGTGCGCGTGGCGTGCGGATGGCGCGGTGGCACTCGTTCTTGCACGTGACGACTACTGCAAAGCCCACATGGCCGCTTCGCCGTCCGAGACGAACAAGCCCTACGTTCTCAGTGTTGGCGAGGCGTCTGGTCCGCTGTACCCGCCTGCCAACATGGATGACATCACGCCCGAGACGTTCTCGTGTCACCGAGCGATGAATCTTGCTTACGAAGCGGCGGGGGGACTCACCGCTGCTGACATCGACTTCTTTGGTCTTTACGACTGCCTCCCTATATGCTTCATTCGCGCGCTGGAAGGGTGTGGCCTTTGCAAGGAGGGCGAGGGCGGCCAGCTGGTCGAGCAGGTGTATCGACGTGCGCTCCAGGACGGAGGCGATGTGGACCCCAACCATTTCCCTGTCAACACTCATGGCGGGCTCATGTGTTTTGGTGCGCCGTGGGAAGTGCCGGCAATGTACAACGTGGCGGAAGCGGTGGCCTAGCTGAGTGGCCAGGCAGGTGAGCGACAAGTGACCCCAACCCCTAAGCGTGCTCTTGTGTACGGCAACGGCGGTGTGTTCTCTGCTTCCGCCGTGGCCATCTTAAGCACGGAGGCGCCGTGATTCTGTTTCTTTGCTGCCTTTGATGGCAGCGCAGGTGTGAACTCATTACATGTAAAAGAAAACACATTTTTTACTAATGCATTCTAAAGCCTTTCTCAGCGTTTGTTTGAACAGGCTTTATATTGTTTATTTTGCTATTGTTTTGCGATCGTTCTCTTTCTCTTCCGCAACTTGTTCCGGCTGGAAACCCGTGTCTCGTGAGCATCCTGGTGTATTGTGCATCCTTTTGGAATGCCTTTCACCCCTAAAAACGATCTCTCCTTCTAGTTGGTTTGGTCCAGGTGACAGGAAAAACAGTCTAATCATGCACGATTAAAATGTGAAGGATCTGTGTGACACATACTACAACCGCGCAGGAAACGATAAACATGAAAGAAGAGGGCATATGAAGTTGTTTTCCCTTTTTACTGCTATTGTTCTTGTTTTCGTTCTTGCCCACCATGAAGATGAGCTCTCCGTTATTCTTCGCACAGAAAAGCTCGTTGGTGAATGCCGTCTGACCGCGTCTTTCGCGCGTGCTTCCTCATTTCTGCTCCTCTTCCATGTCCTCCGTTCTCTTCCGCGCTCTCTTGAAATAGTTAGAGTCGTTGCGTAAGTAGACATATATATCACTATTGTTATTATTTTCTAGGAGGCGCATTTAGTGGAGTTTTCAGTAAAACACAAGAAAGCAAAGCAAAAAGAAAACTCCTGTCGGGGTCGCCACATTTGATAGTGTCACAAGACGCACACCCGCAAACATAGTCTTCACGACTTCAACCGCGCAGTGGCGCTTTCCCTTTTCCGTTCTCGGCAACACTGCGCAGCGCAGCACTTCACTTGACACTCTTCTTTTATCTTTATGTAAATTCCTCGTTGTCCGCGCCGTATTCGACATCAGAACGCGCACGGCTTTTGTTCTTCTCTTCCAAGCGGTTCTGATTGAGTTTCGTACTCTGAAGAAAGAGCGTGTCACTTATTTAGTTTGCTGATATTTTGGTTGTGGTTGGCGTGATGTTTGTTCTCTTTTCTTGATTCGTTGTTTTGGTTAATGCTTTTGTGCCGCGAAATGCGCAGATGAAGTTTTATGTGTAGAGCCCAAGTCCATGTCGCACGTTTGTACAACACTGGTTGTTTCAGGATGCACTTTCGCGGTGTGTTCCAATTGTAGCACGCGAAACAACACCTCTGCCATCCTGTCGGGAATGCACCGACACGTGCTCGAGATCACTTGTGACTGCTCTTCTTACTTCTTCTCTTGCTTCTCTTTTGATCCTCACGATCTCTTCTCGTATGTATCGTGATTCTGAAGCATTCGCCCTTCCCGCCAAAAGCATTCCGCAGCCGTCAAAGTTTTAAAAGCCCACCCACCCAACCCTTCGTTGCAACTCTCTTTTTGTTTTCATTCCTTTTCATTTACGAGTATTTCTGTTCTTCGCCTTTCTTTTTCCTGTACTTTCCGCAGCCTCTGGCGCAGGTGTTTTCCTTTACTGGTCATTGTTTTCACCGTCATTTCTATTCTATCTTTGCGTTTTCTATCTTCGTTTTCATTAACCGTGTCTGTCTTCAGCAAGCTATTGTACAACCTGTTTTCCGCTGTACCGCGAGCATCTCCCGTGCGTCTTAGGGTCCTGCACCCCTGCCATGGCGAGCATGCCGCTCCTTTATTTCTGTTCATTAATCCATCCCAAGACGCTATTTTCACTATTATTAATGATTACGTTCTATTGTTTGTTTTCTATCCAGCGGTGAGTTTTCTTGTTTTTACCGTCTGTTTTTTGCCGCCGGCATGCGGAGCTGCGGGTGCCCCATTTCCTTGGCTGCACCCTGCTTTCGCTTGGAACATATCGTTCAGGCCGCGACCGTGCATGCGCCGCTTTGGGTTTTTTTTTCCGTTTTGTTTTCTCCGGGCATCACATCTCTTCGCTTTTCTTCTCTTTAAGCCCCTCCAGCGCCCCTCACGAAGGCTGGTTGCTGGCACACCGGACACCTCTCCGATGGAAGGGAGGGTATGCTTGTCCCTCCCGCGCTTGTATGCCGGGACGGTGTGTGTTTTTCCTTGTTTGGGTACCTCGACCCGCTGTACCCATTCCGGCTGAGCTCTTCGCTGCCGGCCCGGTTGTCGCCTTCGGTCGCGCGCTTACATGCCCGCGATAGTGACTCTCGTTGAACGAGCCCTGCGCCTCCGGTGTCTTTCTTGTGATAACCCGTGTGTTTTCCATTGAGTCTGATTTGACCCGAAGCTCGGCCGCGTCCTCCGGGGGAAGGCGGTCGGCTTCTTAAAGCCACAGTGAATTGTAACGAAGCAATACCAGCGAATAAAATGAGCGACAGTGCTGCGGAGCCAATGTGGGCCCGCGAGTGTACACAGCGTCCAGCATGTGAACCACGAGTGCTTGCCAGCTTACATTCTTCTTCTCCCTCCTCCTTTGGCTTTATATTTGATAACGAGAAAGCACACACAGTGTCGTGGCATTCTCTTCCTTCTCTTCCCTTTTTTTTTCTCTCAAAATGCCGACCTCAGCGAAAGGCGCAGCTGCGCACACGGCTGCTGACCTGGATGCCATGGATGACAAACTGCGTCGTCTCGGACTCGATGTGGAGCACATCGGCGGTTCCGCGGCACCCGTTTTGCAGCGGCAGAGCAGCGACGACTATCTGCGCCGCATTCGCGCGGCCAAGGCTGAAAAGCAGCAGGCGCAGTTTGATCGTGTGGCGCGGCAGGCCGTGGCCGTCGAGAAGCACCACTCCGTCAACGCTGCCACGGCTTCCGCGGGTAAAACGGCCGCCATCCAAACAGCCGTGGAGACAGCAGTGACGGACAAGGCCCTCCTCGCGAGCGACATTGCCGAGGTGACGGTGGGTGTGCGGCAAGACTTCCAGAAGAGCACCACACAGCAGATACGCGCGGAGCGCATGCTGCGGGCTGCGCAACTGGCGCCGCAGGTGCCACAGCTGCAGCCAGCACGGCAGTCGAGCAGCCTGATCTCTTCGCCGCTCAGACAGGCAGCCATGGACGCCGCTGCCGCGAACCACAGCAGCAAGGAGATGGCTACGTGGTCGTCCACCGCTCTGGCCCGCGCAGAGGCGAAGCGGAAAGCAATTACGCCGTGGTGCGTCGAGGTGGCGCAGGGTGTGGTGGAGTTGGCGATGGAAGTGTCGGACCACCGCCACCTACCCGCCACAGGGCTCGCCGGCCATCCCGTCTATCGCCTTCAGCAAGACCTTGGCGTGACGCAGTGGCGGGACTGGGTGGAGGAGCTGGTGTTTGGGCGCGCCACAGCGGCGAGCACGGCGGCCGAGCTGCAGGCAAAAGCTGCGGAGGCGACGAGGGACGGAAGGGGCTCCGCGGGCGTCGATGGCTCTGACGCCGCCGCCGAGGCCGCCTTCGCCGCTGCGCAGGCCGCAGCGGCGGAGAAGGCGGTGCAACTCGAAGCGATGCGCTGCGTTGAGGTCGCCGCCAAACTCGACGGCGAGGAAGCCGCGCAGGTGCAGCAAAGGGCGGTGGCGTCTGTCTTGGCGAAGCTGCAAAGCGAGTTGGTGCGCCAGCGCAAAGCGGCTGAGGAGACGGTGCGGCGCGACGCGGACGAAGCACACTTCTCCCCAACTTCCAGTGTGGAGGGCGGCGGTGGTACGACCGCGGCGAAGCTGCAGCGGGAAGAGGTGCTTCCTGGGTGGGCGCAGCGGATGCCGCCGGCGGGCTGTCTCGTCTACGGCGACGACCTCAGCGGTGTCCGTCTGCTGTCCGACACGATTGAGGTGTGCATGCAGCGCAGCCTCTACGCCGCCCTGCCAAACACAACGTCGACCAGTAGGGTGTTGCATCACTCGTCCCACCTCACCGTGGCCGCGGCGGACTCCGCGGAGGAGTCGCATCGTGGTGCGGCGGGGGAGGACCCGGAGGCTACCAACCCCGCTGCACTCCTTGGCATCTCCGCCGGCTCCGACGACCCCTTCGCCCAGTTTACGGCGACCGAGATCGGCGTCGAGCACGGCGACAGCGGGGAGAGCGGCATCTCCGTCACCTATGTCACTCCCAAGACGCTAATGGGGACGGTGACGCTGACGGGCACCGGCGGTGACACTCGCCGCTCCGGGTCGGCTAACCGAGGATCGCGCTCGCTAGCGCACGGCACCCCGAGCAGTGGGGCCACCGGCGGGGGGCCGCAGAGCAGCGCCGCTGCGAACAGCAACGCCGGCGGTGGTGGCAGCGCGGTCCGCGGCGGCAGGCGCGGCAGCGCCGTGGTGCTCGACGAGCGTCGCAGCGCGGAGCAGCAGTTGACCGAGGCGGCCGTGCGGGAGCTGGTGCGGGTGCACCGCCACAACCTCGGCGTGCTCGCCGGCGACAAAATACCAACGTGGGCCCCCGCTACGCCGTCGCGGCACGCGTCCGTGCCATCCGTCACCATCGACGGCGAAGACATCATGACGGAAAGTGTGCGGCCCTCGCTGCAGACAGTCTTTCTCGTTGGCTTCCCTGACTCCGCCGCCTTCGCCGAGCACTTTGCCGACCGCCTGCGCAGTGCCACCGCCGCGGCGGAGGCGGAGCTGCTCGAAGCGGAGGCGCGCCGACGTGCGGCGGAGCAGCAGACAGTGGCTACCACCGCCGCAGACACCGGCAAGCAGCGCAGCCCGTCGACCAAGGGCTCCAAAGGAGCAGCGGCCTTCCCGTCGCGGCAAAAGGCGAGCCGCCTGCCCAAAGCCGCCGTCGAGGCGGAGGAGGACGCCGTGGCCACGCTGGCGGAGCAGCTGCGGCTCACCTTTGCCCTGCCACCGCTGAGTGTCCTTTCGGTTTTTCTGACCTACGACCTGCCCACACGTCAGCGCCGTGTCGAAGACGCCACCTTCTCACCTGAGCAACAACAGCAGCCGTTGCAGCAGCAGTCACGGGGGATGAACGACAGCGCGGAGGAGGACATCCTCGCCGCGACAGCCGCCACCAGCGCGGCGCGTGAGCTGATGCACCCAGTGTACCACCCATGGAGGGTAGAGGAGAAGGAGGTGGATCTGAGTTACTCCGGGAGCCTCCGACGGACCGTCAGCGGTGGGCTGGGGGCCTCCGCGTCGTGGACCCCGGCACTGGCCTTTGCGCCTTCCGCCGCCCTACCGCACGGCTTTTCGCGCGCCGTGGACGCGTGGAGCGTGCCGTGTCTGCGCGCGGAGCTGGAGCAGCAGGAGGCACGTCAGCACCAGCAGCGGCAGGCCTGGACGGAAGCGGTGTCCGCGGCGCTGGTGAAAAGGTCCAGAGACGCCGTTAGCGGCGCCGCGAGTCCGCGTCGGGTGCCGGCGTCTTTTTGCGCGGCCGGGAAGCGGCGGGAGAAACCCTCGCAGGGCAGCACACCGCAGGAAGCCGATCGCTCATCCCAGCTGTCGCACCTGACGAGCCTGAACACGTCGTCTAGCAAGGCCACGGAGGGGGTGGCGTTCGTAACCAGCCCCGTCGGGCCATCCGGGACGGCGGAGAGCGGGTTTAAGCTCGGCTCCGCGCATCCGCTGCCACGCGCGCTCTTTTTCGTCCGCGTCCTCGACGTGAGTGATGCTGCGGGGCCGACGGAAACGCTGATGGACGCCGCGGCCGACGCGCACGCGCTGGGCAGGGCGGTGTGGGGCGGCTCCCTCGTGTCCGCTGTTTGCGCCGCTGCTGCTGCTGCGGGGGCAGCCGACAGCGTGGGCGATTGCCGCAGCCTCGCCGCCCGTGTCGCCACCGTCGACCGGATCCTCACGCAGTTGCATCTGCTCTGCCGCCCAGCCGGTGGTCGCGTGCTGTCGAGCGACGTGCTCGTCTCACACCAGCTGCAGGAGCCGTTCCGTCTTGGCGACTACCGCCTGTCAGACATGGCGTGCGTACGTCTTCGTCAGGTGCACGATGTCTACGGCAGCGTCCTGCCCGAGCCCTCGAGCGTCCTTCGCCCTGACCGTGCGAGAGCGAAGCAGGGGAACTGCGTGGTGGCGGGGGCGACGACCGCCGCGCTGAAGGCGGAGGCAGAGTCGTGGGGGGCGGTGCTGCAGTACGCAGAGGATTTGTTTTCTCTGATTGCCTTTGACGTTTTTCGCGATGACGACGACGACGTGAACAGTGGCAGCGGCACGGAGGACGAGGGACGGCGGTTAATGGCGACGGTGAGTATGCTGAACAGCACGGCCCGCTTCACGAACATCGATCGCAGCTACGCGCGGGCCAAGGACGCCATCGCGCAGCACACGTCGCACGCCGCTGCACACATTCAGGACTGCCTCGCACTGCTGCTGCGACTCTCCCTCGACGCCGGAGTCGCGCAGCTCGCCGCAACGTTGCGCCTCTTCTGCGCTGTCCTGGACCGCCAGATGCACGCCAAAGTAGGTGTGCGCGGCAGCCCGCTCTCCCCCTCCGCCCTCGGCGACGGCGGCGTCGAGGAACGGCTGCTGCAGTCGGTTCCACGTTTGCCGGAGGAGGCGGCGCGTGCGCTCGTGGCGCTCCTGCACGTTCCGGAAGCGTCCGCCACACCGCAAGCACGTGAGGACGCGTGTGACCGGTTCGACCGGCAGCTATCGCAGGTGTACGGGGCCGGGTTGAAGGCGGCGTTGATGGACGTCATGTCGCAGTACTTTGAAGAGCGTGCGTGCGAGCAGGCCGCCGCCCCCGCAGCAGACGCGCAGAACGGCGACTGCCCACAGGACACCGCCACCTCCGCTATGAAGGCTGCCGCACAGAGCATCCCGATGGAGAACCTATCTGCCATCGCAGAGGTGATGTTGGAGCATGCAGCGACTGCGCGAGGCCCTTCCACGCGGCTGACGCTGGTCTTGCAGGAGCTGCAGCAGAAGACGCAGTCGCTGCACGACGGTGCCGATGCGTGGGTGGAGCTGCTGTACCACGATGCCCTGGCCGCACAGTGTGGCAACACGATACAGCAGCGGCAGCAGCGGTGCCGCCGCCCACAGAGCATCGATCAACTCGCGGACGGTCCGCAGGCCGTCACAAGCTCTGAGGAGGCGGCCGTTGCAGCCGCGGCTGTCCTGCACAGCGACCCCTCGCCGCACGTACAGCCGAGTCGTTGGCAGTGTGGGGAGTTGGAGGTCTTCCTCGCCACGATGCCGCCACCGGACGCGTCGGGTCTCGTGACGGCGACGTCCTTCCAGCGCGGCCTTCTGCAAAATCAGCTTCCTCGCGTTTGGCGCTTTCTGCCCGACTTCACCGCGGCGCTGGCGGAGCAGGTGCAGTACACCGTCCCCCTGGCATCGCCCTCCGCGGCAGATGAAGCGCATCAGCGGCGTCACTCGCGCTGCTTCGCGCAGACGCTCTCGTCGCTGCCTGACACGGCGCTGGACGCCTACCTCGTCTTCGACTGCCCCGGCAGGGCGTCCTACGTTGCGGCGCCGCCTCCACCCTTTCTGACGGCGGAACACGTGCGATGTTTGTGCGCGCTCGCCACCGGTGACGGCAAAACTGGTGCGTCCACCTGCCCGAGCACACCGCTCAAAGCCGCCTTCCTTCATCTCCAGCAGTGGCTCGTCGACGTCGCCCTCCATCGGTGCTGCTTCTGCGAGGGTGGCTGCGTGTGCGCAGCCAGCGAGGCGCCATCACCCAAGGCCATCGCTGTCCACCACGACACAGCGCCGCTCTCGACCTTTACGCGTTGTGCGACGCGTCACGTCATCCCTCCACCGAGCACGTGTGGGCTGCGGCAGGTCATTTTCTCCCTTCCTGCCGATGTACTCGGGCAGGTCCCCGCGTTCGGCACGGAGCCGTCACCCTCGATGGTTTTTATGCGGAGTGCGCTGCCGACATCACCGCAGGTAGGCGATGGATGGATGCAGACGCAGTGGTGGTGGTGGCCAGGCAAACCGCATAGCGATGTCCAGCACCCTCTCGACGAGGACGTGCGACACGACACGGCACTGTGCTGGGCGCTGTGGCGTATTCTGCTGCGGCAGAGAGGTGGCAGCGATTACGCGGTTTCAGCGAGTAGCGATGTGGCGGCGGCAGCAGGGACACCCCCTCCCCTCGCCCCGTCCCTTCTGTCGTTGATGCGTCTGTTGTTGGTCGGAGATGCCGGCGACGCCAATCCGCGCGAGGAACGGGTGCGGCGCGCCTTCCACTGCCTGGCGGCGCTGCGCGGCGTGCGGGCGGGCCAAGATGAGTGGGGCACGGCGGACCACGACGACAACGCCAGTGTAGCGATGGACATTGAGGGGGACATGGCGCTGACACGGGACGAGTATGCCCTGCTCGGGGAGCTTCTTATGCCGCCGGTCCACGTGCAGGCGGGGGAGTCGACGCCGCGGGGTGCGGCTGCGGCTGCGATGAAGGGGACGGCCGACCTGATCACGGATGTGCAGCTGCTTTTGCAGGTGGAGAACACGGACCAGGTGAGCCTGCCGCTGCTTCTGTCATCACGCTGGGCCCAGCTGCTGCTGGCGGCGCACTTCTAGAACACAAAGAGTGCACGGCAGCGTGCACATGTTTCTATTCACTTGCTTGCGTCTCCGCAAAAAAAGGCCGTTCTGTTGGGCAACAGGCGGGAAAGGCGGCACACAGCAAAGACATACATAGGTGGCTCCTTTCAACACGGATGTAACTACGACGCTTTTTGTTTGTCTTCTCGCGTCTCAGCCGCGTCTCTTTTCCTTTCTCTTTTTTCTATGTAGCACATGTGAAGTAGCACGTCACTCTCCGTTGACTTGTAAAGCAAACAAATGTATCAATGTGTATACACATGTATATTATGTGTAGCGCGTGTGACCGTCCAGGTGTTTCCAAGGCGAAACGGGCGGCTTTGCTCTCTTTTCTCTTCTTGCGGTGCTTTTCGCGCGTGAACCGAACTACGCCGCCTCTTCTTCTTTTTTTTTCTTATTGAGCTTTACGCACGTCTCTGCTTGCTCAAGTCTTGAAGAGCTTGGCTGAGTGCCCCGTGTTTTTGCGGACAACGCCTCTTACGCATCTCCGTTCTTTCCTTCGAATTTTCTTTTCTCTTCTCTGCTCAACTGCTGCTGCTGCTCCCCTAACTCGTCTTGGGGCAGTGTGCCGTCTTCTGTTCTCTTCCATTGGGTTAACACAACTTCTGTGAAGCTTTAGCCACGTACGGAGGAAGTCACGGATAATTTCAGCGCAACTGTATTTCTAGAAACTGAATAGGTAACCGCCTCGTAGTTGGCGCCATGGAGAGCTACAAGGATGTCATAGTCAGCCAGCCTCCGGCGATGTACGCCCAGTCGGGTTACACCACCAAATTCTCCGTAGAAAACTACAAGGGCATTCTCCTGTGCGAGCGGCCGTCCAACCTCGGCTCCGTCAGCGGCGGTGAGGGCGGCGGCGCAAACGGATCGGCCGTCCCCTTCGTCCCGTCCAACCCCACCGGCAACCCGGTTGGGTACGCCCCGTCCAGGGAGTCCCGCGAGGTCACCGCCGAGCACATCGCACGTCGTGTGCACAACCAAAAGCAGCAAAAACAGAAAACCTGTCAGGCGCTGTCGCGGCACCGGCGGTGGCTGCGCAGCTTCGCCAAGCAGATGAAGTCGATGAAAGAGTCAGAGCGGCAGTGCGAGGTGGAGGCGGCGCGGCGGGCTGCCCGTTTCCGCGAGAGCGAGCAGCAGAAGCTCGCGCAGCAGCAGCAGCAGCAGCAGGCGGACGCAGCAGCGACGTCGTCGCAGTCCGGTGCTGCCGTGCCGTACGACATGCACAAGGCGATGGAGGGCCACGTCGCGGCGACCCGCAAGGTGCCCGCGCCGGCGTCGCGCAAGCCGAAGTGGGCCATGACGGAGGAGGAGGCGATGGACGACGAGCTCGCCATCGACCGCGACCTCCTCGACTTCGCCGAGCACCTGGATTACGAAAGGTTCATCTCCGACTTTGAGGTGGCGGAGGCGCTGGGAGTGATGCGGGACCGCGTGGAGCAGATTGCGAAGGCGAATGACTGGTCGGTGGAGGACATCCGCCGCAGCAACGCCGAGGCAGGCGACGAGGACGACGTGGACTCGACCGTGACGCCCTCGGAGGCGCAGGTGCTCCTGCAGCAACCACGTGGCCCGACCACCGGCGTCGCTGCCACGGGGGCTCGCGCTGCTCTTCCGGGCTCGCAGGCAGCGCACACACACAACTGGGACAGCAGTACCGGCCGTGGCCGCCTCCTGAAGAAGGCGATCAGCCGCGACGCCGTGGCACTGGCGGAGCGCCTCTTCGCCGCCTCGCCGTCGCTGCAGAAGATCCACACGAAGCAGAGCCTGGCTCGGGTGCTGCAGCGCTGCGCTCTGGAAGGCTACGTCGATGTGACGGAAGCCGCACTCGTGCAGGCGGGGGGCACGCGCTCTGCTATCAAAACCAGCGCCTCATCACCACCGCCTCCTGCTGCCGGTGCGTCCGCGAAGGAGCCGGTGGCCGTGCCGGAACCGGTGGTGGTGCACGTGAGCGCAGACGCGCTGCCGGCGGACGCGACAGCGGACGGTATGCCGAGTCAGCCACGCATCCTGCGTGAGTTGCAGCAGTCAAAGGAACGCACACAAGGGCTGCCCTACCTTTATCGCTGTCCTGCCATCTAGAGGTTTCGGCGGTGTTGATGTTTGGTTTAAAATAAGGAGAGAAGGAAAAGGTTTTCTCTACCTCCACCTTTTTTCTTTTCCTTCTCGAAATGCTTCCCTCGAAGCAGGAGAATTCGCGTGTAGTATGCGGGTGCTGACGCGGAGCCGATGTAATATTTCCACATGTATAGTTGTAGTGTGTGTGCCCTTCTCAAGAGGGCGACAGAGGAGTTCTGTGTTGGTTTTGGTTTCTTTGTTGATGTCGCTCGTCTTCCATGAGCGCCGAGGAACGAGAATGGCGCGTACGGTGAACGGGACATAGATATATATATGAAGGTGCATTTCAACTTGCGTCCGACGGCCTCTTCTTTCTGTTGTTGGAATCTATTCCTCCGTACTCACGCTGCCTGCTGGAATTTTTGACAGTTATGTATTTGGTTGCTCTGCGCGGACGCGCATGATGCGTACGCCAATCCTTTCCTGGCGATACCCTTTCTTTTATGTTGTTTGCCCCTTAGATACTTCAGCCAACCGTTGAACACATGGATGAAAGGAAAATTACTGGTCGAGGCGGTGGTGTGCGGTGGACCGGCGTGTCGGACTTCATCTTGTGTGGTTTCTCAATGTAGCGACCGCCTTTGCTCCGATTGGTGCCTGTATTTTTCAGTGCTCGCTAACTTGTGAGGTGGTATTGTCGTCGTTGGCCAAACGTGGAGAATCAGGTGATCGCTTGGGCGACACGCCACGGCTCCCTCCGTGAAGCAGACGAGGTCGTAGGAGGGAGGTCTGGCACTCCCTTCAGCATCTGCTGACCAACGCAGCGGGGCAGATCAACAGCAAAAAGACACTTCTAAACGGGTGCTTCTCCGCTCCCCCTTCCCCCCTCCGTCACATCAAACTCTCCTGCTCCCTTCAAAGTCAGCCTGAGAGGTGCGCATAGTCCTCTCCTTCACCGCCTTCCCGAAAAAGCAACCCCGCGCCACCAATACGACTGCAGTCGAGTCCCCATACAAACACACACACATTCACACACACATCACAGCTGTCCAGCAGAATAGTGCGGTCTCGCCCCCTCGCAGCTGTCTTCTCGCACGCTACAAGGAAAACTTCACCCACAACTCCTTTATTCTCTCTACCGTTTTCCCTTCATTTTTTTTTCCAATTCATAGAAGTGAAAAGCACCGGCCTTTCTTTCCATACAAGCACGTCGTCTACAAACACACACACACACTCACTCGTTCATCTATCCCTCTATCTACGGCAACCTGCTTTTTTAACTCCGGCTCTCACGAATCAATTTGAAAAGAAAAAATGCTTGCTTCCCAGGCCGGTAGTAACTTTAGTGCGGCGGCGGCGTCCAACAACGGCGGTCAGCCGCCGCAGCGCCGTCAGCACCCTATTCGTCCCCTCACCATCAAACAACTCTTGGAGGCGCAGAGCGTCGGCGGTGGTGTGATGGTCGTCGACGGGCGCGAGGTGACGCAGGCGACCGTAGTGGGTCGTGTCATCGGCTACGAGAACGCGAACATGGCCGCCGGCGGTGGCGCCATCACGGCGAAGCACTTCGGCTACCGCATCACCGACAACACGGGCATGGTGGTGGTCCGCCAGTGGATCGACGCGGACTGCGCGCAGGAGCCGATCCCGCTGAACACCCACGTGCGGGCCTCGGGCACGGTGAACGTGTGGCAGCAGGCGCCGATCGTGACGGGGACGGTGGTGGCCATGGCGGACAGCAATGAGATGAACTACCACATGCTCGACGCCATCCTTACCCACTTCCGTCTGACGCAGGGCAACAAGCGCACGCCGGGCGGCGGGGCGTCGGTGCAGAACTCGGCCTCTGCGGTGGGCGTACAGAACATGCTCCCCGGCGGTGACAACAAGGTGCTGCTGACAGACTTGCTCGTGTCCTTCATTAAGCAGAACGGCAACGGTGATGCCGGGATGTCGATGGATGAGCTCACCATGGCGGCGCAGCGGTACAGCTTCACGCCGGGCGATGTCCGCACGGCGATGCGCACGCTGGCGGCGGAAGGCAAGGTGTACCAAACCCACGACAACCGCTTTAACATTTAAGGCAGCAACGTCTGAGCAGGAAAGCAATGTGAAATGATCGATGACGGTTTTTCGCATGTCTTTACCGGTGTCTCCAAAGTGCCGGTGATTGTCCCTTTTAGTGATGTCGGTCTCACGCGTTCACCTGCCCAGGCATGGAAATGTTGATTCGCACACACACGCACACAGAGACACACAGGTACGCTGAGAACAGCGTTGGGGAGGCAGATTCATCAGCGACTCTGTGTTCGGTGGATCATTTATCCACTTCGCTTTAACCGTTTTGTGCGTGTCGTTGAGTCGCAGAGCGCCTTTTACTTTAACACCTATATATATATATATGCACGTTTGGCTCAAGATTCATAGAAAGAGCTACGAAGGGGAAGGGAATAAAGGGAGACCCCCAAGAAAGAAACATCGAGTGAGCTGCGTCGGCCGGGGCCGGCTGCGTATTTTGTTCTTTGCCTGTTTTTCCGTTGTTTTCTTAATGGCGCAAAAGAACCTAAGGTTTGCTTCGTGTATTTCCCAGCAGTTTTGACTCGCCCCCAGCGAGGCGGCCACCGTGGCGGAATCCCACATCGCTGTTACCGTTCTTGTTATTATTATTGTTTTCGATTTCACGTTTGTTGCCCGTGCAGACCAGAGTAAAGCGCTAACTATCACGCTGGATGGAACCATATGACCGAAAATACAGATAGATAGATGTATATACAGGTGTGCCATCTGACGCTCCCTGCAGAGCTGAGAGCTGTCATGGCAGGGTTGCTCCACATTCCACTCGTATCATCGAGCTGATGTTGAAGGAGAGTAGATAGCGAGCGAATACATGCATATATATTCGCGGTGAAGTTTGTGCGAGCGTTGCTGGCTCTCAGACTTAGGATGTTATTTGCATTTTTTTTTTCATTGCTCCTCAGCAATTATAGAAAAGGCTCTCTCCATGCCGCGGTGTCATCAAGTAGCGATGCCTGTGTTTCATTTTCTTTCCTTTTCTGTCTCCGATGCATCTCTTAACGGGTCTCCTCTTCCCTTCATTGCCGCTCTTGTTTCTTTATGCATCGGTATTTAACATGTCGTCATCATTCTTCTGCACGCGCGCTGCCATCACACGCGTCTGTCGCACCTTTCAGCTCTAACCTAACTCCTGGCTTCCTCCTGGCTTCTCAGCGCTCCCGTTTCGTAGTGTACTTCGACAACATATTCTCTCGCCTCATATTTTTTCTTATCTTGCCCTCCGTTGTTGTCATCATGCGCCGTTACTCTAGCCAGCTTGTGTGCACCGCCGTGGCAGCCCGCTTTGCCTCCGCCGGCGCGAAGAAGTACGACCTGTTCGGCTACGAGGTGGACACCAACACGGCGCCGTGGATCGAGAAGGTGAAGAAGTGCCAGTACTACGACGAGGCCGGCGAGGTGCTGGTGAGCATGAACGTGAAGAACTGCCCGCCGGACCTGGAGACGTACAACGCGACGCTGCAGAAGATCTTCGAAGCGCCGAGCAAGTCGGAGAAGCCGGTGGAGAACGAGAGCAAGTTCTGTGCGATGATGGATCTGATGGAGGAGATGCAGCACCGCAACAAGGTGAAGCCGGACGTGCAGTCGTGGACGTGGGTGCTGAAGGACTGCGTGCAGAGCGGCAACTTCCGCCTGGGCTTCTGCGTGGCGAAGCTGATGGAGGCGGAGTTCAAGAGCGTGCCTGCGGATCTGGTGAAGAAGAACGAGGAGAACGCGGCGAAGGCGAAGGCGGAGGGCAAGGAGCACCCGAGCACGATGACGCAGCAGCAGAGCCTCTTTGAGATCAAGATCCAGTAATGAACGAAGTAAGAAAGGAAAGGGAAAAGCCACCGTTGTCTCTCTGCGCGGCCACTTTCACTCCTGCGTTTTCTTTGCTGTCCCTTTACGCAGTGGAAGTGTATTGAAAAGGGAGGAGTTGAAACGAAGTCGTCGTGAGGAACTACCATGATGTAGCCAACGCTCTCGCACACGCCTATGCGATCAGCAGCCGCTTCTGCAACGGCGCCTCAGCGGCTCCCTGCGGCGTCGCCGTTTTGGCAGGAGTCGATGTTTTCTTCCCTCCGTTCGTGGCGTGAGTGTGCGGGCCAGCGGTGTTTTGTGTGCCCTTTAAAAAAAGAAAACCGGTTCTTCTTTCTTGTTATAGTAGCGTAGGTAAAAAGGAGGAGAGGGTGCTTCGATGCTGTAGTCGCTGTACCGCCAGCGGAGGTGGTGATGCGGCCGGCCGTGGCGGGAGGGATTCGGAAGACGTGCTGCCGTGGCATCCTTCTGTCTTCCTGCGTAGCGCGCGCTTCCCACACACACACACACACACAATATTATGTTCACCTGCTCTTCCGGTGACAATATGATTTGCGGTGGATAGTACGACCTACCTGTAAGCGTACAGCAGAGAGTATCTCTTTTTCCTTTCGTTAGAGGATAATCAACAACAAAACGATGAATCACACGGTCGCATGTGAAAAAGAAAACTACGTGTTCGGTCTCCCCCCGTCGTTCTCTGACTGTTAGCGCAGGCATCCGACACTGTTGGAAAAAACCTTTCTTGGAGAGACAGGACTGGGAAAGGAAGCAGGTGTGCCGTGCAGCGACGAATATTTGCGGTCTGGTCAAAACACCCTTGAGGGTGCGGAAGACGCGAGTTTTCACTGGGCAGTCCCACGCCCAGACATCTTTCTCTTCTTCCTCATTTTCTGCGTGGGGAGAGAGGTCTCTGCCCGCACATGTTATGTCCACGTTGAACTTGAGCACCTGCTTGCTGATCTCTCGCTCCCGCTGCCGTCGGCCACGCTCATTCTTTCTTCTATTATTGCTCCTCTACGTTCATTGCCCTTCACGTGACGATCAAATCCACTTTCACCCGCTCTCTCTTCTAATCTCATTCGACGTGCGCACAACTCTTATCTCTCTCTGACAGTCTACACGGCTCTTCCGTTCCTTACTCGCCTCATATTTTTTCTTATCTTGCCCTCCGTTGTTGTCATCATGCGCCGTTACTCTAGCCAGCTTGTGTGCACCGCCGTGGCAGCCCGCTTTGCCTCCGCCGGCGCGAAGAAGTACGACCTGTTCGGCTACGAGGTGGACACCAACACGGCGCCGTGGATCGAGAAGGTGAAGAAGTGCCAGTACTACGACGAGGCCGGCGAGGTGCTGGTGAGCATGAACGTGAAGAACTGCCCGCCGGACCTGGAGACGTACAACGCGACGCTGCAGAAGATCTTCGAAGCGCCGAGCAAGTCGGAGAAGCCGGTGGAGAACGAGAGCAAGTTCTGTGCGATGATGGATCTGATGGAGGAGATGCAGCACCGCAACAAGGTGAAGCCGGACGTGCAGTCGTGGACGTGGGTGCTGAAGGACTGCGTGCAGAGCGGCAACTTCCGCCTGGGCTTCTGCGTGGCGAAGCTGATGGAGGCGGAGTTCAAGAGCGTGCCTGCGGATCTGGTGAAGAAGAACGAGGAGAACGCGGCGAAGGCGAAGGCGGAGGGCAAGGAGCACCCGAGCACGATGACGCAGCAGCAGAGCCTCTTTGAGATCAAGATCCAGTAACGAACGAAGTAAGAAAGGAAAGCTATCATTCATACCCCTTCCCCCAAACAGGCAGGCGCTGCGGTCCGCGGCGGCGCGTTCTGCCTGCATGTGGCGCTGGTCAGTTGTACGATGTGCGTGCGCGGACATGTAGCGGTTCTTTTTTTTTGTAGTTAGGAAGGTACACTCCGTATTGTATTAAACCTTGACGCACCGTCGCCGTCCTTCGTGCTTGCTTCTCGCTGCACGCGTGTGCTCAGCTCAACTTTTGTAGTGCTGCGCAGTGGGCAGGAATGCGCCTCTTGTGTTTTCCGTGAGTCTGTGCGTGTGTAGCTGTGTGGTGGGACGCACGGGTGTGTGCGTAGCGCGCGCTCCCCCCGGGTCGGCGCATACACACACACACACACACAAGTAAATCGTCAACGACTACCGAGAACGTGTTCAGCACCATCGCCAAAGCGACGTGCGAGGAGAAGAGCGGCTTGGCAGCGTCGGTCGTCGCAGGAGCAATTCAGCGGAGCAGCCATATATTTTTTCTTCTTCTTTCTTTGTTTCACAGCTTTGTTTGCGTGTTGCGAGTACTCAGTTTTTCGCCGATATGTACTCTACTTCACCTCACAAACACGGCCGTCTTCACAAATGCAAAGGAGGAGGAGAGAGCGGAGGCACAGGAAGACGGGGAAGGAGATCTTTCTTTCCTTTTTTTTTTGAAGAAGGCAGACCTCTGCGCTGCCTCGCTCTCACGTGCGTGATATGTGTTTCGGGATTTAGTGTTAGCCTAAAAGGAAGAAGAAAGTTAAAAATAATATGGACTACGATGACCGGCTGTTTCTATAGGAGCATACACGGTTTATATATATGTAGGAAATGGGTTGTTGTTGTTGTTTGGCAAAGGTGCAGTGCTGCGACTCTCTCGTGAGGCCATCGGCCACCGCGAGACTGCGTGGGAATCGAAGAGGAAGGGAAAAGGGCGACGTCAACGCAGCGCCTTCGTAGCGTGTTGGCTTCTTTCTTTCTTTTTTTTCCGTAGTTCAGCCCCCGCGTGAGTTACAGTGCTCGCGTGCTGCTTTAGAGCAGGCAAAGGAGGGACAGGATCACGCCAAGTTCCTCCACGCACGCAGCGTGTGGATGTGGTGATGAACACTCCTTCTTCAGTTGCACAAAACCTTTTTTTTCTCCTCCTCTGTTTTGGCTCTCCTTGACGCTTTATCGGCATCTCTCGAACAGCTGAAAGCCGCAAGGTGCAGCTCTGCCACTGAGCCGATTGCGCAGCACAGATCTTCCTCCATCGTTCAAGACTTTTTTTCTTTCTCTGAAAGTGAAAATTAAGAAGCAATTTTCAAGCCTCCATCTTTCTCACCCATCTACATCCATTTGGGAGGGTCGATATGCCGCCCAGGGCCGCCACTCGCACGGCGCGGCTCCGACAGCCCCGTCTCACGGCCCATGTTGAAAGAATGCGGCTTCTGACGTACCCTATGGCTCTCGCCCAGCAAGGCGCTACGGTGCCGCTCATTCACAGCCATAAGAGCAGCAACAGCGGCACGGCGTCAGCAGGACAGCGGCCACCGCCTGCACCACCGTCGTCGATCCCTCCCATGATGGGAAGAGAGGGCAGCGCAATGGACGACCCTTACCACAAGGAAGGTGCCACATCCGATGACACGCACAATCACACGCTGCCGGTGCCGCGCCGCTGGGTTCGAGACGCCGATGAGCTGTGCATCGCCTCCATCCACCGCAGCAACAACATCAATCGAATCAACTCCTACGTGGCCACCTACAAGTTTGAGGACCCGCAGTGGGCTCCGTTGCTGCTGCCAGAGGTGCACGTGCTGCCAAAACCACGCGCGTCCGCAGCGCCCGATCAAGGGAAGGTAGAAACGGCAGCAGAGCCGACGACGTCTTCCCCACCGCCTCCCTCGTGCACTTCATCGCCGGACAGCGCGCAGGAGTTCGACGTCTTCATTGACTACAACAAGCTGACCACGCTGGAGCTCATCTCCCGCCACGCCAACTACGCCCTTCGGCACCTGGTGCAGAAAGGACACGCGATGTACCTCATCAACTTCGCCCAGCACTCCATCACGCAAATGCGCGGCCTCGTGGAGGCGTCGTACGTCTCCTGCGCCTACGGCATCCGCGGCGAGCGGCTGCGCACGCACATTATCCACACCGGGCCGGTGGACGTGCGAGACGTAATGGAGATCGACCCGGCGACGCAGCGTGTTTCCTTCAACAGGAAGAAGCCGCATGTGCGGCGTGGGGTGGTGGCGGTGTCGACGGTGGAGGGCTACGGGACGTGGTTCCAGCGCAAGCCGATGCTGTGGCAGCGGACGCGTCGCATCGGTGCGCTGCAGAGCCAGATGGGCAGCTACGACTATCAACTGTGCGATCCCGCCGAGGTGGGCCGATTACGGTCGTACGAGGTGGCACTGCTGGCCCCGCACGTGCGCCTGATTGGCGCGCAGGGCGGCGCGGAGGCCGTCGCGTTGGTCGCCTCCTCGCAGGTGGCGCAGAACGAGCGGCTGTACATGGGTCAGTTCGAGGCACCGGTGCTGACGGCGGTGGACGCGGTGCAGCAGCTGGCGCATCGCACCGCCCTGCACCATCAACTCGTACGTCCTGCGGCGGGAGAAGCGGAGGGGACGACACCCCCAACAACAGCTGCAGCAGCGGCGGCGGCGGGCCACGATGACCCGCAGTCGCAGGAGCGGCGTCGTCTCGCCGGGATGGAGCGGTTGCTGCCCGTGAGTTGGGTGACACGCACCCCGCCACCTTACGTGCCTCTCGAGGCGGACTTGCCCTTCCGCATCCAGATGTCTCGCCCCGCTGTGATCCGCACGGACCGGCAAACCGGTCAAGGTGCGGCGGCCGCTGCCTTTCCCACCGGTGGCGCCGTCGGCTCCCCCTTCGTGAAGGGGGTCCCGCTGTCGCTGTTCGAGTACAACATCCACCAGGGCGTGGACCACTACGTCTTCGACGACGCCCCGAGCGCCCGCCCGCTCAAGTGGTGGAATCAGAAGTCAAACATGCCGTACAACGGCTACTTGTACGCGATGCGTAGCGGGCTGCTGGACCACGTGGAGCCGGCGGGGAGGATCGCCAACCCGCTGGCGCCGCCGTCGTCGTCCAAGGCCCGGTCCTCCGTGAGGTCGGCGAAGCGTCGCCGCAGACGTCAAACACGCGGGCGGTGCAGTGCTGAAAAGGGCGTTGAGAGTGTGATGGAGCGGGGGGATGACGCGGCGCATGCCTCCCCGGTCTCTACCCCCGAGGTGAACAGCAGCACTGCAGAGCAGGCAGAGGGTGATGAGGCCGCGCACTTGACTTCAATGGAGCTCCATTTGGCAGGCGAGGTGCTGCCGGCCGGAGCGGATGTGCTCGCCGGGCACGACAACGACGCCCGTCAGGCCGCCGCGCTGCAGTGGTCAGAGGATGGCAGCGACGTGGCGGTGAGTGACCGACCGCCGCTGCACACGCTGGTCGAGCCGAACAGTGCGGCGCAGCGGCGGTTACGGCGGTACGCGAAACGTGCCGCTGCGGCAACGTCGACGGCGCACCGCACGGCCGGTGTTTCTGCTGCAGCCGGTGCCGCGGCGATGCCGCTGGAGGAGCGGGCGGATGCATTGTTGCGGCGTCAGCTGCGTCTCCGCCGTCTGCAGCAGAAAGACACGCGAAAAGGACACGGCGAGGCAGTCGCAGCAAGCACTACCCCCGCAAGCTCAAATGGGGGTGCGGATACGGTGTAGTGCGTTTGGGGGGGGGGGGGGGGAGGGTAGCCGTGCGTGTCATGCTGCGTACCTCTGCCTCGCCGTCGTCTTTGTTTTCTTTGCTGATTGTTGTCGTGCACGTCAACTTGTCTGAGCGTTGGCAGTGAAAGCGAAAGACAGCCGTGTCTCGTCGCTTCACCTCTTCTTCTTTTTCTTCTTCTCACAGACGTTGTTAATGCCGTTTTACTTAAACTAGCCTGCGTGTAGCACAGCGCCAGCGCAATGAATTTCCTGAAAGTCCTCCCGTGAGACCGGAAGTCCGCAACGTACTACGTACAGACAAAACAAAACGTTTGCGTCGTTGTTCGATGGTGCTAATACGATGCACAGTCGCTCGCGTTCTTCTTTCTTTTTTTTTTTAAAATCTCTCCTCTCTCTGCCTTCACACCTCCGATCGACAAGGCGTACGTTAGTCCCACGTTGCAGGTGAGCACGGTTGCGGCACAGTATCCAGCGGCTCCCATCAACAAAAACAAGTAGGGCTAAAACCGGTCTGACGCTTTCAACAATGGAAAAGAAAGGAGCGATCGAGCTGGATAGGGGGTGGTGTTTCGTTGACTCCTGTGTTGTACGTTGAATCTCCCTTCTCTCCCTTTTCCGTGTCCTCCTTTGACTTTCCTGTTTTATATCTATATTTAACTAACACAATAACGTGGTCCATCCTCTGCGCCGCATCGACGTCCTCTGTTGCGCAGCATTCCGCTCCTTCTCTTTCTTTATCACACATTGTTTGGTCCTGGTGCCACTTTTGTAGGCGTCATCGCAGGTCTCCCGTCTCACCGCCGCACTTTTTTATCTCTCCCGTAACCATCGCCGCCACAGCCGCCACAGCAGCAAAGAACCCTACATCACCCATCCCAAACGACAGACATGTCTTATTGCAAAATTGCCGCCTTGTACCCGCAGGCGCCGCGTGGCGAGAAGCGAATCATCTTCGCTCTTGACCCCCTCGGCGAGGAGGTGGAGCAGCAGCAATTTATGCTGCAGCTGATCCCCGCTCGTGTGATGAAGGTGTCCAAGACGGACGCCGGCAATGTGCTGGTGCTGCAAGGCAAAATCGAGCAGCACACCGTAGAAGGCGGCGACGTTCCATATTTCCACGTGGAGCTGGCACGCGAGTACGCCTCCACTCGGAGGGACGTGGCGGACGACGATGATGGAGTGAAGGTACGGCAGCTGGTGCCCATGACGCAGCCGCCCATGTTTCCGTACTCCAGCGTGTACCCGGTGGTGGTGTACCTGCCGGAGGACGTGGAGCTGCACTACAGCGTGTGGTACGGTGAGGAGCCGATGCAGGCGGGCTCCGAGTAGACGTAAATCGATATCTGGTTTTTGCTTGTGCTTTCTCACCGTCTTTTTCTTCTTCCTTTTCCCCATTGGTTTCTTTACCATTCATCAGAACCCATTGCCTGGTTATTGTACACCGCCTGCCGTTAAAGTATCTCCGTTGTCGTTTCGGGTTTCTTCGGTGTCACGAATCCCCTTCGCGATTCTACGCAAAAAACAGACAAAAATATGTCTTCCCCAGCAATGTCTCCCCCATATCTATTTTTATTATTATTTTTCTTTTAGATGGTTGATGTCGTTGCTGCTGCGGTGGTCTGGAAGTGAAAGCATGTATGTCAGCTTTTTCTGAAGCATTACTCGCCGTTGTCTCGTAATCCAATGTATTTTTGTTTTCTCATTCTCTCTTTCCCTTTTTGAGTTTTCAATGAAGTAGAGACGAGGGGAGACGGTGATGTGTGTGTGTGTGTCTCTGTGTGTGTGTGTATAGAGAGAGAAAGAGACTGTTGGATGTGCGTTGACGGCAGTGCTGTATGGGGCCACCTACGCCCTCCACAATAGCACGAAATGTTTCCCTTTCTCCTCTTCTTTTTTTAGCCAGTGGAATTGCAGATTCACGCTTCTGCGGGGTCAACGGTACGTCTGGTTGAGTTGGGTAGGCGAGCACACAAAGAAGGGTATCGAGCTCAGTCGCTGATTAGGCACGATGATTGGTGTCTTCGCTTTAGCAGAGGCTGCCACCGGCACTGCCTCAACGGGGTACTGTCATTAAGCTGCATCAACGAACCAGGTGTGTGAAAAGGTCTTTATATATATATTTATATATATTAGCATTGCTGAGTGCAACTGTACTGGCTTCTTGGTGTAAGCCGGCAAGTGGGTGATGGCACCTCAATGTGTTCGAGTGCTCTCACACCCAGAATAAAATACTTGTGGTGTTGCGCACGGCGCTCAACCGCACGGAGCGCAATGATCGCCGTTGACTTTGTAGCAGGCGATTTTAGCCGGGCACCTCTTCTACCGCCGTACGTCAGCGAAGGAAGCAAAATAATCAATCAAAGAGACGCTCCGCCACCAATCCGTAAACGACTCTGCTTCTCTATTTCCTGTGCCTTTGCAATCGTCTCCCTCCAACGCACGAACGCGCCATCACTTGTGCTGGTGGCTCACCCTTGTGTTGTCGGAAATATGTATAACTCTAAAAGGAAAGCTTGTCCCCCTGCAAGGTCGTCAAAGGGACAGCAAACAAAGCGAAGAAAGAGGAGAGGTATTTAGACAGCGAGCGTCTTTCTTTTCTTCTTTTTCTCCCTGGCGCCATGCGCGCACAGCGCACGACGGGGGCGGGGGCGCGCGCACCGGCAGCAGCAGCAACATCCGCAACAGCGCCGTCACTCCGCAGAGCAAACGAGCTTGATGCGCGCGTGAAGGCGCTGCGAGCGGAGGCACGTACCGGCCTCGCCTCCAACGAGGTGCGCCGCACCCTCATTAAAGAGGAGCTGCGACCACCTCCGCGGCCCATCCCGGCTCCTCCAGTGCCTTCCCGACGCACAGCGCCGACGAATATTGGCTTTTTATCATCAGCGCCATCAAAAGGTTCTTCTTCCGCCTCTTTGGGCTCCTCCACGGCCGTCACGCGGCCGCGCCACCCCTCCATCCAGGTAGAAACCACGGGTGACAGTGAAATTCCTGCGGCGTGGCTTACGGGCGACTTTCGACTGGACGAGTCGTCCGAGCCCTTCACAAGCCATTCTCCTCTTCCTTCTTCGGCTGCCACCTCCTCATCTGCGGATGCCGCTGCCGCCGATGCCGCATCCACTAAAGGAACAGAATCAAGCAGCGTCGATGTCAGCAGATATCTCAGCTATGCGAATGCACAGCGGGCTTACGAGGCCCTCTGCCATGCAGCGCAGGACGTGGTCTACGACGTACCCTACGAAGAGAAGCTGCGGCGTGTGGAGTCGCGAGACGGCCGCACCGGCCTGGCCACCAGCTGGACTTCACGCCGCACCTCTGCTGCTGCTCCGCTGATCACCAACACGTTTATCTTGAATAGGGGCCGTACAGCACTAGGAGAGGAGCCACGCGTCCAATCATCGCGTGGTGTCCCCCGCACGCAGCGCAACGCCTCCCCCTCTCCTTACACCCCACCGTCGTCTTCCCACGGCACCTCTGCGCGGCACAGCCTACGAAGTCAACCGTCTCTTCACTCCGAGAGGCTGCCCAGTAGAGACACCTTATCCGCCCCGCCGGCCGTCGCCACGTCGTTCGTTGGCACGGCGGTCGTCCGCAGCTCCGCCGCGTCCTATGCAACATCCCTGCGCCAGCTCGTGCAGACGCAGCGAGAGCAGAATGCCCTGGCAGAGCAACGCGGACGTCTCTACCATAATTTTTCTCCCTCGTCGCCCACGGCCGCGGAAGGCACGGAAGTGGAAGCAGAGTGGCGCACGCGTGTGTCCGCTGCGCTAACCATCGCGGTGTGTCCTGCGTGTGAAGCGATGTTCGAGTACGCGCTGACATCCACGCCGGTGGTCGGTGCGGGGGAGGAGGAACGCAGCGAGAAGGGCGCAACGAAGGAAGACGATGGAACGGGAGGTGCGTTAGGCGTCGCAAAGGTGTGTCCGCACTGCGGGGCCACGGTGGACGTGTCTGCGGAGGCGACAGCAGCAACCGCAGCAGCGCATCGATGGTGGCTGCCGCCGCAGCCGCTGCCACCACAAACAACTGCGGCAGGATCCGCAGCAACAACGTCATTCGACGCGCTGCCATCCTCTGTGGAGCCCACTGTGGCCAACGGAGCGGCATCCAGCAGTGGCTGTGGGACCGACAGCGTGGGCTTTGCGGAAGGGGACGGTGAGGAGTCCTTTGCCGCCTTGATTGCCCGCATTCGGGCCTCGAAAAACAAGGCCGCGGCACGCACCGGATCAGCAGCCGTTCACCAAACGGCACCATCCGCCTCCATTAGCATGGACGTTTCAGGGACGCGGAAGTCATATTCAAAGGGGCATGCGTCCGTTGGACAGGACAGTGGAGGGGTTGGTCCGCTGCAGCCTTCTCCTTCCGTGCCGTTGTCAGCGCTGGCCGCGCCTGCTCCGTTAGATCCGATGGTGCCCAAGCTGCGAAAGGCCTTGAACCACCTCTACTTCTTTGAGCTCATGAAGGGTGGGACGAACAGCACAGGAAATGCCTGAAAAGGAAATGGAGAGCGATGGAGAAGAAGGCCCGCGTTTTTTTTCTTCTCTTTCTGCTGCACAAATGTAAAGGCTGTGTGCAAGCGCACCTCACTCTTCTTGACGGCGGTTTGTGCCTGGCAGACGCCTCTCAACGATGTTCACCAGCGCTTCATTCCGAACGGCAATGCTCTCTGTTATTTTGGGGAAAGAAGAAAGAGTTTATTGGCGTATATGCATGTCGCATTTAGCCCGCCGAACTGCGTCACAGAAGCCCTCCTGCCTGTCGGCGAGCTCACTCCACTGAGAATGAAAAAGAAAGAGAGAACTCCGCAGCGGTGCCAGAGCATGTAAAGCGACAACCGTTTCTGTCTACGCTGCTTGACTTTACATGTCTTCATGAGTCACCCGCACTGCACAACATCTTTGTGTGTGCGTGTCGTCTTTGCTTCGAATGGCTTACGTCTCTCTCTCCGTCGTCCTCACCTTCGGGTTTCCTCGCCCGCGTACGTGGTGCTTCTTCGCGCAGTGACGCGCGCAATCTCCGGCAGGCGTCGACGGCTTCTGGCTTTTTATTTTTATATTTTTGGTGTGCACATATTCATATTCATCGTCTTACCTCGCTGCGTCCGCTTCGGTTTGCTCTTCTCTCCTTGTTTCCAACAATGCCCACCAGAACCTTCGAGTATGTCTTCCAGCAGGTGATGTGGATGCTGGCGGCGGCGGCCCAGCTGATCGCGTCGATGGGCGTGGGTCTCAAGTGGGTCTTCATGACGCTCCGCTGCATCACCTTTGCCCTGATGGACATCGGCTACTTCCTTCCCCACGTATTCTGGTACCTGCTGTCGCCGAACATTATCCGCCGCGTCTCGTACCGCTCCTCGCGCACCACGAAGCTGCGGAACATGGAGGCGCTGCTGACGCGGCAGGTTGTGCAGGAATCCGCGGCACCGCCCACGCCGGCGGCGTCGTCGTCCGGGAAGGAGAGACGGAAGAGCGCGTCGGGGCGCGACGCCTCCCCGCCCCCGGCGGTGCCGGACGGTCCGTATGGCATGGACTACGACGCAGTGGAGCGCTTTGCTCGGACGATCAACCCCGCCGATGGCACCTTCGTGAACGGCCTCCCAGTGGACGTCAGCGATGACGCGAACAACGCCAGCTCGTTTTTCCCTGCCGCCCTCAACTCGAAGAACTCCTTCGACGACACGCTCGCCACGTTGCAGCGCATTTATCGCCACCGCAGTCAGCAGAAGCAGCAGCAACAGCAGCAGCCGTCAAAGTCGGGCTCGCAGGAGACGAGCTACCGCAACGGCAACCACCAGAATTCGGACTCGCCAATGATGGATCAGCCGCCCTCGCCGTACGCGGAAAGCTTCACCGACTCCGACAACGACGACGACGACGTGGAGGACCGCATGAATCTGCACAACCGCGCCACCCTCGACATCTACCTTCCCATCCCACTGGACTCGCTCTTTCGATTCATGGATCAGGAGCGCAGGTCCACGGAGGCCCACGAGCACGCTCACCCGTCGTCGCCGTCGGCCGCCAAGGACGAGAAGTCGGGCGATCAGAGCAAGCGGGCTGACGGCAAGAAAGACCGCAGTCGCCGCAAGAGCAAGCTGACGCGGAAGAAGTTCCCGATCATCATCTCCGTCACCGGTGGGGCGTGGATTGTCGGCTGCTATCTGTGGAACTTTCTGATGGCCCGCCTCTTCGCGGCACGCGGCTACGTCGTCTTCTGCCCCGACTACCGCAACTTCCCGCAGACGACGATGGAGGGCATGACGCTCGACGTGTCGGATGCCATCGCGTGGGTGCTGAACAACGCGGATCGCTACAACGGCGACCTGAGCAACGTGACGCTGATTGGGCAGTCCGCCGGTGCGCACCTGACGATGATGTCGCTCCTTTCTCAGGCGCAGCTGTGTGCGTACAACTACAACCAAGAACACAGTCTGTACGAGAACGTGCCGCCGCCGTCCGATGTCGCCTACAACGTCCCGCGCTACAACCCGCGCGAGTCGATCCACCGCTACGTCGGCCTCAGCGGGATTTTTAACGTGGGCGGACTCGTCCGGCACTTTGATCATCGCGGACTCTACCGAAACGTGCTGCACCAGATCGCAGGGGGCAAGACAAACATGCCGCGCTACACCCTCAACGCCTACTTCGACGACCGCCACCACTGCGCCAACACGGGGGAGGTGCTGCCGGACAACCTCTTCGACTTCTTCCCGCAGCGCATGTTCTTCGTGCACGGCGACGCCGACAAGAGCGCGCCGGTGACGGAGAGCGCGAACATCGTCTACTTGATGCGCGGCGCCCAACGCGACGCCATTGTGCGGCGGATCAGCGAAAACCCTGAGGCCGCCAAGACGTTGCCGAAGCCGGTGACGATAGAGTACATTCTGGTGCCGGGTGCCACGCACACCGACAGCATCATCGAGGAACCGCTGTCTGGCAACAGCCACATTGTGGAGTTCTTGTGCTACTACGACATCGACGACGATCAGCGCCGCCACGCGCAGCTGACGGGTAAGTCGCCCGGCAGCGCTACGCTGGACAGCCACCCTCATTCTCGCTCCTCCAGCGTTTACATCGGCAGCACGGGTTCGGCCGAGGTACCAAAGATGATCGAGTCGGACGCGCTGCAGCTCGACATGAGCCCTGTGTTGTCGAACCTGTCGAAGAGCGCGCAGCATCAGTTCCCGGTGCTGCCCGCTACACGCCCAGATGGTATTCTGCTCTCTCCGTGCCCGTCCTCGTCGCGGCGGAAGCTGATGCGACTGGCCAGCTACATCTGCCCCTTTTAAACTCTCGAGTAGAGAAGCGCTGGCAGGCGGCTCCCAGACACCCACAGACACGCACATATATATACACTGCGCGTCAATCACCATCACCACAGGGGAAAGAAGACTTTGTGGGTGTATTTTCAGCGCTCAGCACCGCGGTAGGGTGCCAACATACGTGCAAATGACTATAGTTATTCTTCTTCTTATTATTTCCTCCTGTCTGCTCGGCTCTACGCGTGTTTGATCTCGCTGCGTGGAAGGCTGCCGTGTCAGCCGCAACAGGGACACGACGAGGCGTTGGGTGGTTGGTTCTTTTGAATGCTTTTTGTAGATGATTTCCGCTACGCTGTCGGTATCCTCGCCTACTGATGCTTCCCTCTTTGGTGGTGCCTGGCTCTAACATATATATATATATTCTTTTTTATTGCTTTATACATTCGTCGGTACAGCACTCGCGTTTTCTTCCGCACTTACAGTTCTGGAAAAGCGGAGACCAGCAGCAGCAACCGTGGCAGTTAAAGAGCAAACAACTTGCAAACAACGCGCATGGAAACTTCTGGGAAGTGCGTTGGTGGAGCCCTGAAAGAGCGGGGAGGGCGGAGGATCAGGAGTGGTCAACTTTTTAGGTCTTCCTTTGGTTCGACCTACTTCTTCTTGATGCAGAGAGAGAAATGGAAAGGGGGCATTGGGCAGGAGCCGCGTTGGTGTGGATCTATGTTAAAAAAGGAAATAACGCTTCGTCACAAGATATATATATATGCATAAAGCTGCCTGCCTCGTCTCACTGCTTGGCTACATCGGGTTTTAAGAGGTTTGTGTCCCTCTCTCGAGTTCATGCGTGTTAGCCACCGTCTGTGCTGCTCCACGAAACCCACGTCTGCTTTGGGCAACAAAATCTCTTCCTTTCTCCCTCCCCCCTTCCCCCCTTTCTTTCATTATTATTACCTCTCACTGTTGTGGTGGTGGTTGGTCCATCGCCTCGCGGTAGTTAGCAGCGGCTTTACTATTCACACCACCTTGCCGTCATATCTATCAGCTCCGTCATCACCGTATTCATAGCCATTTTTTTTTGTTTTTGTAAGAGATCACAAAGACGCACAGTTCTCCCCACATCAGTGGAGAACTGTTTTCTTCTACGCTTCTCCTTCTTCTTCCTTGTCATTGTCGTCTCCTTCTTCGTTATTTTTCTTTTTCCTTCTCTTCTGCGCAGGCGACTAAGGAATTCCGTCTGAAGAGACAAGTCTTGTTTTGTAGCCAGAACGGTAATATCCGGGAAACCTCCTCGATAAAGGCGAACTCGTCCAGAGCGCGGTTTCCTAGTAACAACAAAATAGATATATATATATAAGGAAGTAAAAGGGAAAGAGGCGACGTCGTTGTCGAAGTCTCTCCACTTCTCAAGTGTGTCTGTTTTGTGTTGCTGTCTTCTCCGCTTGTCATTTATTGCGACAGAAGGGAGAGAGCGTAAGCGAAAAGAAGTCGTTGCGCAGCAGCAGCAGCAGCGACGACGCAGTTATTATTGCTTTTAATATTTTGTTTTGTTTTTCTCAGAGAACGTGATTGCACGGCTGGCTCCATCGGACACTAAAAGAAACGGAGTTCACCCGAGGTGCGTGAGGACCGGCGCATCTGCTTCTTTTATTTCTCTTCGGAGAGAAGATTTACGGCTTACACGCGCGTCGCGTCGGCGGGGAGAGGCGGGCGAGAGAGGTAGAAGTCGACGACGTCGTCACGCTCTCGCGCACCTGTGCCTGTTCCGTGCGCCACAAGCAGCAGAAAAAGGAGAAAAGGAAACATTCGCCGGTGCTGCATCGCGCGTTCGCAACTACACGTTTTGTTTCTATTGTGGGTGCCCGTAGCTTCTTCTTTTTTTTTCTTTTGAGAAGACGACTTCTCTCTCACTGTTGGTGTTTATGCAGGCGTATGTCTACCGAGCTGAAGAAAGAAGCAGGGACACGTACGCGCAGCACACACACACACACACACACACACACGCTCTCCCAACGGTGTTTACAGCAGCAGCACATAGTTTCTATTCCGTATCGCTGCAAGGGTAAACATCACGGGAAAAGGGGGGAAAGAAAAGCCAAGCGAGGAGACAGAGCGAAAACAGAGGTCTCGCTGCTCCTTTTTTTTTATGTTAGCTTCTTCATTCGCTTCGCGTCAATTCTGTTACTGGTTTTCCTGTTTGTTTGTTTGGTCGTTGGAGCTCCACGCTCGTGTTGTCGGCTGCCCCAGCAGTTTGCCATTGGCTTCCCGCGCAGCCCCTCCTTTTATGACTCTTACTATTTAATATTACATACAGCGCCGAGCCGGTTTCTTCCTCTTCTTTCTCTTTCTGTTAATTGTGCTTCGATAGGAAACGAGGAGGCGAAAGGGAAAATAGTAATATAAGGACAGTACACCACGGTATATATTTCTTACTGCACTTCGCTTTCCTCGTCTTCTTCTTCTTTTTATAGTTTCTTCTTCGAATTTTTTTTTCTGCTGCTGCGTGAGGTGGAACGCCAACAAGAACGATAGCAAACCAAATACCATTTATTTTGGTGTTAGTTCATCACTCCTGTACACTAGACACGTTCGCCCACGCCACGACTACCTACCCTATCTTTCATTTGTATTTTTTTTTTTTTTACTTCTGGTGTTGGTGCTGCAGTTGGACTCGCCGGTTTTCTTTTCATCTTCTTTGAAGCGTGGAGGCGGACGAGACGTTTCGTTCTCTCTCTCTCTCTCTTTTCTTGTAACCCACAGTTTTTATTGTTTGTCTTCTCAGGACGCAGCGCGCACGTCGCAAAAGTCTGTCAGCGAGAGTCGCTACGATTGAAGCCGCACAAAGTGGGGTAAGGCGTTTTTTGTGGCGCCGACACGCACACACACACACACACCAAGGAGAAAGAAAGGAAGATAATAGTCCACCGTGACTATTTCGGTTTTGGTAAGACGAACAAACATTCAAGGAGAGTGGAAAAAAAACATTTCTCATTGATCACGGTAAAACAGCCTTCGTATTCTTTTCTTTCTGTATAGCTGAAGCTGCGCCATTTGCGCTCAAGCCTTCGTGACGTGTTTGCAGATCCACACACCACCACTTCTTATTAGTACTATATATATATATTGTTGTTGTTATTCTTGTTTTCCACTTCAACGAAAGCAAAGGCCTCCACAACATGCTGCCGTACACGCTGCGTCAGCTGGTGTGGATGCTCACCAGCGCGCTGCAGCTCATCTACGCCCTCAGCACCGGCGTGGTGTGGGTGGCGCAGATGCTGCGCCTCTTCGCCTACGGCGCGTGTGTCGGGGTCTGCTTCATCCCGCACTGGTGGTGGTACCTGACCTCTCCCAACATCATCCGACGCGTCTCGTACCGCTCCTCTGACACGACGAAGAAGCGCAACATACTCCGTGTGTTGGAGGCGGAGGGCGTCGACCTGCACGAGGTGCTGCGGAAGGGCGCCTCGCCACCACCACTGCAGCAGCAGCCGTCGTCGTCGTATTCGCTGCCGTTAGGTGGTGGTGGTGTACGTCGCCGGCGCGTGTTGGCAGGTCCGCGCAACGGCAGCGGCGGCACCAGCAGCAGACTGGTCGTGCACGATGAAAGCGCCGGCGGCGATGGCGGCGGAGGTGGGCCGCTTCCGCACTATCGCCGCCCGGCGTCCGATGCCGCGACGGTATCCAGCTTCCGACGCGGCCCTTGGAGCCGTGAGGAGATGGACGAGGGCGCCGCCCGCTACTACCACGGCAGCGGTGGCGGTAAGGTGATGGAGGCGACGCTCGCCTATCCGCACAGCGCCATCGTCGGCGGCGGTGGCGGCAGCGCGGCCATCACCTACCCGCGTGGCCACTCCCCTTCCGGAGACGGCACCGACGCAGGTGGGAACGCGGAAGAGCGGGGGGAGGTGCAAGCGAACTTCGACCCCCTCTCCTCCCCCCACGAGCAGCACAGCCTCCCTCCCCGCCGCAGCCGTCGCGCACCACCGCCACGACCACAGACCACAAGCGGACTCTTCGCGGGCGCCGCGCCGCGACGTCGTCGGATTGCGCGTGCCGCCAGCGAGGTTCAGGGCGCCTCCACCGCACTGGGGCGGTTAATGGAGGCAGCGCCGGTGCACCTCAACCCCGCTGACGGGTCCGCCCTGCGCAGCTTCCCCGCTCCGCGCTCGCAGGCGAGGGACGACGTGCGTGTGGTGCCGCGCCGACCGCAGCTCCTCTCGCTCAGCCCCCACCGCACACCCCCGCGGGCCGCCCCGCACAGCAAAGCGACAGCGCTGGAAAAGGGAGAGATCGTACCGGTAAAGCAGAGCTCCTCCTCCAGCTGCGACATGACGGTGAATAGGCCTGAGAACAGCAGCGGCGACGACGACCGCGGCGTGGGCAGCAGAGCGGCGAGGGGGGAAGCGCAGCCGTCGTGCACACCGCAGCTGCGCAGCTGCACGGCCACCGCGGCCGCAGCGGACGCGATCGAGGAAACAGACGCCTCGTCGCGGACGCCTCTCTACGAGGGCCGGCCCGTGTACTACGAAGCGCTGCCGCCGGTGGGGGTACCGAACGACCCCCTCTTGAAGGACGTGTTGGCTGCGCTACACGAGGGCGAGGCGGCGGGGGCTGAACGGCTGGCGGAAGCGCCGTCGGTCGAGGCGGAGGAGCTCCGGCCACGTGCGGAACTCCACGAGGAAGGGCCGTGGCAGTCGTTGCCAGCTGCGCGCAGTCGCAGCGACGACGGAGACGCCGAGAACAGCGGCGGTAACGGTGATGGCGGGCCGGGCCGACCGCTGCGCCGCAGCCGGCAACGACGCCTCGCCTCGCCGCAGCACCCCCGCACCTTTTCCGAAGAAAACATCCTCGCCGGGCTGGACGAGGAGGACGAGGAGGACCGCATGAATCTGCACAACCGCGCCACCGTGGACATCGTCCTGCCTGTCCCGCTGGACTCTCTCATGAAGACGCTCGAGTACACGCAGCACAGCAAGCGCCTCCGTCGCAAGCGCTTCCCGGTTGTGATCGACGTGACGGGTGCGGTGTGGATCATCGGCAGTCACCTCTGGAGCACCATGATGGCCCGCGTGCTTGCGCAGCGCGGCTACGTCGTCTTCTGCCCCGACTACCGCAACTTCCCGCAGACGACGATGGAGGGCATGACGCTCGACGTGTCGGATGCCATCGCGTGGGTGCTGAACAACGCGGATCGCTACAACGGCGACCTGAGCAACGTGACGCTGATTGGGCAGTCCGCCGGTGCGCACCTGACGATGATGTCGCTCCTTTCTCAGGCGCAGCTCTCCGCGTATCGCAATAACACGCTGCGTGGGACGTACGAGAGCGTGCCGCCGCCGTCCGATGTCGCCTACAACGTCCCGCGCTACAACCCGCGCGAGTCGATTCACCGCTACGTCGGCCTCAGCGGGATGTACAACGTCGAAGGCCTCGTGGACCACTTCCAGCACGAAGGCCTCAACACACCGGTGCTGCACCAGATCGCGGGGGGCCGCGATCAGCTCGCGCGCTACTCCATTCACGCCTACTTCGACGACCGCCGCGGCGGCGACACGGGGGAGGTGCTGCCGGACAACGTCTTCGACTACTTCCCGCAGCGCATGTTCTTCGTGCACGGCGACGCCGACAAGTGTGCCCCCGTGACGGAGAGCGCGTCGTTGGTCGCGATGCTGCGTGGTGCGCAGGCGCGTTACGCGGTGCGCCGCAGTGAGCGCAATGCCGAAGCGCGCCGACACGCTCTGCGCAGCCGTCGACTTCTGCCCGGCGTCAGCGACGACGGTGCGCCAGCCACCTACAGCACGGTGCACCGCGGGGCAAACGTGCCGTCGTCGTGGACGCAGCGAAACGCGGGGAAAGAGGCGGAAGACTTCGAGCGCAGCGGCAATACCTCGCCAACACGCAACGCCCAACATCCGCCTCATCGCGTCGGTGCAGGTGCGGCGCACGCCGGCGCGGTGGAGCCGGCTGACGCATCGGCTGGGCAGTCTAATGTGTTAAACGATGGCGGTGGCGGTGGCGGGGGTAGTGGTCCTCGTCGCCGCGCGGGCAACACCGATCGGAGCGGGTCGGTGCCGCTCCTTTCGCAGCAGCAGCCCACCGTGGCGCGCCCTTTTGCGCGGCCCTCCCGCCACGACGAACCGAAGTCGCCGGTGGAGCTAGAGTTCATCGTCATTCCGAACGGGCGACACTCGGACGCCTTTGTGGATGAGTGCATCGCAGCCGGCCGCAGCTGCTGCGTGGACCTCCTGTGTGACTACGAGTCCGCGGTGGACTTCCCCACGAGTTCCTGCGCTGCGTCGCTCGCGAACGGGATCGACGGGGACTCGCTCTGCGGCTCGCCGGGGGCAACGTCGTCGTCGGCGCAGCGGGTGGAGCACGTTCCCGCCTGGATGGCGCAATCATCGGAGGCGTGTGCGATGCCGGACGGTATTCTGCCATTGGCAGTCCCGACGGAAGAACGCTCGCTGCCTCTGCGGCTGTGTACACTGATCTGCCCTTTTTAGGAAAGAAGAGGGGTTTTTTGTTTTTCTAAAGAAGCAGAGAGGCGGAGCTCACTTGGCGTCGGTGGTGCGGCGGTGGGACGGCGAAGTCCTCGCCTTTTTGGGCGGAGATTTCATTTCTTCTCTCTCCTTCCTAAATGTAAAAGAAGGGAAAGGAAAATCTCGCACTCTTAAGGAGGAAACATTCGTCTTTCTGAGAGCAGCAATGCGTCTTCTAGTTGTCCTTTTCCGGTTGTTTTTGTCCTTACTCATTTTGCCAAACACGCACAAACAATTTCTTTCCTGTTGCGTGTTTTTTTACTCTCGACGCCATCGCTTTCTTTTTCGCACGACGATGGCGTTGTTGTGCCTGACCTGTTCACGGAACAACACACGCACGCAGCCGAGAGAAGTGTATATATAAACTTACGAAGCGAGAACATTGATACGTAGGTGACAGGGTTCGTGTTTACTTGTGTTTGTGTGGCTTTTCCTTTTCTGTTCCTTTTACGAATGAATGAAAACTAACTCTGTCTCTTGTGTACGAAGTGAGTTTAAAGAATCATCTATAGCAACAGCGATAACAGCTACGTACTCTGGATTTATGGAGGAGCTGCGTCTCGCCACCGTTGTCTAATACGCAGTATGTGTGGGTCAAGGAGAAGCGGGTGGGGACTCTATGCAAGGCGGTACCAACTTGGTTCACGCCATCGCTGCTCTCCCTCTCTCTCTCTCTCGCCCTCTCGCTGCTTCGACTCGTTGAGCTGTACAGCGTTCATCCATGCAGCAGCGCTGCTCCTACAGCTGCACGGCACATTATGCTGGCGCTCTTTCACGTGTGAGTGTTCGCTGCGGTTCCCGACTTTCCTTATTCCTCCTCCTTTTTCTTTCCTTCCCCTTCTTCATTGCGGCGGCGCCGTTACACACGATCGTTTACTGTTATTATCACTGCTGCCTCGTCCTGTCCATCGCAACGGTGTCGCATGGTCTTGCATGGGTGCTCTTGTCGCTGCTCAACGACGAACGCCGACCCACATGCACGCACGACAGGTCTTTTTCCCCCGGCGTTATTCTTTCGTCCTCCATTGAAGCCAAACAGCAACAAAGCACGACACAAACAAAAGAACTTTCCAAAGCGTACATTAACTTCTCTCTTTCTCTTTTCACCGAGGCAGAGCGGCCTTTCGAACAAAAAAACCCTCGCTGTCGTTTTACGCCGTCGCAGCGCATCATCACAGCCAGCTGAACTAGGCACACACACACGCACACAGGCTCAAAAGATACGTAAGAGAAAATGATGACGGCGGACCCGGAGGCGCTGCTGACGAAGTACCAAAACGGCTTCACCGTCTACGAAAACTTTCTGCTGCGCGAGACGCAGACGCCACCAAACTCGCAGCAGCGCCTTACGAAGCCGGCGAGGCAGCAGCAGCCGCACGTCGACCCGAATGCGACCATTCTGGACATGAATGATGCACACGATGCGGCAGCAGGGGGGGAAGACGGGCAGCTCGGCGAGGACGAGGCGGCGCACGAGCACAGCGCCGGTCGCCACGACGTCGCACGTCCACACGCGCGTCCTCACTCAGCAACAGCAGCGGCAGCAGCGGCAGCAACCGTAGAGGACACCTCCGCCAGCCCTGCCGCGCGTCCCCCCGCGTCTCACCGAACGACCTCCGCAGCCGCGGCAGCCGCCGTCGCACGAGCCATCGCGGCTCATGGTGGGTTGGATGGACCCCTCACCGTCCCTCAAAGCGGCGGTGCCCCACATAACCACCGCAGTGCGAGCAACAACACGGCTAGTGCGAGTAGTCGAACACCGCATCAGGCAAAGTCCTCCGTGGCACGTCCGCTGTACCACACCCCCAACATCACCACGACCACCGCTGCCGACCGTCGCCGCCCCTCGGCTGGGCTGCTGGACGAGGTCGACCAGTTAATCGAAGAGCGCCTGCAGTCAGCTGGGCGCTACCGATCGACCGCCTCGCCGGACGCGATGTATATCAAATCACAGGCGTGGCTCCTGCGTCGTCGCCAGATCAACGAGGCCCTGCGCCGGGAGCAGGAGGATATGGAGCTGCGTGAGTGTTCCTTCCAGCCCCAGCTCGGGCCCGCCGCCGAGGCGGAGACGGCGTCCAACTTCCTGCCACCGGCCGAGGACGACAGCCCCTATGCTGCGGCCGGGAGGACGGTGGCCGAAGACCCCGGCGTGGCGCAGCACCTCGCACGATTGGAGGCGGCCCGGCAACGGCGCCGCGAGACACAGGCGCGTCTGGACGGCGCCCGCCACCGGAAGTGGACGGGCCGCACGACGGTGCCTCACGCATTTCAGTTGGGCGGCCGCGTCGCCGAGCCGATCCCGTCTCTGCGGAAGCCGTGTCAGCCGCAGGACGGCGAGGTAGAACCGTGGCTTGCCGGCGCGCACAACACCGCTAACGCCAGTGCGGCGACGACAAAGTCCGCGTCGAGGTCGAGAATCGCGTTTGGCACCGTGGTGAGTGCGGAGAAGATGACCGACTCGCCCAACGTGTACCACAAGAAGAGCCGCAGCGGGATGCGCGCAAACGGTGGCGGCGGTGCACTGAAGCGCCGACCGAACGCGCAAAGCATTCCGCAAAGCGAAGGGCAGCAGCCGCTGATCTGCTCTCCTCCGTCGCAGCAGCAGCAGCAGAAACAAGAGGCAGAACCAGAGCGGGCCTTGCGTACGGTGGATTATGATGCGGACGTCAAGCTGGGCAACAACGACGCCGCTGCTGTGGCGGCCAGCGATGCTGCCGAGATGGCGAGAGATGCGCAGGACTCGCAGGACCTGGTGCGGCGTCTGGCGGATCAGTTAGCGAACAAGGACGCGGTGATTCAAGAGAAAATGGACGATTTAGAACGGCTGCACCGCGAGTTGGAGGCGGTGAAGGAGACGCTCCAGCAAATCGCATCGTTGGGGACCGAGAAGCCATGAAATGACCTCTTCTACGTGTCGATAATTATTTCTATTTATTTCCTCTCATATTTTGCTTCTTATTCTCCCTTTGAATTTTTTTTGTCTTCCGTGTTGCTTGCTGTGACACCGCATCATCTGACCTGGCGCAGCGTGCTCGAATGAAAGATGAAGCGTTGCTGTTGTTACTCATAAATCTCTTTTGTGTTTTGCGCGTGCTCAGTAAGAGCGTGTTTTCCAGCAGGTCTTCTATTTTTTTTCCTTTCGGGGGGAGGACTGTTTGCGAATGTGAATGTGTATGTGTATTGCGACACCCACACGCGCATGCTGGGCACTGAGAAGGTGTGCAACTACGAAGCGCAGCTGCTCAAGCTCGAAAATGTCAAGCTGGCAGCAAAAGGCTCGAGGGAAGAATCGAAGGAGTGTAACGAACTGTGGCGTCTGTTCCTGCTGAAGAGGAGAGACGGCTGCTCTGTTTTTCTTCACCCTCTTCCGGTCCGTGTTGGGTGGTTTCATGCAGATAGCGTTGCTGCTTCACGTTGCTCCTCGTGCTGGTCGATGAAATTGTTGAAGGTCATTGACGCTGCTAAGGGGAAGAACACACACGAGAGAGTACCTCCGCGTGGCACCTGCAAAGTTATCTCACCTCGTGCCTTTCTCTTCTCTTCTCTTCCTCCCTCCCTCCCTCACTCCACCTTTCTTGTCTGAGGCTGCCGCTGCTTTGAGAGCACTTGTACGTGAATTAGCATTGCAGCTCGCATTGGCACGTGTAGCAAACACACACACTTACCAAAAGCATGACCTTGCAGCAGGCGCACCCAGCAAGAGTTTTCTGCTATTATTATGGCGAGTGGTTTACTTGCATACTCCTTCTGTCTTGTTTAATAAGATAACAGAGAAGTTTTTTTCCTCTCTTTCATGTCTCTCTTCCCCCACCTTCATCGCCCCGCGGCTCTGCTGCTTCTCCTGTGGCTGCTCACCACCTGCTTCTTTCCTTGGCGAGGTGCGCAAGCGGAGATCATCGATCGTTTCCCTGACATCATCAACGCCTTCACCACCAACGCGGACGGCGCTGCCGTGCGAGCCATCTACGACGCGTCGCAGCTGACGTGGCACAACACCTCCGACAGCGCTCTCACTCCCTTCCAGAGCAGCAGCTATGTACTCTGTCAGTCCACTCCACCCGCTACCGTTGCGGCGGACACGAGCGCCACGGACATCATCGCTGCGTGGTGCAATACTCAGCAGAGCGGCCAGCTGATTTTGCAAGCAGTGTCATGGAGCACCCTCGCTGCGCCGGGTCTGCAGCTGCTGGACACGTCGCACACCACGTTCCGAGCACGCGCGTGGGACTGCATCACCTACGGCTGTGACGTGGAAAGCACCATCCGTACAACCACCACCGACGCTGCGACGGCGCCGGCTGCCGTTGGTGGGCTGAGTGTCGGAGCGCCGTGCTGTGGCTCGACCAACAGCACCTTTGTGCTGTACAACACACGTGGCCTGGTGGTGCAGGCGGATCTGCTGCCCGTCACGGCGCTGAACAACGAGGCGCTGCAGCTGGCGACGGCGTACGCCGCATCTGGATCCTCATCATCCTCGGCCTTTTCTGCCTCTCTCGCCACCATGAACCTTACTGAAGCGATGGACTACTGTCTAGTCCGTCAGCTCCCGCCATGGTTTAGCGGAAACGACGTGGAGGGCCCGGGCGACGGTGGCGTTGTCTTCCCAGTGGACGTCGCAATTTGTGGGGAAGACGTGAGTGATCGCATCGATACTCGCCACGCCTCCCTCGCCCTGACGGGCTACACGCTTCTACTTGTCACCGCGGACGGCGTCGACGAACTCTCCTTTCCCCGGGAACTAATCGAGAGCGTCGTTTCGTGGATCGCCCGCCGCTCCGGCACCGCCTTCGGCTCTTACAGCTCCGACGACAGCCTCGGGAGGAGTGGGAGTGTGTGTGCGTGGCACCACAGCACCGCGTACGCCTCTGCCTACCGCACCGGGGCGTACTACGACTGCACCTTGTCAGACCCTACGCTGCTGCAGCACCTGCCGCCGCTTCTCCTATCCGTGCGTAATGAGTCGATTGTGGACACGGCGGAGACGAACAGCGCCTGCACCATGGCGATCGACCTGACCGCCTGTGCAGTGTCCAACGGCAAGGTGCTGCGCTTCTTCTCGAGTGGCTCCTTGTTGCAGGCGTTAAAGGCGCAGCAGGATGCGATGACGGTGTTCAGCGATCCGCCTATTGTGGTCGGTGTGCAGCACCTGCGGGGGGCAACGGTGGCTGTCACGCGCAACGCTTATGTCGCCAACTGGATCAGCTCCGACTACAACCTCGCGACCGGGCTTCCGCTGCTGTACCTCGCCACGCCACGAGGGACAGCGCTGGCGCAGTACACTTCCGCGACCTCGTGGTACGCGTGTGTGCGGCCGCAGGTGTGCGCGAAGCGGCAGCTTTTTTACCCCTCCCTCAATCGATGTGCCACGAAGGAGTGCCTGAACGTGTTCCTCTACCACTTCGACCCGAGGACGTTTGAGTGCTCGGTGCAGGTGAGTCTCGTGAGCTGGTTTGCGGCGATGTGTCTTGCGGTGCTCGTCGCGGAGGCCACGGTGCTGTACCTGCGGCGCTCGACGGAGGAGGCCAAGGAGGAGCACATGCGACTCGTGCATGCGGTGCAACGAAGAGAAGCAGGGGTGCAGTAACCATCCCTATGCTTTTTACATGACTGGGCCCTTCGATGATTGTTTTCTTCTTCTCCTTCGGTGATGGTGGTGGACCGCACCAACTCTGCCTGTCTCACTCCTTTCCTTAGTTGCTGCCTTTCTGTGGTGTACAGGTAAAAACTGATTCGCCCCGCTGTTCTCGCTAAGAACTCAAAAGAAAGGGAAAGTGCTGGTGATGACATCTTGAAGGAAAAAACGGGAAGGGGGTGAGTCAGGTGGGTGTCGTGGTTGAGGCGCCGTCTCGCACGGATCGCGCTGTGTGCGTATGCGTTCGTTAATCGAGCCACCCGGCACCCCCGCCCCGCCCGCCTTCTTTCGTGTCGTACTGGGGAGCATGTTGGGTGAAGAGCGAACTACCAAGGACAGAATGAAGCATGCTCTTCCTCTTCCTTAAGAACACATATACCTTTGACGCTCTCCATCTGCGTTCTTCCTCCGTGTTTTCTGATTTTTTGCTGTTGCTCTACGCGCCACCTTTAGTTGAATTCGGTTTCGCCAAATCCGCGTAGAGGCACCGCGTTGCGTCCGCACCAATCAGTCGTGGTTGAATACGCAGGAAGACAGCCGCCGTCGCAAGAGACGTGCCGTCCGGGTTTGATAGAAAGCGACGCAGCTCTCTTGGTGGATCCGCTTGCCCTCTTCCCAAATGACAGCTCTTCCTCACGTCCCTCCTGGTGACCGCTACCTCACACGCCAACCCTGCGGTCCGCAGTGCTGCGGCGTTGCCTCCTCCTCCTCCTCCTCGAACGGGGTCGGGACGTCATCCTCAGAGGAAGAAGTGGCAGAGTGGATTGCGGTGCAGTCGTACAGCTACGTGTTTCGTGCCCCGGTGAAAGGGCGCTGGCTCGGTCGGGGGCTGCTCGACTTATTTTTACACGAGTTCGCCTTCGTTCCTGGTGCGCCGGTGGAAGGCGACCCCTCCGCGGGGTCCTCCACGGCAGACGGGACATGGAAGCGCTCCGCTGTGCTTCCCCTTCTTCTCCTTCTCGACTCCTCGTCGGTCGTCGGTCGAGGCAGTGGGGGAGGCGCGACGTTGGATCGGCGCGTTACTCTGCCCGGGTACGTGGAGGAGCTGTGCGATGGTGTTCTGTGGCTGCACGGACGAGAAGCGGAGTGCCGCGCGGCGGGCAGGCGCTACCGCGATGCGTTGGTTCAACTCGCACACACACGCGGCGCCGAGCTCGCGGACTGTGCGGGGGCGGATGATGTTGCAGATGGTCCTCAACGAAATGAGTTGTCACCATCCTCCGTAACGCCTCCTGTGACGACGAGCAGCACAGCCTCTGCCTGCCCCTCTCGCGCCGAAACCGCCGCCAAAGCAGAAGAGGAGTGGAGGGCATGGTGCCGCACGGTGCGGTGGCTCACACGGCTGCCGGCGGAGACGGATGTGGAGGCCTTCCTGCCCGAGCTGCACCGCCACTGCAGCCTCGGTGAAGCCGCGCCGTTCTCCGTTATCACCGCTACAGCTGAGGATTCTCCCTCCTCTTCGTCCTCCTGCTGTCCGCCGCCGCCGCTGGTGCTCCGTCAGCGCGACACGGTATACCATCGCGTGTGGCGCCGTGAGGGACGGATGTTCGCCCAGCCTCCTCTGCAGCTCCTCCGCTGCGACCTTCGCAACGCCATAGCGCGCTGTGGTGCCGCTGCTGATGCTTCCTCCTCTCGCTCCTCCTTCAATTCCGCTGGGCAGGCGCCTGCGTTGATGGTGGTGAGTAAGCCGCCGGGGCTGCCGGTGCACCCCTCCGGGTGTTACCGCAAGAACAGCGTGACGAGCATCCTCGAGGACGTGTTTGGCGGCTGCGATGGCGGACTGAGGTACGACGCGGAGGAGCACTTCACCCAGGAAGGCCAGGCCGGCAGCGACGGGCTCTTCCGTCCTCATGCGTCGATCCGGCACCGACGCGAAGGGTTTGAGCTGATACGTGTCTTCGTGCGCCTTCCATCGGCGGCGTGCTCGGTCGACGGGGTGGCGCTGGAGGATTGGTGGCTGTTGAAGGCGCTGCTGCACCGCGGCGGCGGCGGTGTGGGGGGTGGAGATGATACGGGAAAGGAGGGAACTTTAACGCCGCCGGTGGCTCCCTTCGATGCAGCACCCACGTGGAAGCGCTCGCGAGCGGACGGAGAGGCGGGTCCAGCGCAGCCCAAAAGCACAGTTCCTTCCGCGGAAAAGAATGGAGGCGGAGACGTCGGAGTGGCAGCCACGGCGCTGACTCCGGTCGCGTCTCTTCCTCAAAATTACCCCCTCAAGGCGTTTGTGGTCCACCGACTCGACGCGGCGACGAGCGGTGTTCTCGTGTTCGGCCTCGACAGCGACGCGGCACGTCGCACGGCGGCGGCGATCGCCAACAAAACGCACTCCCCCGGTGAGGCGGATGGCGGTGACGACGGTGACGATGGAGACGACGACGACGCCACTGCTGCGGATTTCCTGCTGGACGGCATCGGCCCTGCGCAGGCCGCACACGCCCTTGCCGCCCCCTCCCCCTCCTCCCCCTCCTCCTCTCAAAAGGTGTACGTCGCTCGCGTACACGGCCGTGTGGATCTGGTCGCGCTTGCCCGCACACAGCACAACTGCGTACTGCGGCAGCGTTCATCCACCCCTCAATTCGAAGAATCGCACACCGTCGGCAACACCGGCACAGATGCGTCTTCTCGGCAAGATGAAGCTGGCAATGCCTCGGTGGAGGGCGAGGAGCTGGTGCTGCACCGGCCTATTGGGTGTGTGGACCACCATCACAGTCTCTACTGGTGTCCAGATGCCGCCCTTACCGAGGTGTGGCGGCGACAGCGGCGTGAACGAATCAAAAGAGAAGCGGCAGAAGAAAGACAGGCGACAGCGCACAGTGCGAAGCCGAGCAGCACGAAGGGAAAGTGGAATCGCACCCCAGAGGCCATCGCAGCAAAGCACGACAAGATGCGCCAACTCACGCGCGGGACGGCCGGCCGCGACGCCCCTCTCACATCACCGCCCAGCGATGTAGCTGCGACCCGCGAGGATGGAGCCCATTCGAGCACGGCGCTGTTGAAGGGGACCGATGAGGAAGCAGCCGCAGCGTTGCGGGTTCAGCAGTACATGCAGACCCTCCGCCCCGCCACGACCCTCCTGCGCGTGGACCACTACGACGCCGTGACGGACGAGACGGTGGTGCGGTGCACCTTGGGGACGGGCCGCACACATCAGCTACGGGTCCACCTCGCTTCGCTGGGGCATCCGATTGTGCGAGACAGCAAGTACGTCGCGATGGAGGCCTTTCTGCGTGAAGTGGGCGCCTCCTACGTTGCAAAGGAGCAAGTGCATGCCTCAAAGCAGGAAAGCGGGGGTGAAAGAGGCAGCGACGTTGTCGACACCTCTTCTCCTCCTCCTCCCGCTTCGCCGGCTGCCGAAGCTGAAGAGCAGTCGGGCGTTCATGCGGTGCGCAAACATTGGCAGGCGTCCGATACGCCTCTCTCGCTCTTCTACGGCGCCCCTCGAGGGCACCACCGCGAGGACGACAGCGATGGCGCCCAGCGGAGGCAGGAGACGGCAACCACGGAGAAAGACGCTAGGCGTGGCGCGGCGGTGGGCGCCGGGGCGCCTGCTTGGAAGACGGCCATCTTTGCGGACTCTCGCACCGCCCGCGGCTGCGTGTGCCCGGATGCGATTGATCTGCACGCCTGGCGCTACACCCTCACCTACGAAGGCAGCGCGGAGGTGGTGAAGGTGGAGGTGCCGCTGCCGTCGTGGGCCCACAAGTAAATGAAGCAGAGAAGCACACACACACAAGCGGGAAATGGTCAGCGGCGTGAGGAGAGGCTTCGACGGGGTTCGTCTCCTCTACTGTTGCTGCCCAGGACGGTATCGGCAAAGAGTCGATGAAGCGGTTGGGGAATAAATAAGCATGGAAGGAGGAGAATTTCGGCCTTGGTGCCTAGCGTATTCAAGGCAGACGCTGCGAGGTGATACGTCGTCTTCAACGATGGCGTTTCATTTTCAATTCTCGTTTTCTAGCGCCGTCGCTGACCTGCTCTCTTCTTGTCTTCTAAACCCTTTATCTGCTCTGTTGCCCCTGCCTCCCCTCTTTCCTCTTCCTCTCACCATTCAAACACACACACACACAACACCTAATGATTGATTCACGACTCTAACGCATTGCCGCAAAACACAAAGAGGGATCTAGAACTAATGTCGAACGCCCAGCTCGCCTGCACCTACGCCGCGCTCATCCTGAGCGAGAACGGCAGCTGCAACGCCGATGCGATCTGCAACGTGACGAAGGCCGCCGGTGTGCCGGTGAGCCACGGTATGGCCACCGCCTTCGCCAACGCCTTCGTCGGGATCAACGTGGAGCAGGTGCTGAACAGCATCAGCTTCGGTGGTGCCGCCTCTGGCGCTGCCGCGCCCGCCGCCGCTGCTGCGGGTGGTGCTGCCGCCCCTGCCGCTGCCGCGAAGAAGGAGGAGAAGGTGGAGGAGGAGGCCGACGACGACATGGGCTTCGGTCTGTTCGACTAAGCCGAATTCTCAGCGAAAAGCGTGTCTGCACGCCGGTTCGTTTTGGTCTCGTCTGAGTTCCCTGCCTTCTCTGCCCCTCACACTCGATTAGCTAGTGATTGGTTGATGGAGACCGGCGATGTGACGAGCACCATCACGTCTTTCGTCCCCAGTTTTCTTTATTATTATTATTATTTTTGAAGGCAACAACAACAAAACGGTTGAACAAAGCAACAAGGAGACTTTGGAGGACGCAGAGACGCAGGTCTGTGCGTATTGTTGTTTTCCCCTGTCTTCTTTCGGCGGTCCAAGCGGTCTTCACGCAGCTCCAGACGCGGCGCGAAGGGAACGGACAGCTACACATGCCACATCAGCCCTCAGCGTTTCCGCTACCTGTGGGACTCGCCGTGTGTGTGTGTGTGTGTGATGTGGCTGCGACCAATGCCTGCCTTTCTATTCGGGAGCTTTCTTCTTGTGTTTCTCGCGTTGTTTTGCGGGAACTCTCAGACCCCGACGCTGCTGCGTTTCCAGCCTGTTGGCCCCGTCAAGTGCAGTACAGTTTTGGGGGTATGGTCCTCACTTCGCCTCCTGAGCAGTTCTCTATGGCTCCTTTCACCTTCATCTCTTCCCCTTTGACACATGGTTCGCCTCTTCACCTGTGTTGGGCCTCCGCACTGCCCGATATGATTCCTCGCTTTCTTCGCTTACTCTTTAATTTATTTTTGCGCAAATGAATACATCGAATACCCCGGCTTCCCCACACGAGTGAAGTTGTACCAGCACGTTAGAACTAATGTCGAACGCCCAGCTCGCCTGCACCTACGCCGCGCTCATCCTGAGCGAGAACGGCAGCTGCAACGCCGATGCGATCTGCAACGTGACGAAGGCCGCCGGTGTGCCGGTGAGCCACGGTATGGCCACCGCCTTCGCCAACGCCTTCGCCGGGATCAACGTGGAGCAGGTGCTGAACAGCATCAGCTTCGGTGGTGCCGCCTCTGGCGCTGCCGCGCCCGCCGCCGCTGCTGCGGGTGGTGCTGCCGCCCCTGCCGCTGCCGCGAAGAAGGAGGAGAAGGTGGAGGAGGAGGCCGACGACGACATGGGCTTCGGTCTGTTCGACTAAGCCGAATTCTCAGCGGCCTCGGTCTGCGGTCGGCGCACCTCACTGCGTCGGAGCGCGTGTGTGCACATCCGCGCCGCACTCTCCCCCTCTTCACGGGCTCGTCGTCCAACACAGCCACCGGTATTCTTTATTTTTATGTTTGTTCTTTTCTCTTTTCATCTAAAGCCAAAAAAGTCGCCAACACGAGAAACGCCGCGGCATCGCGATGTCGCTTCGTATCAGCGTGTGTGTGTGTGTGTTTCTTTTTCATGGATGTGGGAGGCTGCCTGCCGTGCGTGCGCTGTTGCCGTGGGTCTCGTTGATCTGCACCGGTTCAGATCGCGAAGTGCCGCCTGGCAGCTTTCTTCTTCAGTTTGCATGTCTTTGCTTTGGGGATGCGCACTGGAATAACGGGTGATGGTGATCATAGTGATGTATGTGTGTTGTGTGTGTGAGTGTGTGTATGCCATTCATTGAAAACACTGTCTCACCCTTGGCCTCGTTCGTTGGTCGCTGTCCTCTTCTTTTTCTCTCCTCTCCTCGTCACTGCGCCACCCGCCGCGTCGAAGTACGCGTCTTCTATCAGACGACGCGCGGCATCCTGCGTGCGTTGGGTATCTGCCCCTGCTCCTCTTGTTTTCTTCTGCTGCTTGCGTCACACCCCTGAATAGGTATTGCGCTTATATACATATAAGACAAGAAGTTATCACACCTGCACCGAACTCATTTAGCTTCTCCTCTTGTTGTTGAACGGCCCGCAGCCCAACAGCGACAGCAACGGCCATGTCCAGCACGGCCACCGCGGAGTCTGCGGGGTCCCCTCCCAAGGCCCCGGCGCCAGCTGTGGCGCTCCCGTCCACAATCCCCTGCGGCGGCGACTCGCGACGCATTCTCGTACTCTATGTGGGTGGCACCATCGGCATGATGAAAAACGCCGAGGGCGCCCTCGAGTGCGTCGCGGGTTACCTCACCCAGCAAATGCACGAGATGCGCGAGCTGCGCGAGAGTGCTGAGATTGCGCCCTTCGACATCATCGAGTACGCGGAGCTGCTGGACAGCAGTGACATGAACGCGGCGGACTACTGCCGAATTGCGGCCGACGTGGCGGGTCACTACGACGAGTACGACGGCTTCTTAGTTGCCCACGGCACCGACACGATGCATTACACGGCGAGCGCCCTCTCCTTCATGCTGCACAACTTAGACAAGCCGGTGATCGTGACTGGCGCCATGGTGCCCCTGGCGGAGCCGTACAACGATGCCCGCCGCAACGTGATCATCAGCATGATGATCGCCTCCGATCCGAAGGTGTGCGAGGTGTGTGTGTTCTTCAACGACAGCCTGTTCCGCGGCAACCGATGCAGCAAGGTCTACCACACCTACGGCGCCTTCACCTCTGCCAACTACCCTCCCTTAGGCACGATGGAGGCAACCCACTTTGTACTGAAGGAGGAATACCTGCTGCCGCAGCCGAATGGATCGATGAAGGTGATGTCCGACCTGCGGGGCCGCGTCGGCTGCTACCCGCTCGACCCCGACGCCGACGTCGACACGATCGTCGCGCTGCTCGAGCACAAGCGGCCGCCCACTACGGCGGATGGGGAGGACGGCGCACAGGCCCCGCTGCTCGATGCAATCCTCCTCACGCTCAACGGCGTCGGCAGCGCCACCGGCACCGTCGCGGCGCAGCTGCGGCGCATCGTGAAGACGGCACAGAAGCACAGCATCGTCGTCTGCGCCGTCACACGCGAGATCAGTGGGACGCTGAATGCGCTGGAGGTGCAGCGGCTGCGGGCGATTTCGCCGTACATCGTGTATCTGAACGACATGTGCATCTCTGCGGCGGAGGTGAAGCTGATGTACCTTTTCGGCAAGAACCTGCCGCCGTCGCAGGTAGCGGCGCTCATGCCGATGAACCTGCGAGGCGAGATCACGCCGCTGCTGGTGGGGGCTGCGAAGCTGTAGGGCGAGGTGGGGAGTGAAAGGAGAAGTCGCAGCTCAGGGCGGAGAGCAGGACTTCTATCGCACCGTTTTGACTGGTCGTCAGCATGCAGGCGCGTACGCTGCACACGTTAAAAAGACTTGCTGAATCCTCTGTTCGGTCGGCAGACACGGAAAAACTAAAGGAAAGAGACAAGGGAGGGAAAAGGGGAAAAACAAGGTTTTTTGTTCTTTCTCCTCTTGCTGGCCGTTGAAAGCCCAACGGAGGGAGATGAGATCTTCGCGGTGGCCATCGTAGGCCGCAAGGTGCTTCACCCACCCGCCACGCAAGCTGACTTCATCGTTTCTTCTTTCCTCCTCTCGCCCCATCTCTCTCTCTCCTTCTTTCTTGACTTTCGACGTGACAGTTCGTGCGTTGCTTCACGCTCATAACATACGAGATAACGTGAGTAGTTGCGTGTGGTTGTGTCTGCGCCGGTTGATCCGCAGCCTTCCACGAAAGCTTGGTTTGCCCACTTAAAAGACCGGTTATATATTATTGTGATAGCCTCCGTGTTGGTTGGGCACCGTTCCATTCCATTGTAAGCGTGAGAAAGCAAACAAACACTCACACAAACACCGGTCACACATGAGTGAGTTTCGCTCCCTCTTTCTCCCGATCAGCGAGGCGGAGCAGGCCGTCTTCGCCAGCGTCTTCCCGTTACTTCTCACGGTGCCCTGCTTCATTGAAGGCGCCGCGGCATCCGCAGCAGGGGAGCACCACACCAGCAGCGGCAACCCACACACACACACCAACGCCGCTGCTACAGCGCCTGCTGCAACCTACTCTCCCGCCGAGGGCCACGGAAGTCACACCGACGGCAACGCATCTGCCGTGGCGCATCCGTCCGCGGCGGAGGTGCAGGCGCAACGTGGGGGTCCGCCGCGGTCGCTGGTCTTCGCAGTCGGCAGCGCCCGCGCGGACGCCCTCCTTGTCGTCCTGCGCTCGGCGGAAGTCGTTGTGTTTGGGCTCGATCGGCGGCACTGCCCGCCCTACGAGTTCTACCGCATGCGGCCCCTCCCCGACACGCAGCAGCTGCAGGACGCACGGAAGTCGAAGAGCAAAAGCAGCGAGGCGGCAGAGGCGACCTGCGCCAGTCTCCTCCCGCTCTCCATCTCCTACTGCTGCCGCATCGCGGTGCCGTCGGAGGGGAGTGGTGGTGATGATGGTCGCGGCGGCACCGGTGGGCATCGCAATGCGGAGGAGACAGCGAAGGGAGATGAAATTTTTATTCGCGGCCTCGTCGGCAGCAGCGACGGTCGTGTGAGTTTGTTCTCCGACGTCGCCTACACCTTCAGTTTTGCGGCGCATGAGGTGGCGGTTGCGCAGGTGGACGCTGTGCTGCTTCCGCCATGTTCGCTGAGCCCGCCCAGCGCCAACGAGGCGTCGAACACAAACGGCCATCGCAACGGAAGCCCCTTCCGGAGCAGCAGCGCTGAGCCAGTCACTTTTGCTACCAATGGACGGGTAAGAGAAGTCCCAGCACCGCAGCAGCAGGGACGAGACAACCTCCAGCGTGCGATGCAGCGTCTTGGCATCGTCAGCAGCGGTACCGACGGCGTCATTATGCTGTGGCGCTGTATCGATGGGTCGATGTCGCCCACCGTGCTCCTTCGGTTCTCCAGCTTCGGACGGCGGGTGCCGTACACCACGTACCACCCCTCCGCCCTCTCCGCGTTGTTCTCTGTCACGGCGCCGCAGTCCAGCCGCGAGGCCGCCATCGACGCGGAGCTGTGCTGCCCGCCGTCGTGTCTCGTGCATCCGACCTCGCTGCACGCGCACGGCGTACGGGTGCGGCAGTTCGCCTCCCTCGCCACGTCGGTGCCGTCACCGTCAAGTGCATCGTCGGAGTCAAACGAGAAGGCAGCGGGTCTGGCGGAGGCTGCGCGGCACGCGGCACCGACGTGGTTGCGGCTGCCGATGCCGGGGTCGTGGACGACGGCGGTAACCGCCATGGCAACGCACAACGGCATCACGCTCGTCGCGCGGGAGGCGTCGTTGTTCTCGATGGTGCGCTTCAACGCCCAGGCTGCGGTGCGCCTCTGGAAGGCCGAGAGTTCAATCACGCAGATTGTGCTGCAGGACACACTGGCGCTGGCGGTGTGCGCGAGGACCGGGGCGGTGCACGTCCTCACGATACACCCCGTCACGGGCCGAGGCGTGCATCAGCGCACCTTCTACTCCTACAAGAACCGTCGCATTCTGCACGTCAGCCTGCATGAGGCATCGCTGTTGATGTCCATTGTGGATGTGTGCGGGTCGACGGAGCTGGTGCAGCTGCCAAGCGATGTGCTGCTGCGTCGCCACGCGCACCCATTGCAGGGCGGCTACACGCTGGGCAGTGCGGAACGCTTGAACCTTCTCGCGTCGATGGCGGCGCTGCAGGTAAAGGTCAGCATCGAGGACGTGAAGGGGGCAGACGCGAAGGCGGGCGCGGGGGAGGAGGCCACCTCCATGTACGAAGCGAACGCCGCGCTGGACCAGCTAAACGAGCATCTGCTGCTGGCCCGGCTGGCGGTGCCGGAGGAGTGTGACCGCTACATGACGCCCAATCACCACGTATTCTAAGTGTGTGCGTATGTGTGTGTGTGTGTGTGTGTGTGTGTGTGTGTGATCTGCGGTGCACAATGGCGTACCCGGGTTGCTTTCCTGAAGTGAACATGCTTTAAACAGTAAAAGAAGCAAGTTGAGTCTAATAAATACTCCGCTTTCTCTGTTGATTATTTTTTTGTTTGGTTGTTGGCTGCGTTCTTCGCCCTTCAACGTTTGATGTCTCTTCGCGCCGCACTTGTTGTTCCGATTCATTACACCGTCACCCGTGTTGATGTGCGCGACGGTCGCCGCCTTCTCTTCGTTTTTCTTTGCCTCTTTGCTCTCACGTTGTCTTCGCTTTTAAGGCTCCTTTGTGCTGCGCTGCGCCGCCGTTTCACTCTGAAAAATAATGGGATGATAAGAAGAACTATGCGAATTCGCATGTGTGTGGTGTGAAAGCGCTGTATTTTAGGTCAGACTTTTCAAGTTAGGCAGAGGCACATCGAAGCGGGTTCTTAATGGAATGAGTGGGAAAGCGCTTCAGCCGCGTTGACGATCACCGTCAATGGAAGTGGAGGCCTTTGTAGGTGTGTCGCCAACGGCGGCCGACTCTGTGTTTTTTGTTATCTGCGATCGTGGCGACGACGAAGAAGCGCCGTGGAATAGAATGACCAAGCCACGCGAACAGCAACGGCTGTGTTTACTGGTATACGCATTCCCTCCTTCTATATTTGTTTATTTGCTTGTTTTCCCACTCTTCGCCTTGGCTGTCTTCGTGACCTTCCACGTCCACGCTAAAAACATGAACACCTCTCCATCGCCTCTTTCAAGTGAGGGAGAAAGCGGAAGCCACTAGAAACCGTAGCCCGTTGTGCGCACGACAGCACCTGCCTTGGTTTTGTCGTCTTACTGTTGTCGTCTGTCACGGTTTTTATTACTATTCTCGTTTACACCGCGTGACACGCGAGGAGGGAGCGCGAGGAGTCTTATATACTTTCTCTCCTAAGGAAGAAAGAAACAGTAGGACGATGCTTCGGCGGAGTTTGCGCGTTTTGGCTGTGGGCATCCCCCGCAGCGCCTGGGACCCGGCGCACCACCATGAGAACTGGGTGGACAGCTACAGCACCAGCATCGCAGACCGGCGGCACTGGCCGGCGAAGAAGTGGTCCATCGGGCTCGAGCCCCGCACCCCGCGGGAGTGGCTGCGTTACTCCTACCGCAACCTCGCCTACGCGTACAACGGCGCACTGCGGGCGTGCACGACCTTTCCAGAAATGCTGGTGTACTACAAGGAGATGAAACAACGAGGGGTGAAGGTGGACGTGGACACGCTGAACGTGTTGCTCTCGCGTGCCGCCCGCTACGAGCACATCCACATCGACGACGTTTTTCTTCTCTTCGACGAGCTGACCGCGCTGGGGGCTCGGCCGGACGTTGCCTCAGTGGAGACGCTGCACACGGTGCTCGAGCACGCCGCCCACCAACCGCCCGAGTGGCGCGAGGCGCGTCGGCGGCAGCTGGTGGAGCTGTACCAGTACCTGGCCTTGGAGGAGATTGAGCGACTGGCGCCGCACCACGCCGACGCGCTGCTGGCTGTTCAGATTGCCCGTCTGCGCGGGAATCTGAAGCAGCTGCGCGCCAGCCTCAGCCCTGCGGTGTACCGCCGCTACTTCGCCATCGTGGACTGCGGCGAGACGCTCATTCAAGAGGTGCACAACTTTCTGTGGGAGTACGTCGGCAGCGACCACGCCGCCCTCGATGTGCCCTCGCTGCGCCTGCGCATTCCGTTTGTCGCCTCCGTGATGAAGCGACCGGCCGCCACGGCGGACCCGGCGACGGTCAAATCTACTGACTTCGAGGACGCCGACGTGTGCAGCGTTCTTCTGGCCGCCGTGGAGCGCTGCGTCGACGGCGACTTCCACGACCGCCGCCCCGTCTCGGAGCGTCGCATGTACCTCGCCCTGCTGACCATGCTCACCTCGAGCGGCGTCCTCTACTCCGCTGATCTCATGGCACAGTTGATGGATATCGTGAAGTACACACGCGATGAGCGGGCCCGCGACCGGGATGCGCAGCGGCTGCTGCGGTACGCCCTGCGCGGGTCGTCGGCCGCCAACGACGTCGCCCACCGCGAGCTGTGGAAGGCCGTCGCGCCGCCCGTGGACGCGCGTGTGGTAGGCCGCTACCTCGCCAGCCGTGACCCGTGGTCGCCGCTGCACATCTGCTACGACCGCAGCCTTCAATTCGGTGCTTTTCCGGTGCTGCTGCCCAGCGCCCAGTCCAGCGTGGCCTCCCCAGCCGCAACGGCGTCATCCGATGCAGAGGTGCCAAGCAGCCACGCAGCACAACCGTCCACTGCGGGGGCGGCGGTGGAGGAAGGGGCGGAAGGGGTCAGCGCGGACCTGCTGCCGAGCACCACGCCGGAGCCCGTCGCAGAGGGTGGGGCGCGCCCCAGCAGCGAGGGCAATACGGGGGAAGAGAAGTCGTCGTCGTCGTCATCGAGCAATGCGGTAACGCCGCGGACCGCAGAGGCGCTGCAGCAGCGGTGGCACGACGTGCAGCGGTTGATCGACGTGACGGGCGTGCTGAAGCGGCTGCAGCAGCCACAGCAGCACAGCAGCGGCAGCAACTGCAGCCATGCCCCCACGCAGGCGGATGCGCAGAACGCGATGGAGGTCTTTACGGGCTGCGCCGTCTTTCTGCGTGGTATCGCCAGCAATGAGCGCTACGGATCCGTGGAGGAGGCGATGTCCATTCAGGCCGTCGGAGAGGCCTCGGGCCACGTGGCCGGGGGAGCGTCCGTGCCCTACGCCGCTGTCTTGGACTTCGATGTGTGGCACCGCCTCCTTCAATGCGTCCAGCAGCTTCGTCACGACACGGAGAAGTTTATCGCCCAGCAGTACGAGCTGCATGGGTGGCAGGTGGAGCCGGAGTTTGAGTGTTGGGAGGCGATGTTGGTGGTACTGCGGTGCGTACTGGACTTCTGCGTCGTGCACACGCAGCAGTACGGGCGAGCCGCGGGGGGTGGCATGGCGGAGACGCTCTTTCAGGAGTCGGCGCAGCTGCGAGCGGAGTTGGTGGAGGAGAGCCGGGCGCGGTTCAACGGTCGGATGCGTATCCTGTGGCTCCAGGAGGTATAGTCATGCGTTTTTTTGCTGATGATGTTGTTGCTGCGTTGTGGTTGGCTCACAGAATAGAAATGGCGAACGGATAAGGTGAAGGCTGATGGGAAGGGGATAGTAGTCCTTTACGTGTGAGCGCGACGCGATGAACGCCTCTTGTTGAGGGGGGGGGGGAGGGAGGAGGCATGGTTTGTGGTGTGGGTGACTTCACACTCATGCACACACACACACACACACACACAGACAGAGAGAAAACTGGGTCGTGGGAAGCAGGAGAAGAAGTACGCCTTGCGTCGTTCTCCGCTACCTCTAACTTCGTCTCTGCCCACGGTCCACCACGCCGATTTGCGTCGCGGTGCGTGAAGTTCACCTCTGCCTCCCGTTTTCTTGTTTTTTACCTTCCTGGACGGCCGCGCGTTCCGTCGCTGCACGTGTACAGTGTACGTGCCTTTAGCCAAAACGAAGCAACGGTATAACCGCCGGTACGCTGAACCACTACATCAGTAATGCGTGACCACGTAGGCAAAAGAAGGAAAGGAAATACATATATATTAAAGTCCTGCGTTGGCACACTCCGCAGAGGAGTCACACCGATGGACTTCCGTCGCCCATGCGTCGCACTGACCGACACGGAGGTGAAAACGGCGTCGAAGTTGGGTCCTGTGTTGTTAGGTCGTTGTAGGAAGAATCGCTACTGTGCCGCGCAACGATGCACCTACTTGCTGACTTCATTCATTTCTCCCCTTCCTTCATATCCTCTTTGCTTCCACGACCGCATTTAAACTATACATGTATCTCTTCTTGTGGGTGTGTGTGTGTAATGCCCTCATGCCTCCTTCCGTCTCTCGCCCCCACCGACCCGCAAACGGCATGTTTTATCCCTTTCAGCTTCGTTTTTTAAGACTAGTAGAGATGAGCACAGCCCCTGCTGCATCCGCGCCCCCTGGCGGCACGCCCTCCCTCTTCGGCCCGGCCGGACCAGACATGTCGCAGCTCATGACGTACCTCCCCACCATCTTAAAGGTGGCGAGTCAGATCCCTGGCATCCTCGTTGGCTTTGTCGTCACCATGGTCTACATGCTAGGGGTGGTGGGCCGCAGCGGTTTTACGGAGACGGTGTCGCCTGTGGCGGGGTTCCACCTATTCGTGTTTTTCCTCCTGCGGGACATGATCGAGCCGTGGCGGCACGGTCGGGCACGCGCCGAAGCCGCACAGCTGAAGGAGGCGAAGCGGCGCTCGTTCAACACAGACATCGCCATGCAGTACCGCGAAACGCTCGATTAATGAGAAGGGCGTAGTGCCGAGAAAAGGAAGCAATGAGAGAGCGAGATCAGAATCTGCCTTGTCTTTTCTGGCCGCTGCTCTGATGCGTGCGTGTGTGGGTGTGTGTGTAGTTGTGTGGTTCTTTATATATAGTGGCAACCTGCACCTGCCTTTGTTATTACTTGAGGTATGGCAGAACTCCCTCATGAACGATCTTGCGTAGCGCTGCCACGTTGAATGGGCGCAGGAGACGATGCTTCTTTTTCTTTGTTTGACTCCTCGAAATACGCAATGCCGATGCTCCCGCAAACACACCAGCACTCCGCTGCTGCACATACGCTGCTGCCTGGGTGTCAATACAGCACACCCAAGCGTGACGAGCTGCAGCACCACGAGATCAACCCGGTCCTCTATTCGATTTGTTCTGACCTTCGTTGCTGTGCCGACCGTCTCCTTTAAGATCTCCCTTTTCTGTTGGTATTCGCCTATTTATTTATATATTTACGGCGCACAGCAGCTTCTCTGCCTTCGTTATATCCACTAAGAGAACAGGGGGAAAAATACTCGCCCTCGCCGTACACTCCAGCCCATATCCCTGAGAAGAACACACACCAATTACAGAAATGAACGTTTACACCTCCGATGGGCTGCTGGTCCAACAGATCTCCAGCGCGGACGCGCAGGCCCTTGCCCCAGAACAAGGGCAGCAGCTCATCTCCATCTACCGCCTCTTCCTTCAGCTCCACCACGCCGGCAGCGGCGCGATGCGAATAAAGGACATGTTGAAGCCCGATGCGGCGGACTCCCCCGGCGAAAGCGGCGTTGACAAGGCAGCAGACCGCCGCGCGAACACCGCACGCGGCGCCGCCCCCCACAACTGGAGTTCGATGCCCGAGGCGGCCTCCGCCTACTCCGGCAGCATCGCCGCCATCTCGTCCGGTATGCCGTACCCGATGTTTCTCCTCTCGTCCAACGCCATTCCAGAGATGCACCGCCTGCGTGGTTTTCCTGCCGGACGTCCGCCGGCGTCGACGGCAGGTGTACTGCTGTGCAAGAACAACAATCGAAGCTGCAACGGGTGCGAGGAGATCCCATTGCGCTGGAGCCTTCTTACGAAGCAGCAGCAGCAGCAGCAGCAGTCGACCGCAGGTTACGGCCTCGCCAGCACCGGGGTGTCAAGCAACGGCGGTGTCGACGCACTGCATGAGAAGTCCGAGAGAAGCCCGCCCCGCGGCTCCGGTGCCGCTGCGGATGGCGTGTCCGGCGTGACGGCGTCTGCGCGGACCACCAACGCAGAGGCGGCGGGTGGCGACGGCGTTCATGGGGGAGCGACGGAGGGTCACACACGCTCCTTCGCCTCTGGGTGGAGTGCGGCCGAGCTTCAGGTGCACACAACTCATCGCATGCTGATCTGCGTAGCGACGGAGCTTCCGTTGGAAGTCGACAACGTCGTGGAAGATGGGAATTCCCCGCTGGTGTTCTGCTGCTCTGTGCTATCGACGGCCTGTTAGTGTGCTTGTGTGTTGTGCTTTCTTTTATTTCCTTTTCCATACAGTGCCGTGGCTTCGCTGCGGCAACGTGTGTGTCAACGTGGGATGAACTCGGCAACGTGAAAAGGATTGGGCATTACTTCTTCCTCCATCGTTTCCCATGTGCGCGTATACATATATATAAACGGAGTTGATTCACCGTTGGACGCCTCTAACGTAAGAGAAAAAAGACGGCTGCCGCTTCTTCTCTCTTCTCTGTTCTCTTTATGCTTGTGTGAGCCACGAACCCGTTGTAGGTGCCAAGTGGCATAACTCTTGTCTATCAGGTGTTTGGCGTGTTTGTGCGGGCGTAAGGCGCTGCCAGACGTGTAGCGAAGAACTAACAGATGTACTGCAAGTCAACGAGTCTCACGTCATCTACGTAGATTTGTTGCTGGTGGGCGTGGAAGCACCTGCCGCTGTTGCCGCCGCGCGTGCCATCGAAGGGGGGGGGGCAGGGAGGGGCGTTTCGCTTGTGCTTCCCCCTCTGCCAGGCCTGTGGGTATTCTCTTTATCGTTGCCCAATTCATTTCTGCCCTTTTTCTTCCTCTGCCTCTTCCCCTCTTCGTGATTTTGTGCAGCTCTTCATATAAACTTACGGACTTCTAAGAAGAAAAGCAAAGATATTACTATTATTATTATTAATACGAAACGCTCAGCACCACCCGTGTGGCGAAGGTCGTTTTAAAAAGCGGATTTAACCACATCGTACTATATAGTATTCTCTTCTTTCTCTTTAGTCTGTGCACGGCTCATACGCTGCGCCTGTGTTCTTTTTACGCCCTTCTCTGTGTGTGTGACTTCGAAGCTTGTGTCTGGTGCATTCACCCCTCTTCACGCCGTTGCCTTCACCGGAAGCACGAGCAAGCTCCATAAAAGTCGGCGTGGCATCCCTCCCTTCTTCTTCACTTTTTATTTGTTTTTGGAGGGAAAGTGCTTCTGGACTGCTGTTTGAATTTTCTCCTTTCCTTTTCTTCTTTGAATTCCGCTGGCTTTTGCTGCACAGGAGTCTCGTGCAAGGGAAGAGAAGAGAACAGAATCGCAGCGAGGAAGGCGTTGAAGTAGAGCTAAAGGATCAAAAGAGCGTTGCAGACGGAGAGAAAAGGGAAAAAAAAGGAAAAGAGAACGAAGAAAGAGTGTCGGGTTTGTTTGTTGTGTGCGTGTGCGTGTGTGTCGGTTTTGTTTTTCTCTCTATCACCATCTTGTCCACCACCACCCCCTCCCCCCCCCCCTCGCTTGTCTCGCAAGAGAAGAAAAGGAAAACAAACGGCAGCGCTGCAGCGCTCTTCCTCCGTATTCTCTTCTATTTACTACTGAAATAGAAGGTTGACGGAAATTCTTCACATTCGCTTTTTTCTTCTTCTTTTGCGATTGTTGTTGTTGCTCTTCATCTTCTCTCCCCAGACGCACACGAACGTTTGCAAAAAGAAAAGAAAAAGGCGAAGTAGAAGGACCTGCGTGTGTACGTTTCTCTCTGTGTGTGTGTTTGTGTGTGTTTCTTGGTGTATCTGCATCCAAGGCCATCACGAATTGTTCCCTGCTTGTTTTGTTCTCCCTGTATGCGTTACCGGATTGTTTCTCTCCTCGTAGTATCTCAGCTGCGCACCGTGAACCTGTGCACTCTTTCTCCCTTTCATTGTTATCGTAGTCGTTGCCTCTGACGTCTAACGCCCAGTATTTCATTCATTGTCGCGGCTGTTGCTGCGTGTGTGCTTCATTCGAATTTAAAGAAATCAAAGAGAGAAAGCAAAGCAGAGTGCGTCGGTCGTTGACGATATCGCTGTACATAGCAATTACCCTTTCTGTATCGTTGTTGAAGTGATCAGACGTATCAGCGGAGCCTTGTTGTTGTTGTTTTATTTTGATATATTTTTTCGCGTGCCTGTTGACATAAATATTTGGACTCAAGTGGAGCAGCTGCGCCGACTTCGCTTACGGCACACTTCTGGTATTGTTGTTGCTCCCGCAGCTGTCTTTGCTCTCTTTCTCTCTCTCCAGTTCTGTTTCCGTCTGCGTTTACACGAGTGTGTGTTTTGTTTTTTTATTTCTTCTTTCTGATTCGGTCCTGGTGCGGCGAATACCCGTCCTTTGACTCCACGAGGGATTTAGAGAAGCGCCAGGGTGTGTTGCCGATTTGCTTTTGCGGGCGGTGCAGTCACGCACATAGATTCTCCGCTTTTCCTTGCTTTGCCTATCTACCCGTTTCTCGTGTGCTTTCGGTATCAAACTCTTACCCTTCTTTAGTCATCCTTAGGTTTTTGTTTCTCAGTGTTTTTTTTTTTTCTTTACTTCTTTCCGCATTTTGTTTTTCAAGTCACGTGTCAGTAGAGCCCTGCCCATTGATCTCCCTCTCTCCTCTCTCCTCTCCCTCTCTCTCTCTCTTGTAGCTCTTATCTGCGGTTATACCACCGTGCGCCATCAGATCTACGTTTAGAGCCGGCGTGCGTGGGCTTGGTTTTGATTTCAGTCCGATTCAATACCAAGCTTCTCTTCTCTGGCCTTCTCACAGCGTCCTGTCCGATATCATACTTGCACGCGGCACGTACTTCGTCCTATTATCATATATTTTTTTCTTTCTCTCTCCCCGTCTTTCTTCTTCTCCTCCATTGTTTTCTTGCTGTTTACAGCACCCCCTTTCATTTCTTCCCTTCGTGTTTGTTTGCTGCTTTGGTGTGAACTTCACTACTTGACGAGTGACTTTCCTTTCCTGCTCTTCTTCTGACGAAGCCGGACACGAGCGGTGGTAATTAGAAGAGCCGACGCGCGTGTGTTGCGTGAACTTAGCGACAGCTTGGCGAGGTCCGCCTTTCAGCGAGGCACCTTTTACTCTTTCTTTATTATTATTATTTGTTGCTCTTTCCGTGTCTCTCTCTCTGTGTGTGTGTGTGTACGTCCAAAAAGAAGAGCCCTTCTGTTTGCTGTCTGTAACTTGTGCATCTGTGTACGTGTGATTATTATTATTACTACTACTACTACCTTATTTTTCTTTCCTCTCTCCGTGTGTTTGTGTTAAGCCCACAACATCGCCTCTTTGCCATTTTTGTTGTTGTTGTTCAGCGAATGTAAAGCACTTGTTGACGAGCACATCTTATTGTTTGTTGTACTTGCCACAGCATCGTCACCGTTAAATATATTATTTCTCGAGGAGGTAGAATTAAAAAACACTTCTCTCCCTCTCTTCCCATCCCGCCGTGTGTACATATCTGTCGATTGCACCCTTTTTTTTTTAGTTATTACCAGTGTGTGTGTGTGTGTGTGTGTGTGTGTGTTTGGTTTTGGGTTTCTTGCTTGTATTTGGTGTAGCCGTCGCCTTCTCTTCCATTCGGTTTTTATTATTATTAGTGTTGTTGTTTTTCAGCCGCTTCACGCGACTTTGTTGACGGTGTGCCGCTGCAGGCTTCTGCGAGATCATCAGGGGAGGAAGACAGAAAAGAAGACCGGGTCTCCTTCGCGACTGCCATCTCTATTATTACTATTATTATTGCTCTCTTTATATATATATATATATATATTTAGCGAAGAGCATCAACCTCTCTCCGCTAGTATTTTTTATTATTTATTTTCGTCTTACCTGACAAGTACGCCTTTTCGATTGGGCTGTCTTTGCGTGTTGGGTCGCTGCGAGTGTCGCTCCACGCTCCATCATTGATTACTATTATTGCTAGTATTTGGATATATATATATATATATATATATTCCGGTACCCGTAAGATTGCACGTGTGTCAGCGCATACGAAATAACTTGCACTTATAGACTTCTGTCGGCGTGCAAAGCAAAACAGTCCTCTCAATAAGCAAAAGGGAATGGACGTGCAGGACGTCGTGACACCAGAGGCGGCGCAGCACACACCGCGCAGCGCCACCGAGGGCTCGCGCTCCGGTGCGACACCCCGCGACACCGACACCCCACCCGACCCTTCGGAGGTGGCCGCAGGGGAGAGTCCGCAGGCACCCCACCTCGCCCATCAAGTCCCGCACGCACCGTCCGCTGCCCGCCACACCGCCGACGCGGAACGCACGAGCCCGTCCCCACAAAGCGTGGTACACGATGTAGCAGACGACCAGGCAGACGACCCGGTCAGCAAAGAAAAAATTTTCGAAGAGCAGCTAGAGAACCTGCTTGCCGCTGAGGATCGCCACCGCTTTCAGTTGGAGTGCCACGCTGAAGACGAGATGGAGGATATCTGCGATGTGATGATCTCGCAGGAAGACGAGCTGCTGCAGGATGAATTCAACCGCCTTGACGCAGAGGAGGAAGCGGAGGAGCGGAACTACTACCGCGCCCAGCGAGCTCGGGAGGCGGCCGAGCGGGGCTTCCTGACCGGTGAGGACGAGAGCGATGCGCGGTCGGACCCCTTCCACGAGGACGAGGAGGACGCGGATGCCCGACTCCACGCGCATCGCCAGCCCCACCACCACCACCACCACCTCCCCGCCAAAGGCCTCGCCGTCGCGGCGGAACCGGCCGAGGAGTTCGACAGTTTTCACGAGGCCCCTGCGACGGAGCAGGCGGCGCGGATTGAGCGGATGGCGGAGCCGGGGGACGGGCAGCCCGGCAGCGGGGCGGCGTCGCCGCTCGCGGAGACGTTGAGCCACGCCGACCTCCCCAGCACCGCCGCCGCAGCGGGTGACGCACACGGAGCGGACCCGACGCCGGCGCACCCGCCCTGTGGTGGTGAGGAGGAGGAAGACGAGGCGGAGGAGGAGGCACCGCTACGGGCGCAGCTGGGCGATCGCGCCGACCGCTACAAGTCCGGCCGCGGCGCCCAGGCGCCGACCTACGACGCCACCCACAAGCAGGACGCGGTGGCCTCCGGCAACGACGACGGAGAGGAGAGAGAGGAGGAGCAGCCGTTGGCGCCGACGGTCACGCAGGGGCCGCGACGGGCGGCGGGCCGGCCCCATCACGACAATGCGGCGGCTGAGGCCAGCGAGTCCGGCGTGCGCAACGCCAGTGAGGAGGAGGACGAGGTGCCGATGGATGCGGCAGCGCTGGCCGCCGCACGGCAGGCGAAGGCGGCTCGCGAGGCTCGACTGCAGCGTCAGGCAGCGCACACCCGCGCTGCTGCCCCGGCCGCCGCGTACGACGCAGAACACGAGAAGGCGCAGGACGAGGAAGAAGAAGAGGAGGAGCAGGAGGAGGCTCTGAAGCCGTCCGCGCTGTTCGGCCCTTCGCGCTCGGCCGGCCGCGTGCGCTACGACGTCAATCCGGAAGGTACTGAAGCCGGGGACGAAGAGGAAGACGAAGACGAGGAGCAGCCGCTCCATCCTCTCATACAGGAGGGACCGCGACGGGCGGCGGGTCGTCCCCGCTACGACGGCACGCCGATGGCCGGCGAGGGCCGTCCGTCGGACGAAGAAGCAGAAACAGAAGAGGAAGCGCTGTCGCCGAGCGCCACGGACGGTCCGAGGAGCGCAGCAGGTCGTCCGCGTGGTCTTGATGCACCAGAGGCGGGTGACGAACAGCGCGCGGACGAAGAGGAGGAGGAAGTCGAGAAGACGTTAGAGCCGACGACGACGTCGGGGCCTAAACGCGCGAGTGGTCGGCCCAGACGCGACGGCGCACCTGCGGGTGACGAAGTGGGAGGAGAAGACGAAGACGAAGCCGCCGCCGACGCCGCCAACGCGGGCCGGGGCCTCCCATCACAGCGCACTACCTATCATCGGCCTGCGCCAACACTCCCCGTCATGGTCGATCAGGAAAGGATCCTCTCCGACGAGGAAGACGGCGAGGACGCGCTGTGGCCGGAAGCCATCTTCGGCCCCACCCGTGCGGCGGGACGACCCGACCACGGCGACGCCGACGAAGCGGACGGATACAGGGCTGGAGCACCATCCGACGGCGAGAATGAAGAGGCGCAGCAGCCACTGCGTCCACTTGTGGAAGAGGGGCCGCGACGGGCGGCGGGTCGGCCCCGCTACGACGGCACGCCGATGGCGGGCGAGGGTCGTCCGTCGGACGAAGAAACCGAAGAGAAGGAAGAAGCGCTGGCGCCGAGCGCCACAGATGGACCGAAGCGTGCGGCGGGACGTCCCCCTCGTGCAGGCGTGCGCGAGGAGGGCGACGCTGCCGGGTCTAACGAGGAAGGCGAAGAGGCGGCGTTTACGTCGGGTCCAAGGCGCGCGGCCGGCCTCCCGCCCCGCTCCACGAAAGCCTTCGCACGAGACACACCGCCGACCACCACCATCACCGCGGCGACGGCGGGAAGTCGTCCGTTGGCGCGAGCCCAGAGCGACTACGTGCGAGGCAATACAAAGCGTCACATCTCCCCCCACGAACGGCCGGAGATGGCCGCCAGCGCAGAGTCCGTGCGCCACCCTCTCGACGACGCCACCCGCAACAACGAGGACGAGGTGCACCTGGATGAAGCGACACTCGCAGCGGCACGGCAGTCGAAGGCGGCGCGCGACAGCCGATTGAAGCGCGAGCAGGCGCGGCTGGAGAAGGAGCGGGCACGTGCGGCACCGCCGCTGATTCCAGATTCGACGGAGTCCGGAGACGAGGAGGACGACGAGGAGGACGAGACCGCACTGAAGCCGACAGCCATTTTCGGCCCCACCCGTGCGGCGGGGCGGCCGGATAACGTTGACTCCCTCGACGCGGGCGAATACCGCATGACCAGCACTTCCGATGAGGAAGAAGACGAAGACGAGGAGCAGCCGCTGATCCCGCTTGCGGGAGAGGGGCCGCGACGGGCGGCGGGTCGGCCCCGCTACGACGGCACGCCGATGGCGGGCGAGGGCCGTCCGTCGGACGAAGAGGAAGAAGAGGAAGAGAAGCCCCTCCGTCCGCTTGCTGAGACTGGACCGCGACGGGCGGCAGGCAGGCCCGAGCGCGACGGTGCACCAGAGGCCGTGGCCAGAGGACCTGGCAGGCGTCCCCGGGCTCCCAGCACGGCACGCGACAGCGACGACGACGAGCCGCTGGTGCCAATACTCGGCAACCGCAACGCCAACCTCTACCACAGCGGACACACCAAGCCGAAGGACTACGAGGCCGAGGAGTTGCGAGACGGCGCCCCAGATTCAGACGAGAGCGACACCAGCGATCCGCTGAGGCCGCGATTGGCCAGTGGTCCCAAGCGTGCTCGCGGCCTCGCGCCCCGCGGCAGCGATCCAATGGCTGGCGAGGAGCGGCCGTACTCCGCAGACGACGACGACGGCGACGCGTTGTTTCCATCGCTCATGCAGCACCCTCGTGGTCGCAACGCGCAGCCGCGTCGCCGCTCTGGTCCGATGGTGGGCGCGGAGCAGCCCGTCGACGACACGCAAACCAGCAGCACCGACTCGGACGTACCGCTCGAGGTGGGCTTCATCCACGGCGGCGCCCGCCACGCCACGGGCGTCCCCACCTACGATGCGGCCCCGGTGGCAGAGGATGCTGGATCGCGTGGGACGTCCTCCAGCAGCGACAGCAGCGACGAATCGGCGCTGGAGGTGCGTCTCACATGGGATGGCCCCTTCCGCACCACCGCTCACCGCCCGGGGGAGGCGCTGCAAGCGAGTGAGGCGGGCACCAGCGTCGCGGCGGACTCCGATGAAGGTGAGGAGCCCCTCGAGCAACTCGCCCAGGGACAGCGTCGGCGCCGTGCGGCTGGCCCCCTGCCTCGTACCCGCGGCCCCACCGCCGAGGACGGCGCCGACGCCGCCTCCTCGGAAGAGGACGAGGACGAGGGCCCATTGGATCAGCGCACCACGGCCCCCCGCAAGAATCGCAGGGGCGGCCACCGACGCGAGGACCTGCCAGAGGCGGAACAGGCGGAGAGTCCGCACTCGAGCGATGAGGAGGAGGAGCAGTTGACGCCGGCAATGCAGCCGCCGAAGAAGCATCGTGCGGCCCAGTCGCTTCCGCAGGACGGTCCGGAGGCACGGGAGGAACAATCAGCCGCCCCGACGACGCCGTCATCCGAAGACTCGCTAGCGCTTGACCCCACCTACGACCGCACCCAACCAAAGCGAGGTACGTTGGAGCAGCGGACACCGTCATTTTCCATTGAGATGGAGAATCCAGCGTCCAGCACGCCGCACCAACAGTCACTGCGTCCTCATCCAATCGAACAGGCACCTGCAGACCAGCAGAAGCGCCGCAGTATCACGCTGGGGGAGGTCGCAGAAGACGCGCTAAGCGTCGTAGCGAGAAAAGCCGCCCCAAAGAGCGTCTCCATTCAGCAGACAGCTAGAAAATCCAGCCTCATCACCCCGTCCGCAGAGAACAACATGCCAGCTGCGGAGGTCGAACAGCAAAGAGATGTCCTC